GTGTCCACGTGCCCCATTCCTGAAATTGATTTGGGACTACACGTGTTTTGGCAATGTTTTCTGGCGAGTTTCAAGGTATACTTTCGTATTGTATATCATGGCAACGTGCTAACGACAAGGTGAAGTTTGAAGAAATTAATTCTTTGGTGGCTTACTTGCATGTCTGGAATGCACAAGGCTGTGACATTTATGTCATTAAGTAGCGTTTAAGAAATTTATACATTAATGATGACATTGATAAAGCCAAGGTTACATTTTGTGGTTCATTTGTATGTGTTCGAAGAAACAGCGTTTAAAGCATTTGTGTATGAAATTGCACCAGAAATAGTTCTCAAAGCAATGTCTATGTACAGAAATATCAAAGATATGAAGGATTCGACGAAAACGCTTTTGTGAAGAAATTAGTTTTGTAATCACTGTTTGTGCACTGATGCTCGTGTGCTGGGTTATCTCGAAATGTTGTCTATCCAAATTAAGTTTTTAATTACTGCATTAGATATGGGAAGATCGAACTCCTGTCGTTGGCACCCACTGAACATTAAATTAATATCTTATTTGAGTTATCCCGAATAAATGAGTATCTCGGACTGTTGTTTATAGCAGTACCTGCTTTAACTTTGTTATATATACCTTATATACATGTGTCTAAATGATTTCTATCATGGTCCCTATTAAAGTTAATCCTATTATATTACTTCCATTTACTCGAACATATGGCTATCTCGAAATATTTTAATCACAGCACCTATTGATGTTGTTAATAATAGTTGTTATACATTCTATATCGCGAACATTGTTGGCACTTTCAACATGGCAATAAGGTGAATGTGTTATAAGACATTCAAATCATATGAGGGAAAGGGGATGGCCTCGTTGTCTTGGGCGTCGCAATGGAACCTATGGCAGTAGAATCCCTTTGATTATGTTTCTTGGTTTGTCAGAACCTTACCCATAGACTTTGGTTTCAGTGACGCTGCTAAACGCGTCTGGGTGGTGGGGTAGACGAGTGTTTAAAGCGTTCGCTCGTCACGCCGAAGACCCGCGTTCGATTCCCCACATTAGTTTAAAGTGTGAAGCCCATATCTGGTGTCCCCCCGTTTTTATATTGCTGGAATATTGCTAAAAGCTTCGTAAAACCATACTCACTTACTCACCCTAAACTCGTCTAAGACCTGCACCATTCCTCCTACATCAAACTGACTGGTGATAGAACTGAAATATTGGTCAAAGCGGCGTTGAACCAGACTCGACAACTCAAAACTAAAAATTAAACGCAAACAAGAAACAGGGGAATTATATTTTGTCAAAATGTATATGTGAGATTCTAGTTGCAGAATATCTATGAATTCTTACACAAGAACAAGTTGCGGATGACTTTCGAATTACAACTTTTGAAAAGATAACTCATGGCATAAAATGTATCTATTCATTCACCGTATACATGTTTCGCATTAGACTTTCTTTTCAAGGTATGTGGTAATTGCTTGTGATATGAAAGATAACCCACAAAACCGAAAACTGGTTGTATAGAACAAGATACATAACATATTATTTTTTCTTTTGAGGATGAAACATATATTTTCTCCTCTTATCACTTGTCAAAGGATGACTGAAAGTGTTTACAAGAAGAATCCACCACTGAAGTATCATCGCGGTTTATTATAAAACCATTTAGACTTACACCAAAGTATCTGGTGTCCTTTGAAATGATTTAATAATATGATAACATTAACAATGTAAACCTCATCCTTTGACACGTTTTTAAAGACATGAATTTCACGCAACGCTGAACTCGTGCTTGAAGCACCTCCCAAAAGACTTTAAATGTTGTCAAGTGCATATCACCTTCAAACAAGATTGTAGTATTTGTATGCCGATTGAACTTGGTGGGGTATTGAGCTTGCTTGACAGGGTATTCCTGGAGCGAGCATGATTGGAGAATGTGTCTATTGGCACTGGCTTTATCTGGGCTTTCTGAAAGTGATACTTGAAATAATTGCATTTAACATCTGTTTGCCGAAAGGTAACAGAAACAGGACATCTGTTTGCCGAAAGGTAACGGAAACAGAAGTTTTAAAACAAAATTCAATATTTTATTTGTATTGTAACAAAAGAGTGTAACTACCTAGTATTTAGAAACAGATACATATCAAATGGACTCCTAGAGGATAGTAGATAGTATCTTATTCTAAGAGAAGTCTTGTACGCGAAATGTTTCCCTCCCTTGATTATTGTCCATCATTATCCAAGTGCCCTTCCCATCACTACAGTAAAATGCACAATACGAATAACAAACAATAAACACATTTGATTTAGTTAATGAAGAGCAAAACAAAATAGATTTCAGTTCCTTTAAGATGTAGCGTATATATAAGACCTTGCAAATTATTGTCACAGTCAATCATATACTTCCTGGTAAATAGAAAGGTGCAGTGATATCCGTGTGACGCCACATTATCAAGCTTAGGTACATATTTGTATACATTTATACACTCAACTTAAATACGTATAAGTCCCATGGACCACAAAGCATGGGTTCTTCTGATTTACCTAGCATGGTGTTTGTAGTATTTAAATGAATACAATTTATGTATTTCATATGACGAAATGTGGACTATTATCGTTAAGGTATGTTTATGAAATACAAAAAAACTTGAACCTGCTTTCACTTGTAAGACTGTTGTGTTAATGTGTCGGTGATGCCTGGCAGACACGTTTGACATTCCTGTGAGACACCCGCGGGTGTATACAAGTGAGAAACATTTTGTTTTATTCCTGTGACGTTTTCGTCAAGATTACGACACAATCAAGAATTATATGGTTATTCGAATAACCATAAATCTAAACTATGCCATTCCATATCTCGGCGGTGGCAGAACAGGTCTGGTATCGTGTGGAGAATACTTAGATAATGACACCAACTTGCCTTCACAGATAACAATATCATAAAATCACGACTGGCCGAATGTTGGCTGCTTATCGTAAACTGAGTTCTGAAAAGGTTCTGACACGATAACAGCAAAAGAAACGCAAAACACTTTACATGTACGTAATAAATTGAATTCCGAAATTCTGAGTCTGCTGTTTGATTTATGGAAACGATTTTACTCATCTTTTAAGATGCACTGTTGCAACGTGTATACAATGTGTAAGATAAGTAAATAAACTAACACTCAATGTGGAATGTGCTATCAGATAACGCTTATTCTCAGTATCTGCTTCACTCAAGGAAACCATACTGACACGATAAAGGAAAGTATGATATACATTAAGTCAATTAAACGCCTACCTTCAGAATCTTTTGATCTACGAAAAATTACTTTACAATTCTCACGACAAATGGAGTATTATATACCTTTGTGAGAACTTAATATGTAAAATGAACAGCATCAATACTTTTCTCGGTTATATCAGACGGGAATGTAGACATGATAAAAGAAAATATTGAAATAGAATTCAGAACTAGGTTGCATATTTTTGACACGATATAAAAGAAAAAAGAAAATTGCGTATACTAGTGTCTAGTCAAACCAACCTGTTATCCGAGATTAAAAGGATTGAAAGTTATTTATTTGTTGTATGTACAGTAGCAGATGCTCAGCTATACACTAACGTGACATGTAACATCTAGTTTTCATGTCATTGCTTCCTTAATGAAATTTAATGAAATTAAATTCAACGGGTCTTCATTATCCAGCGCTATAAGATCTTTCAACATTACACAAACACAAATACTAATATTCATGTTATATTTATGTGAAAAATATGCTTTAGAAAATGTAAATAATTATATGATATAGTTAAATGCATGTTATGTAGTATACCATATAACTTATGAGAAAATATGGACGCCGTTATAATTAAGATTATGAAATATACCATATTTGATTGTAACATTTGTTGAACTAAGGTCATCTGGTTGTATTTTCCATTATAAATTAATACAATTATTCTATCAGAGGCCGTAGTGAAACATTATCAGTTTTATGGATTATCCTATCAAGATGACACTTGACAAATTCGCCTATAATTAGATGTTGTGTCTCCAAATGGATTAAAGATAGTAAGACGATATACGAGCATCCTGCCAACTAGTTGTACTCGTACAAGACCTCTTCTGTAACATTAGACTCTCAGCTTTGTTAGGTAATCCTTCTCACACGGATCAGAGGCGAGATGTTATTTTTTCTCAGTAAACTGGAAATCAACCTCTCGCCCTTCAAGAAGTATAAGTACCTATTTTAGGATTAGCTCTAATTCCGTATTGTCTTATCTGAATCTATCCGCTGCTCTTTACGCCTAAAGTATTTACAATTTAGAAGTGTTGTATTTACTAATAGTTTGCCACAGCTAACATTATGAAACATTGTAAAAACACAAATGAAACTTTGAGTATATAATTAAAGTGTCATCTCCAACTTATTCCGTGACACATTGTCATATTTCACGTCATCAGAATGCCGATAGGAAGAACGGTTAGGGTACCGAGAAATACAGAGGAACGTTTTTTGAGACTGATTAAACATCTTAATCCTAAAATATATAAATTAGAAAGTCAAAAAGACAAACAGATAGAGGATTTGTGCATTAAACTTCATCAATGGAGGTATGCATCCTTTTCGCGAACACCTGGTATCATCACTATTTTATAGTGATTCATAAACACGTGCTTATTTATTATATATTCGAATCGTACTAAGGACTCTGCTAGAGATTGTAGTTATGATCATGGAAATGGTTTTTGTCACTTTTATTTATTGAAAAGGTATATATGAAGCATTAGTACGAGAGATGTTCAACGAAACTTTAAGAAACTGAAACATATCAGTCCTAAATTGAATTGTGATAGTGACAGCTTTCCTTTCCAATGTATTTCACATGTTGTAAATTTAATTTCATATAGCGGTGAAACAACAATGAATACGTCTACGGCGTTTAGTATGCCTCTTTAATTTACAACGGATGTGTCAATTTCTTATGTGATTTTCTTTCCCTTGTAGCACAGCCACCACCAGAAGAACAGGAAGCCATACCCTATCATGGTGTATATTCACGGAGGGTCCTACCAGACTGGCATGGGGTCAATGCTAGACGGTGCACCACTGGCCACACATGAAGTCATCGTCATCACTTTAAATTACAGACTGGGCCCACTCGGTAAATTCTCAACCTTGAATGGTCATAGGTCTACCCAAATTTATTTTCATATTATCAAAGGTATCAAAGGATATACATATTGACAAACAGTCAATGTGAATAGAGGACAAGGGCCTACTGAATAAACGAGTAGAATGCATTCAGAATGCATCTGCTTTTCTTGCAGATGAACAAAACCATTTGTCAGAAATGTCATTGTTTACGACAATCCGTTCTGTACGGAGTTATGTTATTCTAGAAAATAATTTAACGTTTTCCTGGACATTTAACGAAATATGTGAACGGTGAAAATGCAGGTACACATTACACACTCCTAGACGCGAAATGCCATTCACACGTTTGCTCATGAACGTCGTCTGTAAACGTTTGTTTCAATTTAAACAAATTGAAATGATAACAAAGGGTATGATTGTCTTAGTACCCCGATGACCTCAATTGTTTATTCTTCAAACCGTCCTGGAATGTGTTGAACGTGTTGTCATGACAACGTCAAATGTTTCACATTCCCCAATTACCAAGTGTTGATACGTACAAACTAAGCTATAGGAACCAGATGTAGATTGCAGGGTTGATTTAGCAATGTCACATGTGCTGGTTTGGTCAGGTGGTCTCACTTTTAATGTTTGCCTTAGGACAAATATGTGGGGAAGTGTCTTTTGTTGAGCGTTTATTTTATCAGAGGTTGACCTTGACAAGGTGCCTTATTTAATCCTTCCTTCTTGTCTCTATGGTCAACCTCCACATTTCAATAGATTTCATTTAAATATTGTTTTATATTTGTTGACCTCAGTGAGTAGTCATATATGTACATATATTTTACATTGATAGGATAGACATGTGGCTTCTTGCGTAGGGGTTTCAAATGGTCGGGATTGATACCTGTACACATACATGCACGTAAGCATTAATATATATGTATATTAACAGTATGCATTATTATATCCTAATGTGGACACCATCACCCGCACGAATGCTCCTGTTTATGTCATATCGTTGACTCTCACCAAGGTTACCAGAATATTCTAATAACGGTCTGTAATAATATTGAGGGGCTATAAATTATATATGTGTTCTTATATGACGTTGCTCTGTTTATGAACTATTTTATATCATCTTTTAACAGTTTACTTAATACACAGTCAAATATGTTTTAAAGGATTCCTGTCTGCTGCGGATTCTGAAATACCCGGGAATTTTGGAATGCTTGACCAAATACAAGGTTTAAAGTGGATCAAGGAGAACATAGCAGTATTTGGTGGTGATCCAGAGCGAATTACTATAGACGGTCACAGCGCCGGCGGATGCAGTGTTGGTCTCCTGATGTTTTCTCCTTTAGCTAGAGGTACAGTGACTTGCAATCCATACTAACTTATTCTGGAGAACTCCTATAGTCACGCTACAACATAATGTAATCCGGGAAGCACTTTAACCTAATTGATCACTGTGAGTGAGTTGAGGTTAACGCCGCTGACAGTATTCCAGTTACATCACGGCGTGTCTGCTTAATGTGGGAGAAAAGCCCGAAGTAATGCAGGTCTCGGAGGTTTACCACTTTGGTGAAACCCTCGAGCACGGGTATGGTGCTCACACACCTAGAAACATAATTGGTGTGGTCATTATGAAAAAAATGCTTATAAAGACTATAACTAAACCACTAGCAAGTATATCACGGTATGGAAATGAGATACATGTACATTGTCCTTATGAAATAACGAAGTGATTTCAATTGACCAGAAATTAATCTAACATGTAACGATATTTTCTGCATACTAGTATATATTTTCAAATCTCACTGATACTAAACATCAACGCTCACATGAACAAAAATGTTTCAGAAGAAGTATATCGTAATTCCTAATAAATATGGCACATACATAATGTCATTATGACATTATTTCCTGTAATTTTGCATAAAAAAGAAAATATAAATATTTCGTGTTGTGTTGAGACATTGTAACGATTTAAGTTTACCAACATGTACCGATTTAAAAATGCGTTCACGTAGTAGAATAAAGGTTATTGTCACGCTCAAAGTAAATGCATTATTTCAACAAAATAAGTGTGACAACATCCAGTAAAATTGTTCACAACTAAACAGTCTCCGTTCAGAGTACTGATGCCCTGCCGAACAAATGTTTCCCCTGTATATCGGCGCCCATAATTCTTCGCAGCATTATATTTTCTGATTGCAGGAGGCTATAAATGTGTCATATTTACGTAATATCTCCCGTCACCAGTTTTTCATTTGACTTCTTTCAGGTCTGTTTCAAGGAGTAATTCAGCAAAGTGGCTCCCCGTTTGCCCACTGGGCGTTGACGAGGCACAGGAGAGGACCCGACTTTTACTTTAAGTACTTTTCAGCTGCATTAGGGTGTGCAGCGAACAGCACGAAATTAATCAAAAAGTGCCTCAAAAGCCTACCGTCCGAACAGATAGAGAGGATGATATATGAGAAGATTGAGGCGAGTACATATATTTTCATATATTTTTATTTGCATCCGACAATAAACATTTATTACCGGCGTTTTCGCGTTTTTAACATTACGGGATAGGTTTTTGCTAAATCTTGGTATTTTTCACATAACGATATGTATCTATTTGAATCATATCATCAGTTCGGTTTAAGGAGAATGTTTGTATTTTGGGCACAAAATGTAATAGCCGATTTTCCATTGCAATGCTTGTGATGACGAAATGAGGGTCGACATCAGATTGAAATGAAGTTTTTCAGTTTGGAAAATCTGCCTTACAGAACAAATTGTTTAATCAATAAAATAATATCTAACAAGATTCGCTGACAGTTTATAGCATAGAATTGGTCGTGATGCTGGCCACCTTTTGATATCAGTTTTACCCTTTTAGGCAAACTACCAAAGGTATCCACGGTAATAGACCTGAATAAAATGAAACTTTGTTGTTGAAATAATTGGTTTATGACATTACAAAAAGAAGAGAAATAATATAGTATGAAGATTTCGGATGAAATAGGTCCGTACAACAGTGCTTATTGGATTGAAATAATGCACGTCACACGCTGGTATCAGTGCTTATCGCACTGGTGGGTGTGGGGGTTGGGTGTGGGTGTGGGGTATGTCTTGTCATGTTTTCAGTCAATGATTTGGCCCAACCACGATTATTCACGACGCGAATAGTTGCAATATTACTATGGCGTTAAACAACATTCACTCACTGCTATATCAATGATACACTTTCCCACAGCTGAAATGAATCGATGCGCTTAAGCATTTATTATAAACCCTGTCCACACTAAAGACAGACACGTTTCAAATGTGTCACATAATCTGTGGGGTTTGTTTTATTCACAATCACGCCGCCGGGAACAATCAATGGCGGGAGATTTGCACCAAACTTTACTCAGTATAGAATGTCGGCCTGGGCTAGCATACTGACACATATTTCTCATTCGTCAATAGTCGACTGCAGGCCCAATTCTACTTTTGTGTTCTACAGCATTGATCTAATGATTTTGTCGTTTATACCGTTTAAGTGCGGCAGTTTTCATCTCAGCTTAAAAGATTTAAAGAACTACCGTACACGAGCACTCAAATCGGACCGATGTGGATGTTGAATGTGAAAAATGGCACTCTATTCATTATTTTACCATTCATCCGTTCCAGGATTAATACTATTCATTCACTCTGCATTATTTCAATCTTTTATTCTTTCCATCATTTAATCATATTTTGATCACTGATAATTCATTATAAGCATATACACAATGCAATGTATTTATCAATATTTGTTTTAGTCAATCGTTCAACTATCCCTTTTCTGTATTTCCCTGATCAGTGTCATTTATCATGTAACACACTCACTCATTGTGGTTTTAACACTGATTTTGTAACGACGGCCAAACCGTGTGCTTGTCGTGAAAGAGACCTGGGTTCGATTGCCAACGCTTGAAATACACGAATCCCATTCTCTTCCGTCGTCTCAAGCACTGTAAACTATTTCTTTACTATCATCTATTAGAACAGGGCATTCGGTTAGCCAAATGGTAAAGCGTCGGTTTATCGTGACGAAGGATCGGTTTCGATTTCCAACATGGATGTAATGTATGATACCACTGCTTTATGAGTATGTTGGAATAGTTCTAAAAGTCACCTCATCTTACCCTCTCACTCCAGACCACCTAGTACCACAGCTATTATTAAAGTAACAATTTAATATAGACTCTCTATTTTGGATCCAACAATGTCAAGGAAGTTTGCATTTTCTGTCTCAGGGTGCCGGGAGTCTTTCCAAGCTGTGACTGACCGTACTCTTACCTAGCTCACTTGGCACATTGCCCCAAATAAAGGCATCACAGATTGATCAACAGCTCATCGTAACCCGACGGACATTTTCTGTCTCAGGGTGCCGGGAGTCTTTCCAAGCTGTGACTGACCGTACTCGTACCTAGCTCACTTGGCACATTGCCCCAAATAAAGGCATCACAGATTGATCAACAGCTCATCGTAACCCGACGGACATTTTCTGTCTCAGGGTGCCGGGAGTCTTTCCAAGCTGTGACTGACCGTACTCGTACCTAGCTCACTTGGCACATTGCCCCAAATAAAGGCATCACAGATTGATCAACAGCTCATCGTAACCCGACGGACATTTTCTGTCTCAGGGTGCCGGGAGTCTTTCCAAGCTGTGACTGACTGTACTCGTACCTAGCTCACTTGGCACACTGCCCCAAATAAAGGAATCACAGATTGATCAACAGCTCATCGTAACCCGACGGACATTTTCAAGATGGGGAGACGATAAAACGCGATAGGCTTCGATAGATTTTAGATTAGGTACTGGCGTTCTAATTTTTCTTGAACCATGAATGTCGATTTTCGGGTTTCGGGACAGAATGGACTTTGCAGTAACGATTTTTGAAGTAAATGTACAGTTTATGATCAAAGCTCTTTAAAAAGTTTTAATTACTTTATTGCTTAGGCTATGTTCTATTGAGACAATAGATTTACATCCGGATACTTCTTGAAAACCACTTTGATAAGATTAGCAACGTTTACTGTGAAGTATCAAATTTACGTTTTGACACATTGTGTTGGGACTCAAGATAACGTTATGCATCTTATTTCACTGCAACATAAATGACATCGCGTCTTGACAACTAAGGAAATCATATCCCATATGCTTCATGTCAGCTGACGGCATATTCTCTCTATGGATGTGTTTACGTCAGGGTTTGCCACTGTTTGTTATCTCCGACATTTACGTCAGCATTGCTAGATCTAATGCTTCCATTACTGACATTATACCTTTCACGACCAACCAGATAGGTCCGCCATTGTGATGTATGATCCAATGCACTGCGGGTCTCTCGTCGAGCGCTGTTCCCCTCTGCAGGGGACTTAACTCGTTTTTCACATATATACAGATTTATTATATGCATGTAGAAATATACATTCACACCTGCGGCTATTATGATGTGTTGGCAAGGCAACCAACAAGATAGTTAGAATTTATTTGCAAGATCGACCGTGATAAAGTCCGAGGAAGGTGGTTCGGGTGTGAGTTATCTCCCTTGATTTACTCTGGTATCCGGCGAACATTCTTATGAGATTGCATCTAGTTCCCCCCCCCCCCCTCCACTGTACATCCCTCACAGGGATGTGAAAAAAAGGTTCCATGGGTCTTTGTACCTGGGCATCTGATGGACAATGTCGGGCGTGGATGGTTCTAAACTGAGACGTTTTATCAAATATCAGAGAACCGGCGTGACGTTCCCGGTCACATGGTGCCGTGGTAAAATACTTCGAGATATAATCTCAATCGTACTCATAGATAGTCCCGTGCTCGTGGGTTTCACCGAAGTGATAAACGTCTGAGATCTGCATCACTTCGGGCTTCCCTCCCACATCAAGCTGACACGCCGCGACAAACTGGAATACGTTAAGCGGCGTTAAACCCAACTCAGTCACTCACTCATACATAGTCGGTTATCGGTTCATCCGATCGCTGGGATATTGTTATTAGTTGTCATCCATATGATTTAGTTTGAGATGACTTCTCTGCATGCGAGAACTCACTTGTAAACCTACAATTTAAATGTTGGGGAGTCTTCACTTTTCTGGGTGAGTTTGACCAGGCAGCTCTTCTTGTTAGAAGTCCCATTCGCTGTCTGGGCTGCGTGTAGAGTGTGCAAGCGCCCTGAGCTGATGATGAGCATAACCAGCCTGACTGTGCCAGGATAATCCAAATCCTCTTTGCTGCGTTTTTTAAATTTTAATCTGTAATAATTAATAATCTTTAATAATAATAATAATAACTGATCAGTGTAAATTTAACATGCATTCTCGGATCCCCGGGGATTATTCAGATACAATACTCCAGATAATACGAAGTCAGTTCGAACGAAAGGAATATGGGCGCAAGGCTAGCCTGGTGGTTAAAGCGTTCGCTCGTCACGCCGAAGACCCGGGTTCGATTCCCCACATGGGTGAATCCCATTTCTGTTGTCTTCCGCCGTGATATTGTATGAATATTGCCAAAAGCGGTGTAAAACCATACTCACTCGCTCACTGGAACGAAAGGTCTGATATGAGGTGGTCAGGTGTTCAGTAGGTGGTGGATAATGACATAACGATTTTGCAGGCGCCATGAGCGGCTGTATTATGAATTCTGACTTTTGTGCACTACTATAAGATCAATACGTTACACAAGCTGTGAGTTTGCCATTTCATCAACATTAAACCATTTACAGATACCATAAACGAACTGGATTAATATTATGGTAGTGTGTAATTGTATCATATCAGTAATGTCCATTATGAGGAATGCACGGGTGGTCTAATCGTCCACGGCACTGGAATTAGTCGTGCAGAGCTGCGTCCCTGAGTAGTGCAAGCATCTGCGCTTGGTGAAAGTGAATCACACAATCGCCGTGAATATGATGATGAGGCTTGGTTTGTCAGCACTCGTAGCTCGTCGATTTTACCAATTTATCGTGGTAAAATATAAACATCTACAGCTTGTCTCAATTGGATTGTCCTCCATATACTTGATGCGCAATAATCAATTCTCAACACTACACAATATACACAGACATAGATATTTTTAAAACTGCATTGACTATCTATGGAAGTCACTTTGTTGCTAGGTTCCTCATAGGTGCCAAATAATGTAGAAGTCCACTCCAAATTAACGTAAAAACATACGTTTGTCACCAGTCTTCTGTCGATGGTCTGAAATGTATAGGCCAATTATCACACGTCACTATCGAATTAAACTATTCCGTAACCCTCGCAGCCGTGATTATTGTTGGCGATAATCATTTCATTATATCTAATCGTTATATTCTACATAACACCCCATATTTTACAGTCCGTTTATCTGCAACTTCTTCTTATTGCGATTAACTATGTTGTACTATGTTCAATAATCAATATATTTTCTTGTGTTGTAGATGCCCCTGTCTCTTGTCCCCCCATTCCGGCCAGTGGTCGATGGTTACTTCCTGCCGGACACGCCAGAAAGATTAGCGGTCAAGGGTCCAGTGAACGCTAAGTACTTCCTGACGGGCGCCACTCAGGATGAGGGGGTTATTGCGGGTAGGTCTCCAACAGGATACTGCATTGAACCCTGTAGTGCTTATAAAATATTTAGTAGTGCGAAAACATTAGTTATGAAAGGAAGCCTCTGGAGGTAAGGGTAAAACTTAAAACAAAACAATGTATTTGAAAAAATCATCTGCTAAAGAAGGAGGTCATTTAAAGACTTTCAGGCCTTTTATAAACATTTGAGTTGTTGAAGTTTTGAAAATGTTTCGGAGACAAGGTTCTGATTTACATATGATATTCTCCCACATAATGCACATATTTGCATTTCATTCAGAATAATTTGAAGAAATTGCCACGAATGACCTTGATAATATGTTTAGTTTCACCGTCACATTATGATGAATGAGATATAGCATGCGACTTATTGACGATACCATTGTATACAGACACATTTCAAATGTACAACAACAGGTCAATGCTGTCACGGCAGGTAGAAAGTAGTATTCAGACGACGTAAGGGATATAATTTTTTGTGTGTATATTAGGTGCGTAAAATAACCAAAAAAACCCGATGAAAACAAAGCTCTAAACTGGTAGTTCGCTACAAGAAGATTGGTATTGATCATCATGTATAATGAATCACCTTTGTTTTCTTTAATAAATGCTAAACAAATGATCTGTGTTACAGCAATACCTTTCGTAAAGGAGCACGGAACGGGAAAACATGGCTCTCAAAAGTTATTGGCAGTGATGAACTGCTTCCGGGGTGATTTACCTGAAGTAGAAGGAATTGTGGGTATGTAAATCAGCTCTTCTTTGCATGTATTCAGAGTCGAATTAGCCTACCACTCATTTCTTTAAAAAGACGCCGTGAAGTGTATCTGTAAGCGGCATTAAGCGTCCGTTGGTAATTTCTTGAAATATGACATTACACAGAAGAAACCGCGAAGGCCTTCACACACTTGGATTATATAGTGCAAGGTCTTTGTATCTATGTCTCTCTCTAATAGACATTGTGAGCTTTGATGAGACAGACAAGCTTATGTTCGAAGGTAATCCAATCCACTATTAAAACGTTCCTAGCTTTGACGTAATGCGAATGACCTTGTGGAAGTAATAACCAGAGTATCCACACATAATCCAGACTAAAGAGATTTGATTTTAACCTAAAGGAACATATTGAAACGTTACAAGTATATACATTTCGTCTGTAGCGGAGACATATCCAAACTTTAAAGTCATTAGTATGAAGTTCAAAACGTTCACCGTTAATAAATACGGCGTAAGACTATAACCCTGTCACCACCCTGTCACCTGAGGCCTCTAGCCTTCAGATCTCTTCCTCTCGCCACCATTGATCCTACAGATCGATACCTCTTCAGTGGCATCGATTACCATCTAGAAATCAACCAAGATTCAATCTTAAATGGGTCTTGATCTACCAGGAGCTTAAGATTGTCTATCTGTTAAAGGTCACGAACGTGACAAAGCCGGAAGTCTATGTCGTCAACAAAGACGACGTAAACAGTAGTTATTGTAGAAAGATTACGCAAAAGGAAGACCACGGGGGTTCTGGGTTTTCGGAATGGGGGAATGTGCATTATATTATGGTAAGGGCCAATAGCCGAAGTCAAATTCCAGTGAAGCATATAATTCTGAATTATATTTTCTTTAAGAGACTTGGCGTGGGGTCCTTATTTTCCCATTTTCAACGAGAAATAATTATAGATAATCTGTTAAATGTCAAGGTAATAGAAAAAGGTTGGTTTTATTGGTTATTGATTTAGGTTACGTTATGATAAAGGGAACAGAGTTCATCAGGTGTAGCCAGAAGTTTTATAATGGAAGATAACGTGGTGTAAATACACGTATGTGATTGACACCGACTTAAAAAGTAGGTTACACAGAGATGTAAATGTAGGTAATAGTGATTTTCTCCATATCTCTTTCATAACTAACTTCATTTGATTCACTTAAGTTTGGGCTTGTACGTATTGGCTTGATTATCTGTTTACTGGATAGGTCTGTAACGATTCAGCGTCTGTAATGATTCAGCGTTGTGCCCCGATACAATCTCTCGTCCAGATATCACGCATTGATATGAAACGATAGTGTGTGTACGGTGAATACATGTTTATGATATGGAATGAAGTTCCTGATGGAATCCTGGTGTGCTCTCAAGTCTTTATTAGTTTAATTAACAACAGTTTACTGTATTTGGACGCTTATGATGAGTAAATATGAATGTACCGCTACGATTTAATATCGATATATCTATTGCATCGCTACAAAATATATAGCTACAGCCTTTTAGTCCTTGCTAAGACTATTGCTTGGTTTCTTCTCCATTTGATACTGATTTATAAACATATGTTCATGATATAGTCGGAATCGTACGATGGAATTTGCTTTTAGCAGATATTTCTTTGGATTGTGGAAATTGTTTTTATCGCTTTTATTTTCAAACACGTGATCTTGCAATTTGAATTTGTGTGTGTTTGGAATAATACAAACAAACAATTTGATATAAACGATGTTCTTGCAAGTTTGAATTTGTTTGTATTTGGCATAATATAACCTCTCGTCTAGAAAGTATATTTTTGACGTTTGATTACCAGATTCCGTTATGGAGCACTATACTCAGTGGCCGTTTGACAGAGGGGAAGAATACATCAGACAGAGATTCTCAGAGGTATGTGCAATGGCACGGATTGACCATCATATCTTACGTGGTCATGCAGTCAACTCACCGTCACATCTGTCACAACTCATGTTATCGATCTCTTACCCCTCGGAGAACCAGCATTCTGACATCAAAGATGAAGTAGTTATCATACGTCTTGCACGTGAATATTGATTATAAGTCAGTCCATATCATGTGTGTCTCATCACACTGGCTTTGATCAGAGCATGCGCATCGGGATTGGCTTTCTCACTTTCCCGTAACGGCCTTGTCATTCGGAATGACGCGATCATAATCTTGACTTACTCAAAATTAGGATATTGAATGTGGAGTTGAGAAAATTTCGCTAAGGAAATGTCGGTAAATGGTGAATAATATGATTATGTTTTAGGGCCAATGACTGTTTTATGCGAGTGGAACCATAAAATGTAATTCCAGCATTGGTAATATGTATAATAACGACCATCAATATCTCAATGGACCTAGATTATATTTACGTTGGACATACATGATCTTTATAAAGGATCCACAATTACTTTCGTCCACAAATAGAAGTGAAACATGGAACGAAAATAACCACATATTTAGGGTAGCTGTGCTTTACAGCGATCTTCTATCTAAATTTGCTTTGGCAGCCATCTACCTCCGGCGATGTTAAATTGATGATATACTTAATGTATGGGAATGAGCTGAGTTGTCGTAAGTATCTGGACCTGAATCTCTGTGCTATGAAACACCTCAGACTTCCATTGATAAAGTCCATGTGTAGGGAGGGGTAAGGATACGGCTGCATATCATCGTGCAAATGCATCGATTAAAAGCTTATGAGTAAGTGAATGGGCTTCTCGGTAGTTGTAATAACACTTTAACAGCTATAACGATACACGCCTGCACCTAACAAACTTGTGATCGATAACGTGAACAACGATCAACTCTGCAGGGCACTATGAAACATAATTAGTAAGTTCAGTGATGTGAGTACGTCTTTACTAGTGGTCATCCAGACTTGCAGACTCCTCTAAGGAAAGTATTAATTGACAACAAAATAACAGTTACAACAATTAAATTTAGAATTATAAATAAAAATAAATTGCAAAATTGTCATCAACGAATTTCGATCTTATGAAGACCTAATTGCATATCTGTCAAGCTACAATAAGCGGAATGTTTTGTTTGTTTATTGTTTATTGCCTCTCACGATCAGCATATTTTGAAGGGGACCTACTCTAACACAGAATCTCCACGGAGCAACAAATGGAATAAAATGAGTTTTTCCTTCAATCCAGCCTTGGAGCAAGGCTGGAGGTCACCTATCCCAGCACTATCAATAACATTTCAGTTAGCTTTTACGATGGGGTGAAGTATGGGGTGCAACATTGTCCCCGTGGGTGTATTCTGTTTGAGAGACACATAATAACTCGGATAAGGATGACATTATCATACATCGTGTTATGAACCTCACCGTTTGTCTTGCTGTATTAGGGGTGGTATGTAGCATAGTGGTGAAAGTCTTGCCTTGTTTCTACGAAGACCCGGTTCGACTCCCAATATGGGTTAAACACGTGAAGCCATTTCTTGTGTCTCCCTACCGTGATAGGGATGGAACATAGTTGAAATCCATCTCACTGCCGTTCGGCTCAATCACGATACATAACTCCTTTGAGTACTCAATAAAAAAAATGATCATTTTCGAGAAAGGATAATCTCTGACTGATGCTGATATGGACCGTAAAGTATGCCGTTTTGAGAAAAAATGATTTATTGAAAATATAAATTCTGTTTTTTCCTCCAGATTGTTGGCGACTATTTCATCGTGGCCCCCATACACAAAGCAGCTAGCGTCCTCTCCCGACACAACCTTACAGTCTTCGTCTACAACTACGAGTACAAATCCGTCTTCGACAAATGGCAAGGTACAGACCCACACAGAACAACTGGGCGTTGTCCATGTGCACCTTGCATGATAGAAATATATTAATAGCCACTACCGTTAAATCTCCCACATGATCACCTGATACGTGAAAGGCTTAAATTGAAACCATTACTAATTCTATATCCAGCACATGTATGTCAGTCATGTCCAAGTTTCAAACTGTTTTGAGGTACGTTGAAAACACTCTGTGTATATTTATGCAAATACAAGATCAGGGACATATGGCATCTCGTTAACGCAAATAGGCCGCTGGGTAAAAAAATCCGTCTTTTGTTAGGGTTGCCTTGGGGTTAAGCCATGGCGTTCTTGTAGGTTTAGTCTCGTTGGAAATGATCTTGAAACAATTACAACAAGGGGGTTATGGGGTCATATGCTGTATTCAGTAAGTAGGTAGTCATGTGAGATATGGCATCACTCTCTATTATAAGCACAGATCCACATTTTCTGGTATAAGCATAGATCCACACTTTCTAGTATGAGTGAAGATCCACGTCTTCTGAAGTAAGCGTAGATCCATACTTTGTGGTATAACCGTAGATCCACGCATGGTATAAGCGTGGATCCTTATCTTGTGGTATAAGCGTAGATTCACGCCTTCTGGTATAAGCGTAGATGCATACCTTCTGGTATAAGCAATTAGCATAGATCCACACCTTCTGATATAATCATAGATCCACTCGTCCGTGGTATTAGCGTTGATCCTCACCTTCTGATATAATCATAGATCCACTCGTTCGTGGTATAAGCGCTTCTTCCCGAGGCAAGAGAGTTAACTGACTTTAAAAGTCCAGTTTCCACCCTTGCCGAACTAGGCTGGAATTCCTGGGCTCGATCGTAGCGCCACCAGTGGCTATTACGAGTTATGTCCATTCTATGCGTCTCCTAAGGACCAATCAGATTCAACCTCTCGTATCACTTGCATTTGTTTCAAACAAAACGGTGGCGCCCAATCAAGACGATCTGATCGATAATCAAGATCTATATTGTGATAAAACGAGTCTTACATCGCGAAGTGCATCAAATCACGTCAGGCACCTTGATTAAAAACATGAAAAGATTTAGAAAATATCTGTTGACAACGAGTTAGCGGTACGCATGCTTTGCAAATCCTGGAGTCGACCGAAATCTGCATGACACTCTACGAACCGGATTTCGATTTCGGTGCACGATTTTGATTGGACTATGCATAGACTCGTTAGTCCAGCCAAAATGTAACTCCATAATACCAGCCTAGTTCGGCAAGGGTGGAAACTGGACTTTTATAGTCATTTAACTCACTTGCCTCGGGAAGATGTATAAGCGTTGATCCTCGCCTTCTGATATAAGCATAGCCCCACATGTTCGTGGTATAAGCGTTGATCCTCACCTTCTGATATAATCATAGATCCACTCGTTCGTGGTATAAGCGTTGATCCTCGCCTGCTGATATAAGCATAGCCCCACATGTTCGTGGTATAAGCGTTGATCCTCACCTTCTAATATAAGCATAGAGCCACTCGTTCGTGGTATAAACATAGATCCACACCTTCTGATGTTAACATAGCCCCACTCGTTCGTGGTATAAGCATAGATCCACACCTTCTGATATAAGCATAGTTCCACTCTTTCGTGGTATAAGCGTAGATCCACTCGTTCTTGGTACAAGTATAGATCCACTCGTTCGTGGCATCAGCATAGATCCACACCTTCTGATCATATCATAGGTCAACATTTCGGGGTATAAGAAATAGCCCCACTACTGTGTATAAGCTTGGACTCACACCTTCGGGTATATGAGCACCTGGTATAAGCATGTATTTACACTTTCTGTGTATAAGCGTAGACCCACAAGCTTTGATCGATTCCTTTGCTGACAATTGATTATGATGGTTACGTCTTATTACATAATGATTAATAATCTGACATACTAACATGTAAACTGTTTATGATATTACCATACCGCTTTTGTTTTGTTTTGCCTTATTAATATGGTTGGTTTAAGATGCATATAATTGTTTTGTAATTTTTCGTTTTGTGATTATGCTTTGTTTGTTTTGTTGCCATTTTATGACCCTTTTTGAGTTTCACGTTTTCTTAATCTCCAATATTGTCATAGCTGCATATTCAACAGGTGTCATCCATGGCGCTGAGCTGTTCTACCTGTCAGGATACCCCCTCGTTAAGCACCCGAACTTCCGGTATGATGAGTCCGACAAGACAATGGCCAGGATGCTCCTCATGTTCTGGGCGAACTTCGTCAAAAATGGGTGAGATGATTAAATCAACTCTTAGTGACCAAACCACACTGTTCCATCTGTAAGATGACTCTGTCATTGCATACCTCTTGCACATATACTTGCCTCCTTTACCGAGATTCGTTGATCGTGGGTTCTCAACGACTGGAAGCGTTAGTCTGTAAACATCATACACCTGCTCGGTGGTAGCAGCAAAGCAATCGACGAGCCTCATTAATTCGGGGTTCTCAACAGGGTGAAACACGATCTCTAGGGGTCTCTGCATTTTGTGTAATTTATACTTTTGTGAGTACACATTTTATACTCACTGGACACTAGATGGAATCCTTGCGCTTGTTGTAAAGAACACTATGTAGGAAGTGTGATGTCATAATGGCTACTGAGAGTAAATTGTACTGGCGTTCCCCGCCGTAAAACCACACTCACTCACTCACTCACTCACTTGTACTGGCGGTGCTAATTTGTATGTCATCGTAAGAGACGACGTATATCAAATAGTCATTGGTTTGTCTTGTCCGAGAACGAGTAATATTCTATTACAATACTGATGCACATACAAACAGTGTTAGCGTAAGGTCTCGCACTATATGCTTTTGAGATCACACATTCACATTCACAAGCACTGACATCAGTCCAAACAATGAACGAATTTAGAATTACACCCGGGGAAACATAATTCTCCTTCCCAAGGTTGTAAGAAGACGTGTTGAAGTTTTAATTCCTCTACATGCATTGTTCAATACAGTTCAACACTATAAGAATAGTGTGGCTTATAAGTCCATTAACAAATAATCAGTTTGTTGTGACCTAACCCGTTTTCTTTCCTGTGTCACAGCCTACCATCCCTTGTCCCACTGAAAGAGTTCCACATGGCCCGCTTCACTGAAGACCAACCTCTCTTCACCCGCTTCGTATCCTACGAAGATGGCCCGACGGTCATCGTTGACCACCACTTCAAGACAGAGAAGCTGTCCTTCTGGAACAATGGCGTTCAGGAGCTGTACCGACAGCAGTACAGAAACTACCTCGTGGACGGCGAGAACGTCGTCCGTCCCGGAGACTACATCATTACCCATACCTCCAATAGCTGGATTCTGATAGCCGCATGTATCGGACTGTCTGTTCTTACCGTCCTGTTGTCCGTGTGCTACTGCCAGATGAGACGTCAGGTCAGCATCCTCATCAGACAGAACAGTGTCTCCAGCGGCGAGAGGATGCTGTAGTAGGACTATACTATGTGTGATGGGCTCCGGGGTCACGTAGAGGAAGAGGAAGAGGAAGAGCAAGAACGAACATGAGTCGAGGACAGTGACAGTTTTGTTTTAGAGTCGACATGGTCATTCCCTGGGGAATTGTAATTCAGGGCAATTCAATGCAATTGGCTGATGACCATATGTCATGGACTGGCATCACGTGTTATCCGTCATCCTAACATTTCACGTCATGTGTCTGAGAAGAAGACATTTCTATGAATATGTTATTGGCGAGAAATGATGTAGTCGCTCTATGTCCACAGATACGTACAATTGGATAACGTCACCTATGAAGATGAATATATTTTTACTCTGGTGACAGAAACGCTGACAGACACACGAACCAATGATATGTATCATGGTTGTAGCAACCTGTGTTAACCACTGAACAGGGATATATGTAACTATATGTACCTCCTTGATATTGACCTGAAATGTACAACGCATATGATAGGGGTTGCCGTGCAACCCTACTGTCATTCTAAGTTGTCAACGCTGTTGTGCACGTTTGACTTGTGTGATGAAGCTTATTATTCGGACCTAGTTACCCCCGGAGCCCAATCTTCTGGAGTCTGTGATGTTAATGTCGGATCGCTGTATCCATTCCCCATTTTATACACATACATATCCACACGTGTGTTCGCACATGGTGCATTCCAGGGTGATATTTCTGATGTGTTCATTGACGAGCGGTATGTGGGTGCGAAAGATGATACAGATTGGATATGGACATATGTACATAGCACATTATTTGTTGACTGTTGTTAAGGAATGTACATATCATTACCTTGTCAATATCAAGTATATTTCAGATATATTTAATGTGCATTGTTTGTGAAATTCGGTTTAATATAATGAAGTAAAATATACATGTAATTATTTTCAATGAAGGACGATTGCATGGAAGGTGGTCTTGAAAGAATTGGATTGTATATTTGAACATAAATATGGGCCCTTATGAATATAAAAATTTAAAGTGTGAGTTAAGGGTGGAAAGAAATAAGGGACATCTTTTTTTATTGTTTTCGTGTCAATGCACATGAACTATCAACTGTAGAGAAGCAATACGTTCAGTGCATTTCTGTTGAAAATCAGTATGCCAGGTCTCATCAATCACAGTATAGTTTAATAAAACGAAATATTCAATCACTAAAGCAATAAATTAACATTTTGTTTTAAAATCAGCAAATATTTAACGTTTTTCGTCCTTAAATGATTTTTCAATAACTTATAACTTGTGATTATGATTAAAATGAATGCACATTTTTTTCTGAAAGTATGTGGATGGTAGAAATGACAGTTAACAAGCAATCTACAAGCATGAGGACCCATGTAAGACTCACAATGTTATTGTATATGGTTGGTGTTGTAAATTTCAGAGTGTCTATATTTCTTCTAGATGTACGTGTACAGTCGTAATCCAAGGTTTTGTAAGTTAAATATTTATACTTTTATATATTGCATATCATATGGATCTATTTCGTTAAGTGGTGACAATTCGTGTTACATCAAGTTTTGTGCTTTTATTTATAACGGACAGTTCAAAAATGGTCGTTGGGTTAAATTAATGCAGGAGATTAGCGATAGGAGGGCTGTTGAAAAGATAAACATGAACTATAGATATATAGAAAGTATTCATATGAAAATCATGTTCAATCGTTGATCACATAAGTTAACGGTTATCGATCACTTGTAGGACCAGTCCGAGCATGTGACATAGGTAATCTTCGTGCGTGTTCATGCAACGAAGATTGAAATATTTGAAGCTTGCCAAGTATATTTCCATCTGTAATCAGGGCGACACCGTCATTGCCGCTCAGTTGTATTCCAGAAAACTGTGATAGTGGGTTCGAATCCCGGTTCGCCCGGACTTTGCTACGGGACTTGTCAGCACATTGCCCGTGCTCAAAGTAAATGTCTAAGACCTGCATCACTTCGAGCTCCACTCACACATCAAACTGGAATGCCACCATATAACTGAAATACTGTTCAAAGCCTCGTTAATCGTTGAAGTTCATGTTTCAGCTACAGAGACATCAAAAAGATATACTGTAATGTACATTTCCACAGCCTTCTCTTGGTGTTTCACTGAAATTCATATACTGCCACTTGTAGGCTTTAGTACTTGAGGGGCGGTCGGGTAGCCTAGTGGTTAAAGCGTTCGCTCGTCACGCCGAAGACCCGGGTTCGATTCCCGACATGGGTACAATGTGTGAAGCCCATTTCTGGTGTCCCCCGCCATGATATTGCTGGAATATTGCTAAAAGCGGCGTAAAACCATACTCACTCACTCACTCACTTAAGTACTTGAAATAGAAAGAGAATTTTACATTGGATGTTCAAATTGTCAAATTTAGCTACGATACAATTTACTGTTGTTATCATCCCGAGGTCAAACGAACGTGAACTTATTTTTGTCTCGAAATGTGCTGCAGTATTCATTTATGTGACGGGTACCCATATCCCGAGGTATATACTATATGATATGTACCCTCGTCCTACATGATACATCTGTGGGGCGGCTATCTTGACCTTGACGTATCTGTGTGACGGGTACGCTGTCTCTATGTAATAACAAATGTGATTGGTACCCTTATCATAATGTTCATACCTATGTGACAGCTACCGTTATCTAGAAGAATATACATGTACCTATGTCATGGTCACCCTGTTCTGGAAGTACATACTTATTTGACCGGTACCCTTATCTCGAAGTACATACCACGTGACGGGTACCCTCATCTCAAAGTACATACCACGTGACGGGTACCCTCATCTCAAAGTGCATACCACGTGACGGGTACCACCATCTCGAAGTGCATACCACGTGACGGGTACCCTCATCTCAAAGTACATACCACGTGACGGGTACTCTCATCTATAAGTACATACCAAGTGACGGGTACCCTCATCTCGAAGTGCATACCACGTGACGGGTACCCTCAACGCGAAGTACATACCACGTGACGGGTACCCTCATCTCGAAGTACATACCACGTAACGGGTACCCTCACCTCAAAGTACATACAACGTGACGGGTACGCTCATCTCGAAGTGCATACCACGTGACGGGTACCCTCATCTCAAAGTACATACCACGTGACGGGTACCCTCATCTCGAAGTGCATACCACGTGACGGGTACCCTCATCTCAAAGTACATACTACGTGACGGGTACCCTCATCTCGAAGTACATACCACGTGACGGGTACTCTCATCTCGAAGTACATCCCACGTGACGGGTACCCTAATCTCGAAGTACATACCACGTGACGGGTACTCTCATCTCGAAGTGCATACCACGTGACGGGTACCCTCATCGCGAAGTACATACCACGTGACGGGTACCCTCATCTCGAAGTGCATACCACGTGACGGGTAACCTCATCTCAAAGTACATACCACGTGACGGGTACCCTCATCTCGAAGTACATACCACGTGACGGGTACCCTCATCGCGAAGTACATACCACATGACGGGTACCCTCATCTAGAAGTGCATACCACGTGACGGGTACCCTCATGTCAAAGTACATACCACGTGACGGGTACCCTCATCTCGAAGTGCATACCACGTGACGGGTACCCTCATCTCAAAGTACATACCACGTGACGGGTACGCTCATCTCGAAGTACATACCGCGTGACGGGTACCCTCATCTCAAAGTACATACCACGGGACGGGTACGCTCATCTCGAAGTACATACCGCGTGACGGGTACCCTCATCTCGAAGTACATACCACGTGACGGGTACGCTCATCTCGAAGTACATACCGCGTGACGGGTACCCTCATCTCGAAGTACATACCACGTGCCGGGTACCCTCATCTCGAAGTACATACCACGTGACGGGTACCCTCATCTCGAAGTTCATACCACGTGACGGGTACCCTCATCTCGAAGTTCATACATATACTATGTGACGGTTATCCTTATCTCGAAGAACATAGTTTTACAATGTCACAGATACTCATATCTCGAAGTACATACCTCTCTGATCGGCATTCTTATCTTGAAGTACACACCTATGTAACAGGGACGCTTATCTCGAAGTACAAACCTATGTAACCGCTACCCATATCTCGAAGTACCAATATATAGCATAGTTCTTATTTCAAACATCGATTTATCATAGAGCGTACTTATTTCAACAAACAAAAGCCTTAACATTGTCCGAAAGTTTGGTTTGGTTTGTTTATTGTTTAACGTCGCACTCAGCAATATTCCAGCTATATGACGGCGGTCGTGACCGAGTCTAGACCAGGCAATCCAGTGATTGACATCGTGCGAATCGATTCACGCAATTGGGATCGATGACATGCATCAACCAAGTCAGCGAGCCTGACCACCCGATCCCGTTAGTCGCCTCTTACGACAAGCATAGTCGCCCGTTATTGCAAGCATGGGTTGCTGAAGACCTATTCAACCCCGGTTCTTCACGGGTGTCCGAAGGAATCAAATTTCAAACGTCCACTGCATTTTAATACATTAAGGTTTCAGGTGAATTTCAGGGTTATGTTCACCGAATCATCATTAGATTTCCACCTAACTGTGTGACATCGTCAGTGTGTGAAGCATCCGCGCCAGAGACTTTATAACCATTGTGTTAGAGAAGGCGGTGAAATAGCTTTGTAGCTCACCTGACTTGAATATCATTGAAGTGATAAATATAAGATCTGACAACATTAATCTATTTTCAAATATGAACGTGAACTTGTATACTGTATAATGTAAAGAAACATTTTTTTATTGAAAAGCATACTCGCGTCATTGATAAATAACATTGTTCTGGCCAAGAAAATCATGTTCAACTGACAAAATCGAGTAGGGGTTAGGAGTGTGATTAAGAATGTCCGCAACTCTGTATTGGCAGTATAGAAATAACTGCATGCCGAAAGTTCAAACGATAGGCAGTGGTCAGGTGAGCTAAAGGTATGAATTGTGTTGCATATGATTTATTTAATTTTTTTGAGTATGTATAATGTCTGATGTTGAATATATTGTGATTAAATCGTTGAAAAATAACGCTTTGCTTTTTCTCGTCTTTTTCTTTAAAATGATCAATTGTAACCAGGTGGAATAGTCAACTCTAAAGCATGACCAGCGAAAGCTCTTATTTCAGCTATATGATGGCGGCCTGTGACAATGAACGAGTCTGTACTAGACAATCCAGTTGTTGATATTATGAGAAACCGGGTACGTTGACATGCCAAGCGGGTACGCGGACACGCACCCGAGAAGACCCGGAGCAGAATAGGTCTTCAGCAACCCTTGCTTGCCGTAAAAGGCGACTCTGCGTGTCGTAAGAGGCGACTAACGAGATCGGGTGGTCAGGCTCGCTGCCTTGATTGATGCATGTCATCGTATTCCAATTGCGTTGATCGTTGCTCATGATGTCAATCACTGGATTGCCTGGTCCAGACTCGATTATTTACAGACCGCCGTCATATAGCTGTAATATTGCTGAGTGCGGCGTTAAACAATAAACAAAAAAACGTTGACACGCCATCCATCAAGTTAGCGAGACTGACCACCCGATGCTTTTAGTCGCACGGCCGGCTATTCATGGGTAGTTTTCATCTTGAAAGTGAATGAGTTAACCATATGTTTAATGCGGCAGTCAGCAATATATAGCAGCAATATCACGGCGGACTGTGAGATTATTGACCTGGCAAACCGGTGACTAACGGCATGAGCAACTATCTATGTCAATGGGGTACGCTGACACAATCAATCAGGCAGAGCTTTAGTTGAACGTCGCAGGAAAGCTTAAATTTAAGAGGTTGTACTTTGCGAAACAAACGATCAAGGGTATTCTGCAGACCGATTATAGGGTATAGCTGGATGCGAACCCATGTTCATAAGATCCCTGCAGCTAAGGAACACAACTCTGCATAGCGAATTTCAACGCCTTAGACCACTGTGCCACCAATGCGCCAAGTTTACATCTACTGGTAGAGTGAGTGAGTGAGTTTGGTTTTACGCCGCTTTTAGCAATATTCCCGTTATATCACGGCGAAACCGGGTCTTCGGCGTCACGAGCAAACGCTTTAACCACGAGGCTACCCGACCGCCCCTCTACTAGTAGATATGAATCGATATTATTATTATTGTCCACGGTGGCTGAGTGGAAGTCACTAGGCGTATAGATGCCAAACTCTCCAACCGGAAAAAACTCCATGCATCTGTTTCATGTAAACTTACGAAGGGACTGAGGTGCGGTGAAATGGGATTATTGTACTTATCTAGCGACGTGCATGCACGTGTGTGTGTGTGTGCGTGTGTGTGTGTGTGTGTGTGTGAGTGCTTGTACTAGTCCGGACTGATGCCGATTTATAGCGCCAGCCCACTGACATACCATGCCGCAGTTTAACATGAATACCCGACTCAGACAATATACTGACCGGTCCTTGTTTCAGCCTCTTAATGCCGAGCGCCAGACAGGGTAACAACAAGTACAATCTTTTAACGTCTTTTTGTATGACGCGGCCGGGGATGGAACCCCGGACCTTCCGCTCTACGGGCGGACGCTCTATCACTTGACCAAGGAGGCGGTGACGAAGGAACTGAAATGGGCGCGTAAATATCAGGAGACAGCCAAAGGAAGGTAAAGCCGCTACCCCAAATCTGACAGCCATTTTGAACATACTTCCTGTTGTCAGTGTTGGTTACAGGGCAGATAGTTCATATCGACCAAACACATCGGGAATTCAGGTTGAATAGCATGTCGGCTTGGTGACTTCGTTAATTGCTTGTCATCGTAACGGTACCGAGTGTATGAGACTCTTTAACTGCTCCTAATTTATAATGTGGCTTACCGGTCCAGATTAGATTATCTATAAACCACTGTCATATAGCTAGAATATTGTGGTGTGCTGTGTTACATAAATCTTATCAACCATTGAAACTGAAGCTTCTCTGGTCCAAGGCCACTAAGCGTATGACGTATGACCATTTCAGCGCTGATTAGATGGTCTAGGAAGAATTGTGTAAATGTACATGTAAGTAAGCAGGGTAGGGTTTTGTTAGCAATATTGCAGTATCTTGGGAACATCTACCAGCTGTCTGGCCGCTGATCTCAGGTCACTGGCGTATACAGTGTAGGCGTGCGGTGTGTAGGGGGGGGGCATGCGGTGTGTAGGGGGTGCACGCTCCCCCTTTCTCCCAGACACCTTACACGTGACCTGCCCACTCAGTTATTACGTGCTGTCCACCACCCTACTCTTCTAACTCCTAGATCCACCTATTATGACATTTACCAACCACAAAGAGTCTTCTCACCATGCAAAGCACACATATTTCACAGTTTTATTCATTCCACAAAATGCTGTACAAATTCAACAATATTTCATGATTACATACAGTTATGTAGTTTTATTTTCTCTTATCACAGGAATCCGAAATTCTGATTTAAACTGAATTCATAGTATCCAACAAACCTACATAGAGCCGAGTTTTTGATGGTAACAAGATCACTTCAGAGTCTAACACTCAAAGGGAGGCAACTCCTGGACCCATTAAAAATCAACAAGGAGTCCACTCACCCTTAGCACTCTTTTACACCTTGTCCTACCATGCCACCTATGGGAAATACGCAAAGCAGGGCAGATGGTGTTATGGTAAAGACCTAACAGTACATGCAAAGACATGAAGTAGAGTATATGAGTCAGGTCACTGTGGTTTCATATCACAGTTTCCATTATTCCACCAATATAGCATGAGACACAAGAAATAGGCATAGCACGTTGGGAATCAAACTCAGGTCTTAGTTGTGATGAGCTGATGAGTGAGTGAGTATGGTTTTACCCAGCTTTTAGCAATATTCCAGCAATATCACGGCGGGGGACACAAGAAATGGGCTTTACACATTGTACTCATGTGGGAAATCGAACTCGCGTCTTCGGCGTGACGAGATAATGCTTCAACAACTAGGCTACCCCACCATCCAGTGAGCTAATGCTTTTACCACTAGGCTACCCTGATGACATACTGTAAATCTGGAAATTAATGCGTCTCCAAACTAATACGACTCAATATCAATGCGACTCACGCCATCCCATCCCCAATGGAATAATACATATCCTTACCTTAATCCAATCAAACAGCAAATAGTACTGCTTATCAGCACTGATCATGAGTTGAGCACTTCTGTAAAAACAATAAACAGTGTGTTCTTCTAAAACACACAGTTTATATGTTTACTCTGTCTGTTTACTGGCATTAAGGAAGTTCAAAGGCAATAAACCAATTGAACCAACAACAGTTGAATGATTGGTATGAGGAGAAGGTGTCAACAAGCATGACATGAGTGGGTAGAACTCTTGACCCTAGCAGTGATAACTCACCGGATGCCCATTGTGTAATTCCGATTCTTTGAATGACATTGTTATATACAAAGGATCAAATAATGCAATTCATTAACGACATTGGTGATGCCAGTTATCATAGGTTAGCGTGGATGAACCAAGGATCATAATCTGGGTGAATGTTGGATTCAAACCAACGACTGACAGACCTTGGCATCCAAGGGACGCAATTTTGCACAGTGATCACGTAGTTCTTGACAACTTATACAGAAAATAACCATATGTCATCTCAACCAAGATCTAGAAACATATCAGATTATAAAATAAGACTTGAGGGGTATATTTCTATTTAATGTCTTCATAAGTCTTTATATGACAATTAATGCTTAACAGTAATTCAGAGGGTACTTCAATGATCAGTCCCCTGAGTTTGTATCTGATGATGTGAGGACTTCTCGGTGTACAACAAGCTGAGGTGTCAACTGTGTAGCTTCAGACATGCCAGCCATTCCACAACTTCATCCAGATCAGCAAGTGTATGGCCAATGCCAGTCAGAAGAATGTTGAAGTATTTAAAGGCTGACTGTTCTTTGAAGGATGCCTGGATCCTCTTCGACTTCAATGCCAGCCTACAGAGAGAATGGTGAAAACAGAACAGATGTCACAGCATCCTATCAGTACTCGTCATTCTGGGATTGTGTTATGAACTACAACTATTAACAGTTATACCCAGTGTTAATGTGAAACCAGTGAATGAAATTTAACATCCACTCTAAGCAATACAAATGGTTCTTCAAGAATAAGCAAAGTGCTTGGATCATGAAAATGGTGGGCAAATATCTCATTATTCTGAAGTTCCTGCAGATTAATTTTTTCATTAATCCCGGACAGCTATCAAGGCTATGGAATCCAAACTAAACAGAAATAGATTGCAAGTTAGCATAGTAAGGGAATGGTCATTTATTATAGGGTGGTGTGGGATGGAGTGGTGGGTGGTGTGGGATGGGGTGGGGGGCTTGGGTGGGGGTCAGGGGAAATCAGAGTAGGGAAAGAAAATAAAAAAAGTATGACATTCGTGGGTAGGAGTACAATTTGTCACACTATTCAAACAGTATCATTTTATCATGTATTCAGTGACAGGCTTCAGACATGAAGTAGTAAAATCTTTAACAGGAATATTTAATTGTATTATTACAGACAATGGTTGTATTATTACAGACAATGGTTGCTCTGGACTTACATCTTCATCAGGATGAACGCCACCAGGCTCCACTGTCCTGGCTTGAAGAGAATATTCTGACTTGTGAAACTGAAACCAAACCCACTCTACATATTCAACCATCAAGTCTCAATGTTTCACTGAGCTCAGTTTTCTTGATAACTAAAACTGATGTTGATCTCATAACTTCCTGTTGCCTGTTTCATGAAACAATCTTAGTGCTACGTTGATCGCAAGCCTATGATAAAGTATGGGAGTTACGACCAGCTTAGCACTAAGATAGCTTTGTGGAACGGGTTCTGGAAACTAATACTTAACAACATTAATGTGATTATACTGAAATATTTGTCATTTTGACTCAAGAAATGTTACACTGCCAAAATATTGCCATGAGTGTTGAAATAAATAGTTGCCATATGGTATCATCAAGCTACACGTACAGGTGCTGATATGATACATTTATCATATAATGGGAAGGTTTCTCGGCAGGATAAAGCCAACGGATAAAAACGATATCTGTCGGGGTCATATGCGGATAGAGATGCAAATATCAAAGGTCAAGTAGGGACTACTTTCACTGTTTATAAACAAACATGGCGTCGCCCTCATCATTCGGGGATCGAGTCAGAATTAACCATCGGGAATCTGGATAAACTACAGGGAAAATTGCTATCATTATCAAAAGAACAGTCTAATATACTGGAAATCAGTCTCTAACTGTGACGTAGCTAAGGCATTTTATAAGTTTGGGCAACTTTGGAGATATAAATTTTGAAACAATTTTGCGAGGGCACGAGGCCTAGCCAAGCGGGATCAGTAGCCATATCTGTGCTTGTAGACCTCTGCGGCTTGAAACCTGCTCCACAAATTAAAATAGTTGGATTTGTCCGAAATATGTTTGAATTGTTACCTTGTTTCGTTTTGTCGCTGTGTGTACATCTAACTGCACTTCTTAACGTTATGACAGGACAGACCGACTGTCAACAACGTCTGACCGTGGCCCCGACGTCTCATAGACTAGGGTTAGAGTAGCTTCCCTTTGACAAAGGGCAGTTACTCTAACGGACAGACAGATGGATTGCCACGACAGGCAATTAAAAACAACTGTTGTTTTGCGTATATATGTTACTTCGCCACTGTATAAGAAACAGATTTCAGTTGGAACTATATTGGCTACTGTCACTGTCCGACTGACACATCACTTACCCTGTGACGTAATAAATATTAATGCGCGCATTCCAGAAAAACTCGCAATGTTTCGGTTATGTATGTGAGAGAGGGAAAGCAATTTTGAAGCACAGAATTAAAGAATGACATTATATGATAAAGAGGTTATCACGCTTGTGTGTTTGGGGATGGTAAATATCCTGTATTAGGAATAAACACTATGTATTTAGCTCGCCAAGGCTCGCTAAATACAATGTTTATTCCTAATGCAGGATATTTACCATCCCCAAACACACTCGCGTGATAACCTCTATGTACTGACACATGCTGGTGTTTATAGCATGAAAAATTACAAAAACAAATTCTGGGCTCTAATTTTACCTGGTACTTTAGAATTACTCTGTCATTTGAAAAGGCTCAAGGTAACTATCATTTCTTTGAAAACACACACGTATTTCATACTCAGATTGTAATTTGTTCAATTGGGCATGACCTGCAATGTCATTATTTAAAAATTCAAGGGTGCTACTACCTGAATGTGTAGACGAGTTCTCGGAGGTGCTGCGACACATCTTGGATGGAGAGACACAGGGGAGACAGGAGATCGGGAATTCTGAAACAAATGGGGAGCATTGAGATTCCTGGTCACATAACTGGAGTGAAAGTTGGTACTGATGTCATGTCACTCCCTGTGACTATGTCCGCTGTAGGTAACAGGCCAGAAGACAACTGTAATGAGGATCAGAGATGGGAATGAGGGATTCATTCACTGTCTGGTGTGTCCTACACATTTAACCTACAGACTGACAGAGGTGGGTATGAGGGACAGATACACTTTCTAGTGTGTCCTACAGACCTGTACTGATAGAGGTGGGTGCGAGGGATACATACACTATCTAGTGTGTCCTACAGACCTGTACTGACAGAGGTGGGTATGACGGATACATACACTATCTAGTGTGTCCTACAGACCTGTACTGACAGAGGTGGGTATGACGGATACATACACTATCCAGTGTTTCCTACAGACCTGTACTGACAGAGGTGGGTACGAGGGACACATACACTATCTAGTGTGTCCTCCAGACCTGTATTGACAGAGGTGGGTACGACGGTTACATACACTATCCAGTGTTTCCTACAGACCTGTACTGACAGAGGTGGGTACGAGGGACACATACACTATCCAGTGTGTCCTACAGACCTGTACTGACAGAGGTGGGTACGAGGGACACATACACTATCTAGTGTGTCGTACAGACCTGTACTGACAGAGGTGGGTACGAGGGACACATACACTATCTAGTGTGTCCTACAGACATGTACTGACAGAGGTGGGTACGAGGGACACATACACTGTCTAGTGTGTCCTACAGACCTGTACTGACAGAGGTGGGTACGAGGGACACATACACTATCTAGTGTGTCCTACAGACCTGTACTGACAGAGGTGGGTATGAGGGACAAATACACTATCTAGTGTTTCCTACAGACCGGTACTGACAGAGGTGGGTATGAGAGATACATACACTATCCAGTGTGTCCTACAGACCTGTATTGACAGAGGTGGGTATGAGGGACAAATACACTATCTAGTGTTTCCTACAGACCGGTACTGACAGAGGTGGGTATGAGTAACACATACACTATCTAGCACCTCCTACACATTTAACCTACAGACCTATATTGACAGAGGTGGGTACGAGGGATACATACACTATCTAGTGTGTCCTACAGACCTGTACTGATAGAGGTGGGTGCGAGGGACACATACACTATCTAGTGTGTCCTTATATCTCTACTGATAGGGGTGGGTACAAGGGATACATACACTATCTAGTGTTTCCTACAGACCGGTACTGACAGAGGTGGGTATGAGAGATACATACACTATCCAGTGTGTCCTACAGACCTGTATTGACAGAGGTGGGTATGAGGGACAAATACACTATCTAGTGTTTCCTACAGACCGGTACTGACAGAGGTGGGTATGAGTAACACATACACTATCTAGCACCTCCTACACATTTAACCTACAGACCTATATTGACAGAGGTGGGTACGAGGGATACATACACTATCTAGTGTGTCCTACAGACCTGTACTGATAGAGGTGGGTGCGAGGGACACATACACTATCTAGTGTGTCCTTATATCTCTACTGATAGGGGTGGGTACAAGGGATACATACACTATCTAGTGTGTCCTACAGACCAGTTCTGACAGAGGTGGGTACGACGGATACATACACTATCTAGTGTGTCCTCCAGACCTGTACTGTTAGAGGTGGGTACGAGGGACAGATACACTATCTAGTGTGTCCTTATATCTCTACTGATAGGGGTGGGTACAAGGGACACATACACTATCTAGTGTGTCCTCCAGACCTGTACTGACAGAGGTGGGTGCGAGGGACACATACACTGTCTAGTGTGTCCTACAGACCTGTACTGATAGAGGTGGGTACGAGGGACACATACACTATCCAGTGTGTCCTACAGACCTGTACTGACAGAGGTGGGTATGAGGGATACATACACTATCCAGTGTTTCCTACAGACCTGTACTGACAGGGGTGGGTACAAGGGACACATACACTATCTAGTGTGTCCTACAGACCTGTACTGACAGAGGTGGGTGCGAGGGACACATACACTATCCAGTGTGTCGTACAGACCTGTACTGACAGAGGTGGGTACGAGGGACACATACACTATCTAGTGTGTCCTCCAGACCTGTACTGACAGAGGTGGGTGCGAGGGACACATACACTGTCTAGTGTGTCCTACAGACCTGTACTGATAGAGGTGGGTACGAGGGACACATACACTATCTAGTGTGTCCTACAGACCTGTACTGACAGAGGTGGGTACGAGGGACACATACACTATCTAGTGTGTCCTACAGACCGGTACTGACAGAGGTGGGCACGAGGGACACATACACTATCTAGTGTGTCCTACAGACCTGTACTGACAGAGGTGGGTACGAGGGACACATACACTATCTAGTGTGTCCTCCAGACCTGTACTGACAGAGGTGGGCACGAGGGACACATACACCATCTAGTGTGTCCTACAGACCTGTACTGACAGAGGTGGGTATGAGGGATACATACACTTTGTCCAGTCTCTCCAGCACTATCTTCCTCCGTATCACCATCTGGTCGTGGGAGTCTACAGTCGGCAGCTGCACCTTCTGGCGCGGACTTCCTGCAGACTGCTGGACACAGGAAGTTAGAAACTCAACACAAGGAATGAATACAAGCAAAATACAAACACAAATTCAGGGTTCGAAATTAAACATACAAGTCATGGGGTCCGTGTCATAACCCTAATGTTTTAAATTTAAAATTAAGAGGGAACCTGGATTCATATACATGTAGAAGTGCAGCAAATCTAAGATATCCCCCTTAAGTTTGAGCACTGAAATCTGTAAGCATGGTAATCAGCTGGAACGGATGCAATAAGATCAATATCATTTTTATGAACAGTGAAATGTGAGGTGAGAGAAATTTTATTATGTATTTTTTTATGAAGAAACTGTTTCTGGCAAATGTGTATATTTCTACAACAGACATGCTTTTTTGTAATGGCAGTGAATATGTTATTGCCACCAACCATGCTCACCACTCCAACTGATTGTTGATTGTTGTCACGCCTAACTTTATTTGGTCATCTACATGATGAATTTATGAAACAAGGCAACACACATAGCTATTTTCCTCCTTTGTCGGTAGGGGGGAACAACAAAATGATGTGACGCTGTGGATGCAAACCTAAATACTAATTCATTACAACAATGTATAACATTATATATATGATAAATATTTGTTTAGATTAAATTTTACTTCTGACGGCGATAAATTGTCAAGCTTAGGCTTAAAACTTTTAAAGAATTGGTTCTCAGACAATGACTTTTGAAAATATAGTGCAGGTGGGCAGCGTCTTTTTTTGCTTGTTCAAACTAGTATGTAACTAAATACACAGATGTGCACCATCAACCTGGGAAAGGGCCTCCCCATATAATAAGCATGCAACTCCAATTGCAACTATAAGATGATTCTTTGTTTGTTTGTTGGTTTACGCCGCGCTCAGCAATATTACAGCTATATGACATTGGTGTGTAAATAATCAAGTCTGGACCAGGCAATCCAGTGATTCATATCATGAGCATCGATCCATGCGATTGGGATACGATGACATGCATCAACCAAGTCAGTGAGCCTGACCACTCGATTCCCTTAGTCGCCTCTTACAACAAGCATACCATGAGAAGCACAGTAAGCTGTCTACATGTAAAGGGAAGTAACTGCATAGTTTCTAAGTATTAGGATTTATTTTTTTAAATGGAATTGGAAATATAAACGAAATGTGCGGCAGATTATGATTTTTTTCAGCCTTAGATATAATACTGATTAAGAAGACTCGACGTCGTAATACCAGGTCAAATGCTCGGAATCAGACTGCCTGAGATGTTGGCCGGGCCCTGGACACTTTCTCAGAGGATACAGATTCACTGTACACCGATGTCAATAGCCAAAATGAAATTGACAATCGTTTTTCTCGTTTTTTATGCTGGAATGTTCATGGGTTGTTTAGTAAGCTGTCAAATGACAAGTTTAATTCGTATTTCGAAACATTTGACATTATTTGTTTATTTGAAACGTTTCTTGACTCAGTCGACTTCGATTGGTTACCTGGTTTTAAAGTCTTCTACTCCCCGGCGGTAAAGCTGTCCGGTCGTGGGAGAAAATGTGGTGGTGTTTGTTTTGCCATTAGAAATGAGTTTGCTCAGTTTTGTAATGTATTTAATAGTAATTCGGGTATTGATAATTTCTTGTCAATTATATTGAAGAAAAACCTCTTTGGAACGCCAAAAGATGTATTGTTTTATATATGATAAACTCGATGAATTTTTTCTTGATAGAGCAGACTGTCTCTCTGATTACACTGTGCTTCTTTGCGGAGATTTTAACTCTAGAACAGGTTGTGAAAATAATTTAGTTGATCAAGAATCGACCACAAATGATCCGGATATTTTCCCTGAAGTTGACATTGTAGATGCATGTATATCACGACGGTCTTCGCTTGACAATGTTATCAATAAGTTTGGACGATTTCTAATTAATTTCTGTTATGTTTTCAACTTGTTCATACTAAATGGCAGAGTTAATGCCGACATGAATGGTGAATATACATTCATTAGCGGTAATGGTAGTAGTACTATTGATTATTTTATTGCCTCATCTGATTTCTACGAGTTTGTTTATAATCTTACAGTTGGCGAGAGTCTTGACTCGGACCACTGCCCTCTTGAACTGAGTTTTTCATTTCCACGAGAAAACACAAATAGATTTGCACAATGTAATAGCACTAACTCGGCAGATAGATTTGTATGGAATGAATTGCATAAAGATGAATTTGTACACTGTCTTAGTGATCGTTTTGCTGAAACTTCACAGACTCTTCTGACTACGCTAAACACTAACATAAACGATGCAGTTGATCTTTTTGTAAATCTACTACTTGAGTCAGGGCAGTGTATGAAAAAAACAGTTCTTGGAAATAAACCACGTAAATATATTTTCAATTTAAACAGCGAGTGTAGAGAACATAGGAGATCAGCAAGACGAGCGCTAAGAAAGTTCCGTAAAAATAGATCTGAATCTAATAGGAAAACTTATTGTCAGTTACGCAACAAATATAAAACAAAATGTAAAAGCTATTTAAAATCCCTTAAACTTACCAAATTAAATCGTCTAAATGCCTCATTATCAAACCCAAAACGGTTCTGGAGAGAAATTAATTCTCTACGCAGTCCATCATCTGTTCAGAATAATATCACAGGCACAGAGTGGCTGACTCATTTTAAGCATGTGTTTGGCAATGATCTTATATTCCATGATGTTACTGAAAATGAGCATGACGATATTGCTGTTTATAACCCATCAGATGTTGAGTTTGACATTCTTGAGTCCAAAATAACAAGAAAGGAAATTCTCGATGCTATTGACTCACTTAAACCTGGAAAATCTCCAGGCCCTGACAATATCTTAGCGGATATGCTGAAGAGTTCCAAACACATAACTGTTCCATTTTTGCATTCTCTCTTTAACGACATATTCAACAAAGGTATATTTCCGTCAATTTGGTCAAAATCTATCATTGTTCCTTTATTTAAGAAGGGTGATACAAGCGATCCTGATAATTATAGAGCAATTTCATTGACAAGTATTTTAGGTAAAGTTTTTGCTATAGTTTTAAACAAGCGTTTAACACTCTGGTCTAATGTTTATGATAAAATTCCAGAAAATCAGGCAGGCTTCAGACGATCATATTCACCTATCGACCATATTTTTACACTTTATTCTATTGTACAAAAATATCTTGGATGCCGGAAACGAAAACTGTATGTTGCATTTGTGGATTTCAAAAAAGCTTTTGATAGCGTTAATCGTTGTAAACTTTGGGATTGTTTGAGAAAAACGGGCGTTGGGGGTAAAATGTATAAAATGTTAAAATCTATATATGCAAATGTCAAATCATGTGTTCGTCACAAAAATGGTGTCACTGATTACTTTGATTGCCCTATCGGTGTGAAACAAGGCTGCATTTTAAGCCCTCTTCTTTTCTCTTTCTTTATCAACGAATTGTCCCTTGAAATCCAACAAAACGGAAAACATGGTGTCCAACTTTATCCAGATATGTATGAATTGCTAATATTACTTTTCGCAGACGATGTTATACTAATTTCTGATACTGTTAATGGGCTTCAAACACAAATAGACATATTGTTTCGGTATACCATCTCCTGGAAACTGACTGTTAATACAGATAAAACGAAAATTGTTGTTTTTAGAAAGGGGGGTCCTCTTGCATCCAGGGAAAAATGGTATATAAATGGGCAACAAATTAATGTTCAAAAAACTTATAAATACCTTGGTGTCATTTTTCCCTTTAATCTGAAACTAAATCACCTCGTCAACGATCTTGCGCTACGAGCTAAGAGAGCCCTCATTACCTTATTTGTCGTTCTTGATAAACTCGGTGTGTCTTCCCCGTCTGTTTTCTTCAAACTTTTTGATTCTCAAGTTAAACCAATTCTGTTATATGGTTCAGAGATTTGGGGTCTCGAAAAATATCACACCTTGGAAAAAATTCACTTAACTGCTTGTAAACGATTCTTAAATGTTGGCAAATCTACCCCAAATTGTATGGTGTATGGTGAATGTGGAAGACATCCCTTATATATCTGTTCTTATGTACGCGGTCTAAAATATTGGTTAAAGATTGTAGAAATGTCCCCTGATCGTATTCCACGTAAATGTTATGAAATGCTGAAATACCGCGACAATGTTGGTTATATAACATGGGTCACTAAAATCAGACAACTTTTATTTCTTCATGGATTTGGATATGTTTGGATTTACCAAGGTGTTGGAGATAAGACAGCATTTCTTAGTGTATTTAAACAAGTTGCATCTGATATGTTTATCCAAGAATGGAGAGCTACATTGGAAAATAGTTCAAGATACGACCTTTATAAAACATTTAAATCCTGCTTATCTCCAGAACAGTACTTAACAGAAATAACAGACAGAAAACTTAGAGTGTGTTTTACACGTTTTAGATTAGGTTTGAACAATTTAGTATGTAATACGGGTCGTTTTTCCTCAGTTTAAAAAAATATGCGTTTTTGTCCTTTTTGCCCCACATTTATTGAAAACGAATACCATTTTATGCTTATCTGTCCATGTTATGAATCGCTCAGAATAAAATATTTCCAAGGTTTACCCCAAAACATCAATACTAATCAAGCTCCTCCGTTTTGATGAAATATCTAACGAGCAACAAAAGAATACTATCCTATACATTAATTATGGTTTACGACTTCGCAACCGTCTTTGTACAAATGATGTTTAATTATACTTTAGGTTATTTGCCTTCATTAATCAAATGCTTTTATCTCTTCTTGTTGTGTTGTGTTGCGACTTATTTTTCACAAAATTGTACACGTGCACATCTCTGTGCATATAAGTCTGCATGTTTATACTTCTACATGTACAAAATTGTATATATATAATGTTACTGTATGTATATGGGCCTATGGCCAGAATACAATAAATGATGATGATGAAGACAAGGTCTATTATTAAACACATTAACATGCATGAGACATGTTGAAGATGAGTATTTAGATACTATCAGCTTCTTTCATTTCTAACATGTCAAAACAATATTCATGAAGAAACTCCCAAAAGCTGCTACAGAACTAGGAACCCACCTGTGTGTTTTCAACTTTGTCCTTCGTCCACTTTTTCCTTCCCCCCACCGACCCCCTGTAGAACTCCCTCACTCTCAGCTCAAAGTCTTTAGCCTCAGCTTCTATCTGCTTGTAGTCCGGTAATGGTCCTGATGCCTGTTTGTCATCTTCTACTTGCACTTCCCCAAGCAGGCTCTCAAAATCTTTCTCCTGATCTGCTACCATCTTGCACAGTTCACCATACTTCTTGTCAAGCTCTGGCTGGTTCACAGCCATAGCCTCTTTCTCAACAACGCCCAAGAACTTAAGAGAGTCCCGTGTGACCCATTCTTCCAGCACCTTGGCAACTGCATTGAGAGGAAGTAATGTGGAAGCTGGTGTTTTTGAAGTAGGACCTGTACCTTTAGCTGGCGTCTGTATTTGTGACGGTGATGTTTTAGCAGGACCTGTACCTTTAGCTGGCGTCTGTATTTGTGAAGGTGATGTTTTAGCAGGACCGGTTCCTTTAGCTGGTGTCTGTATTTGTGATGGTGATGTTTTAGCAGTAGGACCTGTACCTTTAGCTGGCGTCTGTATTTGTGATGGTGATGTTTTAGCAGTAGGACCTGTACCTTTAGCTGGTGTCTGTATTTGTGATGGTGATGTTTCAGCAGTAGGACCTCCTTTAGCAGAGGCTGACAGATCTGTGATTAATACAGTGGCAGGATGGAGATCTGAAACTTTTGTTCTCTTTTCAAGAGACATATCTGTGATAATGTTTTCCTGTATCTTATGCCCATCCTCAATACAAGCATCGTCATCCTCTTCATCCGAGTCAATCACATTATGACCACTCTCTTTACTCGAAGAACCGGATTCATCCTTATCAGTTTTCTTGCCTCCTTCTGCTTCCTGAATATCTGCCAGTTGACCCAACAGATGCTTCTTTCTACTCAGTAGCCTCATCACATAGTCTTCTTTCGACTCTCCGTTACGCTGACCCTTAACCTCTGAACTTGCAACATGACCCTCACCTTCAGACACACCTTGACCTATTTTACCTTCAACCGTTGAACTTTCATCTTCAATCCTATTAATTTCTAAGGCACTTTGATCATTAGTAACCCTCTCTTCCTTTTCTAATGTATCTATTTTCGCTGACATCGGACAAACATCCTTCACTTTCTCAAGAGTTGCCTCCCCTTGAGTACTCGGCTCTGAGAAGTCCACATTAATTCCATGAACCTGATGGACGTCAGCAACAGTCATGTCAGCCATGTGTTCTACAATGTTGGAGAGTAGGTTTGAAGAATCGTCATCTGTTTGGGGCTGGGTAGTTACTGTGCTTGATTCAGGACTTGCAGCTCTGTCAGGTTGCTTCTGTTTAGGGGAACTGATCTGGTCCTGCTTTTCTAGTTTCAGTACCTCCTTCTTCAAGTCTGTCTGTGGCAAGCTCAGCAACACCTCATCACCGACAGCACATCTGGATATGGAGGATAAATACAATGTTCAGAAAATGTAATTTAATATCTAAATAATTGCTAATAAAGGGATCGGTCATTTATTACAGAGGAGAGTGGGTCACGATTTTTTTATTGACCCCCCCCTAATGCTTGTCCTATCTTTGGATGACCCTCCCATGTCCCTGTACATCTTTTTCATCTTCCCCCCTCCCACCCCCCCTGAAAAGGCAGAATGCAAAAACACTTTTTTTTAATAAAATGTCTACTTTTTGATGACCCACCCCAGATTAGTCAGTCAGTCAGTCCTTGTCCTAATAATATTAACTTAAAGTTGCCACTTCACTGATTCTGCTAAGGAAACAAGGCTTGCAAGTTGGTTGGAACCATGTCTTGCAGGCTGTGTGACAGATATTTTAAGAGAGCTTCACAGACTAAGCCACAGTTTGTTTGGATGTCAGTTCCATGCAACAGAGGCACACCAAGTGTAAGTACGCAGGCACACCAAGAGGTTTTACACCTCTTTTAGCAATATTCCAGCAATATCACGGCGGGGGACACCAGGAATGGGCTTCACACATTGTACCCATGTCGGGAATCGAACCCGGGTCTTCGGCGTGACGAGCTAACGCTTTAACCACTAGGCTACCCGACCGCCCCTAACAATCTTTGAGCTACAGGTGCCTGTTACCATGGAGACGGCCAGCAGCAAGGGGAATGAGCCAATTGGGATTAATGAACAGTATTTCAGTTTATCGGTGTGCTAGGGTATGTTCATCTAGAGTGATGATAGACCAAGAAACATAATCCTGGCACGGATGAGGGACACAACCCAGCACAAAGCCATTTGTGTCAGCTTAGACCACTGTACCTGGGCTCGAAGTAATTCTTAAACCCTTCTTGTCCTGCAGGGCAAGTACATATTATTTTGTACTTTTCCTGTGATATTAACACTTGCCCTCTTAAATATTATAAACCACAGACGTATATAGATTTACGTCTTTGTATAGACTAATAAGGTTTCATGTTCTCAGTTTTATTATCATTTTCTGTAATTAATCTGAGGATATTTACAACAAAATTATTCACAGTCATAGCTATCTACATTCATATCCGCCCATTAATGCAAACTCGCTCAACAATGTGTCTTGCACCGTTCTTTTTCGTTTTTAGAGTCATGCTGTTTTTTAAACTAATCCTTTCTTTGGCCTGTTTGGTAATCAAAATATGTTGTTTTTTTGTCAATCCTACCAACCTACAATTAAAAACATATCAGCCATTTCCCTAAAAAAATCATTCACATTGGCTTTGACATTGGCTTTGACATTTGAGAGTCAGTAATGAGTCGCTACCACAAAAAGAATAATAAACATAATTACCTTCCTTTAAAAACTAGATTCGAGACCTTCTGCGCAAACGAACAGTCTGTTTATTTCTTCAACTGACAGTTGCAAAGTATTTATGATATAAGCTTCTTGTATTTGTTATTATTACTAATATTGTACGAGATATGAAAATGGATATTAGGTTCAAAATTATGCTGCATATTTTATTGACAACGATTATTGAAATATACACACGCCCGGTAGGACAAATATTTGTTCACTTCTTTCTCGCCCACACATGCTGTCACTCAAAAATATTAGGACTGGCTCAAAAGATTGATAATCTGAATTATCAGTGATGTGAAGAAATAGTACTGATTATTGATATGAAAATTGTGTCGATAATATCTTACATGTACCATTGTGATGAAATTAAGCTTAGATTTACCAAAACAGACTTGTTATTATCAATCATGTCCATTGCCAAAGATGGAGAGCAACTGTTAGTGTTATATCTTAAATGTCCACAAATTGATCCATGCACAAGTGTGCCACCACTCACCAGTGGAGTGAAATATGTTGATTTCTTTCGGAATTGTTTTTGCTCAATAACACTTCTCCGATATTCATCTATAATCAAACAATATTTAGTTAACGATTATCGATCTCTATGATAGCCAGCCCTAGTCAATATTAGGGATTTAACAATACACTGGTGCACTGACGCATCGTGAGTTTTCATGTGACGATATGATACGCGATACCTTTTTACTGTTTCAATACAAGACATACACTAGCTGAAATATATTAATTACTACTCGTTTAATGACCCCTGGCATTTGTATCAGTCAGCTATAGGAAAATGTGTTGAAATTAGCGTTTCAAGTTCACTACTAAAATTGTCATTACGAACATGTGTCTACAGCTAGCTTTTCCTTTTGAACCTTTTGCTCTGATATATTTATTGTCAAGAAGTTTCCATGCGATTTGACGTAAATGTGTATCGCGATACATATCACATCGTATCGTGACCTTGCTGTATCATTTCACCCCAAGTCAATATGAGCAGACTTTTCGAGCCCTGTTGTAGCCCTGAGAGCATACTGACACAACCATGATAATACACCCATGTAACGATAGCCACAGGGTTCATACAGTTTTAACACGTTTTAGCACTTGCCTGTAAGTATTACAAGACGACAACTGACAGTATGACCATGATGATTGACATATTATTTGTGTACATACGGTACTATTAGGGTTATTAACCTGTGCAAAACCTGGAACCATTTGTTAAGGGAGAGCGTCTGTAGGTATTACTACTTGTGAGTATGACTAACGGGATCGGGTGGTCGGGCTCGCTGACTAGGTTAATGCATGTCATCGATCAGAATTGCGTGGATCGATGCTCATGATATTAATCACTGGATTGTCTGGTCCAGACTCGATTATTTATAGACCACCGTCATATAGCTGGAATATTGCTGAGTGCGGCGTTAAACAACAAACAAAACTTGTGCATACAAGCTTCCCATAAGCTACATATTGGTACCCAAGGTAAAAGAGTCGAGTCCACCATTACGCACATGCACGAAGACAACCCACCTCTTGGCTTGTACGGCTAGGAACTCAAAGTCCACCTTGGGTTCATGTTCCCTCGACCAAACTGGTGATGTTAATATCTGCTTCTCAAAGAACTGAGAGGCCTTAAGGCAGAAGTTACTGCAAAATTTCTGAAAAAAAAGAAAGAGTTTGTTACTTCATATACACTCTAGGCACAGAGAGAGATTGAGTGAGGTTTAACTCTGCTTTGTAGTGTATTCCAGTTATATCCTTGCATGTCAGCTTAATGTTGGAGGAAAGCCTGAGTGAGTGAGTGAGTGAGTATGGTTTTAAGCCGCTTTTAGTCAGGAAGTAGAACAGGGTTAACTACTAGGCTACCCGAGGAAAGCCCGAAGTGATGCAGGTCTCAGACGTTTACCACTTGGGTGAAACCCACGAGCATGGTATGGTGGTGAAGAACATAATCAGGGCAAACTTGGATTTGAACCCTCAATCATAGGTTTCTGGCATGCCCCAGGGACTTAACTCTGCACAAAGAATTGAGGCGTCTTCGACGACTGGGCCACTCGTGCTGCATCAAGATGAGGCAGTGTAAGATTGATCAGTAATGATGAGTTAATGAGTTTTAGATAGTTACTAAAACCTACCTTCCTCTCTGTGATATCATAGACCATATTTGACTTTGTGCATATTTTGTACTGCTGTTTAGGAACCTGAAACAACACCAGCAGAATGTGTCATAGATATGTATGCAAGTCATGCAACCATTACATGAAACAAACAATCTCATTAAGATCTTTTACTTAGATATACGATACCTCTGTGCCTCAAGATCTGACAACACCTCCATCGGGGTTGCATCAGGGGAAATTTCTCATCAGCCAATCAGTGTCGAGTGGGAAAACCATTAACACAAACATCTGATTATTCTGGCGTGCCACAGGGATGCAACTCTGCACAGCGAACCCGGCGCCTTAGATGACTGGGTCACTTGTGCCCCCACTTAAGAACAGTAGGAAATAAGAGTAAAATAAGCAAATCGTGTGCAGGCCAATATAAAAAACTTACTTTTGCCAGCTTGTTGCTACAGATGGGGTAGCCACAGTCCTTGGCTATGGACCGTTCCTCAACCACATCAGCATAGTGACTGGTCGAGATCAGCTGACCCTGAAACACACCACATGTATAATGCTACAGAGGGTGTATATCATTTAGCATGAATATGGAAAAAGTCTTCTACTGGGGTCGTCTTTTATACAACAATGTACGTATATGACTACGTCATGTATACAATTTCACTTTGTAGCCTTGGGAAGGCTCTTTACATTCATGATTGGCTCCTTAAAATACTTGTGCTTGATTGAAGTCTCTGGTCTGCGGGGGCGGTCGGGTAGCCTAGTGGTTGAAGCGTTCGCCCGTCACGCCGAGGACCCGGGTTCGATTCCCGACATGGGTACAATGTGTGAAGCCCATTTCTGGTGTCCCCCGCCGTGATATTGCTGGAATACTGCTAAAAGCGGCGTAAAACCATACTCACTCACTCACTCTGGTCTGCCCATCAAAGGGTGTTCCAGGGGTTCTAACAAAATATCATACAGGTAATGGATAATCTTGATCGTTCATAATATGGAGGATGTAAACATGTGTTTGCCTGCTCCAACATGGACTAAGACAATAACAAATCAGTGACACCTATCAGCCATGATCATGGGCAAGATAAACCTTCAATGTGCAAATAGATATGAATATCACAACAATTCAAGGCTCGTGCTTGCCACATCAACGTGAAATGTCTTCTATATATGGAGTTGTTAATTCTTGAATTTACAGAAGGTAAGAAACAAGCAGGGTTCTCCCAGAAACATAACATGAAACTTTGTATACACATCAGTAAAGTGCTGAAGTGCCTTTGGCTATTCAAATCATATTTTCATCCTACTCTAGTGAAAATGACAATTGGACACATTTCCAGAGAATAACTTACAAAGTATACAATATTTATTTTGAAATTGAAAATTTTACAATACATTGTATATCTATAAACTTATCCTATTTCACACTATGCATTTCTTCCTTCTCCTTGTGTGAATATGCCTAAAATAAAGTTTCCAGCTTCTAAAAGCATTTTGCCCGAACACACCCCAGCTTCACCATAGTCACCACCCAAGCAAATGGGTCACTGTTAGGGCTGGGGTCCACATTTACTACCCGGGTACCCAACCCCCATTACCCGACCCTACCCGGGTACCCACTGAAGGTCTCAAGAGTTTGGAGCGCAATGTCTGATTGGGAAATGTTTTATCGCAACCCTGACAAAATTATTTAGATACATGTATCAAACGATCAGATCATGCGTACACGGAAGTTAACTAGAGCTTTATCTCTACTCAAACATGTACAAGTAAAAAAGAATGTGTTCATCGTCAGAAAGAAATGTGAACGTTAGCAATCTGTGTAACCATTGAGCTATAGTGAGTTGTTGGCATTAAACAATATACTGTAAATCTTGAAATTAACACGAGCGTGAATTAAATGCGAAAATTGCGAGTGGTCTTGGCTCGCATTTTTAAACATCGCATTTATATCAACAATAAGACATTCTGGATAGCAGAAATACCAACTTAGACATATGCTGAAAACAAACAACTATGTATTCCACATCACTGTTTATTAAGCAGCACTTGTAACAAGTATATAAACAATGTCATTCAAACACTAATCATGCTAATTACATCCTGTGAATTGACACTCTGGGGTCAAGACAAGAGTTCTACTCACTTATCTGCTTATGTCATCACTGATCACACCTGCAAGTCCAGAAAGACGCCACCCACACAACACAGTGTCTTTGTTCTTTGCGACTGCGTCAAAGGCCGACACGAGCCAGCGCACATGTATTGTTTTAGCGGAAGTATTCTACTCAGTGCTAATAAGCAGTGCTATTTGGTGTGTGATTGGATAAGGTTGGATTAAGGCGAGGATTCTCCTGTTAACTTGACAGAGGACATTTTCTTTAGATAACATATCCACTGATGCTTGAGAGGAGGTAGGTGACCACAGGTCCGGGTAGTCCTGTGGGTCCTGTGGGTACCTGGACCCCACTCAGGAACCACCCGACCCAAGTACCCGAGTGCCCTAGTCACTGTAATCCTGTGCACTGTGACCCTACTCGGCCTGATCACCTGACTACCCCTGCCACATCATTCTCTTAATGCGGACGAGCTAGTGTCCTGGTAGCTGAGATGGCTGTGTGATAAGTATATAAATATACAATTTATCATAAACATTTTCAAATTTTGAAACTTATTCTATCTTACACTATGCATTTTATCCCACGGTTGGTCGATTGGGCTCAGATACCCTAGCCTGTATGAGGAAGCTGGTGCTAAACAGTGCTTCTATCTCAAGATTGTAACATTGTCTAGTGTCATAGAAGACAGGAACCCGTGAGTCGATAATGACTGTAACAAGTGTGGGAACCCCTTTCCACTAGTAGAACATAACATCATGAAATCAGGTTTGTTATGTGTTATGTGCTTTCACATAAGACATCGCTGAAGTAGGAACCTATTCAGCAAGACTTACAACCAATCCAGAAGGGGTCTCCAGGCAATTACATGTAGTTCTACAAGACAGACCGCTATCTCCAACGAGAATACAGTAAACTATGGTTATAATGAACGCAAAGGGGCCACTAATTTAAGTTTGTTAAAACTGTAGTTCGTTATAAGCATATGAGAAGCAATCAGAAGGCACTAATTTCAAATTGGCGCCTACGCTTCGAAACATATTTTGACAAATTCTCGATTACAAATTTGAAACCTGAACAAAAGAACATTCTGGAATGGAAAATAGATGGTCTAGATTGTATGGACTCAGTCATTAAACCTGTAACTATCGTTCGGAGTTAAAGTTTTCAATGTTGCATGATTAGAAATCACATTCAGACTGTCACTTTCATAATCTGGTAAGTGATGCTCTGATTGGTCGGATGAAAGGTCGTTCTGACGTGACCCGTAATGGGATGTCCTCAGATCTTTGTTTAGCTGTAGCGAGAACTAAGGTCTGATTTTAATGAGATTGACAGTTTCCTAGCCTCCTTTTCTTCACAAACTTTAAACATTGAGGTTACATTGTGATGGGCAGCGACATGCCTCATTATTGAGATGATAGTTCGTATCTTGACAGTGACAGATATATCACCAAGTACATACAGCATCCTTGAGGTAGTCCTCTGCTATGGGGTTTTCCAGGAGGCGCAGCACAACATGGAACGCCTTCTCTTCACTCGCCACACGATGACGTATCTGCTTCTCCTGTTGGGCAGCCATCCCGAGACTCACTCACCAGTCTGTTAGCAGAGAACATGGACATCAGGATGTACAAGCGTGACTGTTCTGTAGCATTCATATGTCACAATAATGCAAATGGAACATTTACCTGCTTGAAACAGACAACCATTTTACAAAATTGATGTGACTAACATCAGTGTATTAACCAACATGCTGGCCCCATCTGCTTCAAGGTAAGGAGTTTAGATCATTTAGGTGCTTCTCTAAAGGCAAACTCTATTTAAAATATGATAAATGGTGGGAGAATGAAAGGTAAAACAATACACAGAATGAAAGTAATGTGACTGAGTTAAGCTAATGTTTTCTGAAGTTGAAATATTTTCATTGCAGTGAACATAACACTTGATATTTCACGTATGGTATTCAAGTGCTAAGAATGGGGGTAACCTACCCTACCACAATTAACCCTAAGGACTGAAGAGTCATGCAAGACCTGTGAAGCGAGAACCACACCCTGCAACCTTACCCAATTAGAGTTATATAAGCTGTGCCAGGTAAACTGCCAGGTTTTCCTAAAAAAATATTACATTTATCTCATCTTGTGACCTGACGAAGATGACATTTGTACTCATGGATGCTGTGACTAAAAGAAATATCAATTCTGTGAAGCCACTTGATGAGATAAACATGTTATTTGTCTTGAAAAAAAAGAGAAATAAATTCTAAATATAAACACACAAACAAAGTCTATATAGTACAATATTGACATATTTATTAATATGGGTTATAGTCAAAATGGCCACTAAAAAGTCAAAATAGCCAGAAACCCATAGTCAAAACAGCTATAAAAATAAAGTCATAACAGACACAACAATAAAAAGAATGTGTGAAGGATGTGTACAGAGTATACATGTTAGATGTTGTTGTGAGCAGAATGTGGACATAATATACATGTTAGACGTTGTTATTACAATGTAATATCTTCCAGTAGAGTTCACGTGTTGTTTTAACCAATCTCTGTACTGACCAGTGTACCAACCTGTTGTGAAAACGTGAATAAACTTTTATCCTTATGATGAAAGATTGTGCATGATCCCTTTTACCAACTGTTCACTATCCATCTGAAAAGCTGAAGATGGTTCCCATGTTTTTTGCTGTTATGTCAAGTCGCTGAAAGATAGATTCCGTGGCTATCTTCAGCGGCCTTCTTCAACTATTACCCAACCTACCATTAGTCAAGTCCATTATCATGGACTGTACATTTGTGACAGTGCTTCCTGGATTAAACTAAGAGGATGTCTCTCCTTGGGCTTCAAGTCACCCTGATGCAAGCTGGCAAGCTCCGCCGCTACATAAAAGAAGATGCTACGAAGAAACAAAACGAAATCTTCACGGCCTGGAGATTGTACAAAGGGAGGCGACATAACACCAACAGTGCTGCTTAACATAAGTGCTACAAACAATGGACCAAGGGCAATGTGTGACAGGGATGTTTGTTTGTTTGTTGTTTAACGAACAATATTCCAATTATTATGAGGGCGGTCTGTAAATAATCGAGTCTGGACCAGGCAATCCATTGATTGACATCATGATCCACCCAATTGGGATCGATGACATGCATCAACCATGTCAGCGTGCCTGACCACCCGATCCCGTTAGTCACCTCTTACAACAAGCATAAGGATGTGTGATATGTGATGTGTAGTGGTGAGTTAGTATCTGTGTGTATATGGTGTTATACAACTGTTATACAATGTATGTAATACAACATTAATGTGACACAATACTTGAGTTTGTCTTCTTTATTTTCTGTGTGGCCGTTATGACGTTTTTGTGGTGGCCGTTATGACGTTTTTGTGGTGGCCGTTTTGACTTTTTTTCGGTGGCCATATTGACTTTACTTTTTGAGGCAGTTCTGACATGGGGCCGTTTTGACCCTTTCCCTATAAATATTAACATCTGCCATTCCACATCATTAACAATATAATCTGATACATTTAAATGTCCCATCTACAACATAGATGCTGAGAGCTGTGAATTTTATTTTAGTGCAGCCCGATCGGTGTATTATACAATGTAAAACAATGTTGTGTCGATATATAAAGCACAACGACTAGAAATACCACAGGCAGTTCAAATTTCAAACTGACAAATCATGCTCAATTGTTCGTGTGTTGTAGAAATGAGTCCAAGCGCGTTCAACTGTAAAGACTGGACAGTTTTCTGTAGTGTCATTCAGCAGATGGGAATGAATATTGAGCTGACCTAGGCACATGCGTGTGGTTCGAGGTTAAATGGGGCCTACATAAGGGATATATAGTTACAAACGAACTCAGACACTAAAATACTGAGTACCGGAAGACATTGAAGAACTCAAACCAAAGCAGCAAGGTGTCATTAATTCACACATCACACATACCACGAAAACTGGAAACACATAAAAGTTACGCCAGCTCCATACAGCGATGTCGAGTGATCACGACGGTCACGAATGCGTCAACTTTTGATATCAAGAGACGGGACCCAGCCTGATTCCGCTTTCATCAGAGCAGCGATACCAAGTAAGCTGGGCCCCGTCTCCAATATCACAATATAGGAGCCGGTACAGGCCAATGAGACGATGGCTGTGAGCGCCTTCGAAATATTAAACATACACTATGTTATGTAATTTTTCATTGGTCGCTATTTTAAAAAGGGGCACTGATCTAACGCAATTCCCCGGGACTGGTTGTTGCCTTTGTTATTGTTTTTTTCCCAGTGAGTGCCCGGATGTATAGCAGAAATCTAGACTAGTTCGCGACCTCTGCTGTGCCATTCGTAAGCGCATTAGTCACTTTTATGGATACCGGTAGTAATAAGGGCGTATGGTCACATTGATCAACAAAATGAAATACAGTTTTCGAGATAATAAGGAAATGTAGGTATCTTTGTGGGTAGCATCGGTAATGGTGACGAAGTTTTGATAAGTCACTTGCTTGGTAATTTTGCGATTTTCGTTTACACTATTTTGACTTGCCACATAAAGTAAATATTTCACCTGAGCATTGCTTTTTTATAGTGTGTATATTATTTTACTGTCAAAATGTGTAACATATTTATTAAACGTCTAAATATTCAGTTATTTTACAAATTGACTGAAAAACATTTCCATCTCTAATATTATGATAACGAATTCCAAACATTTTGATGTTTAATGTCATCACCAAGAGACTGAAAATGTTACGTTGAAAAGTACATTCTATGTTGTTTGGCTTCTAATCCTACATAATAATCTGTTGTGATGTTTGTAGGCCCTTTTGATAGTCTTTATCAATCTGGACAGATTTTTTAGTCAAAATGACTGACTGACCGACTGATATAGAAGATTTAACGTGCGCTTTCCGACTGTAGCGTATTTCGCACACGGGCCTGGCCGGACCATTTAGTGTATTCCGAAAAGGGTGAAAGTGGTGTGTGCAACCCAAGAGGGGGCTTTTAGGGGTTGCTTGTATTAAATTTTTGGAATTTTTAAATTTGGAATAAATGACTGAAATATTTACACATTTAATAAATTGCCTGAGAGAATCACATTTTACAAATTGACGGAAATATATACACGCTTACAAAGGAAAAGACCTGTGAAAACAACGTCTATCGCGCATTGAAGAATTTCCCAACCAAGACGTAGAGAACAAGAACGAATTATCGGTTCAAACGAAGGAAAACAAAATGCAAATACCATAATTACAACCTACCAAATTTATGTGTATAAATTTTAGGCAGCTTCCTTGTTCGAGGAATGTATCCGTGAATATCCACACAAAGGAACAATCTCCCACTCGTGTGCAGCTGTACAAAGAAACTTATTCGATGTCACGTGTCTCAGTAACAATCAAATATTTTAAAAGATATATATCGTTTCGGGATATTATAACCCGTGTTCGTTTCTCAACTGATAGCTTGGATTGTTTCAGGTGTTTTACATAGGTGTCAAGTCTCAATGGTCAGCTGAGAAAGCTCACGTGACAACTATTTTCTTAACGTCCACGGTTCCTAAAAATTCCATTGAGTGATAGATAACAATGATCAATCAATCAACGTATTATCAGTTAACCCTTTGAACAAAGTATGTTGTTTTTACATCGGCACTTCGCGCCATGATATGAGTGTATTCCCTTTGTTTTAGTAAACCTAGACATGTAAACACTCACTCTTGACATATCCACTGTGCAAGATAACAGTGATTAATCAATCAACGTATTTTCTGTTAATCCTTTGATGACTAGGAACGATCCGTTGATTTACAAAAAAAAGTAAATCAACTGATCATTCATCTCTTGCTGGGCTGCCACGTGCATATTACATAACACACATTTCACCTCACTTCAAACCTGGATTTAGATTGAATAATTACCCCAGACACAATAAATGCCAAATGGGAACCTTTGTCAGGTAATCTAAGTGGTGCTACCACTAATTGTACCTGTAATAAATTCATTAACTGAGCATCAAGTGAATGACGACAAATACACAAGTGTAGGGTTATACGAGAAAACGTGGATGACAACAAGGGAGTAGTAATCGTATTATCGACGCAAGCCGAAATCCAAAAATGCTTTCACTGCATGGATACCTTTTTTAGTATTAAACTATAACCATCTGGGGTATTTCCAAATGACCACATCCGATGAGCTCCCTTGTTCTTTATGTCTGTTTGTTTAGGCTGAAGAAATTAATTAACATGCGCCCTTTGTCGAAATCTTTATAGATCACAGTTAACCAATCAGTGTTCAAAAATGCGTAAAACAAATATTGCCTCGAGCCTCCAAGTTTATTTATCAGTCCTTGCAGACGGTACCCCAGTCTCTGGTCACGCTCAGTTGCGTTGCGTATCATCCGGGTACTCACGGGGGAAAAACAATAACAAAGGCAACAACCAGTCCGTTAGATCAGTGCCCCTTTAAGACGACGCGCTACCCTTCTACAAAACCCTCCACTGAGAAACGTCACAAACATACCACCGTCGGGCGCAGGAAAGACCTTCAAACTTTAAATTGTAATTAATTGTAGGAAATTAAATTTCCAAAATTATTTTCTTCATATATTTTACGTACATGATATCGATATGTAAGAGAAATGATAGTAAACATAGTCTAGCGTATTCTTTGCATGAACATTTCGCAGGTTTTCGAATACACCCCGAAATTGTGCTATGCGAGAAAAATATTTATCATACACTTGTCAGAAAACTTTGAGCGAATAAAATATTCTCAGGTATTTGAATGAGATACACATGTAGGAAGTTTATATATGTCGACATATGTAGAGCCACCCATAAAGTATAAATGTCGCATTGAAAATATTCCTAACTTTGTCTTTCCATTCCATGACGTCGAAAAAGTTTATTTTAAGGGGGTTGGTGTTCCATTTAAGGAATAAAGAATAACTCGTAATAAATATGATGTGACTCTTCTGACAAAATAGAAATGTGTTGTACGACTCGTATGTGGTTGCAATATATTTATTGGATGATTACGTTTAAAATGATAAAACCTCTGTTGAAAATATTGAAATTGGAATAGAATAGCAATTAACCATGGCCGATGTTGATATTTTCTAGCTATATATTTTTAAACAACATTCAAATGCAATACAATTATTAATACCAACGAAATAAGTCAATGTCCATTACTCAACAAATGGGCAGAATCATAATGGATGGTTTCTATTCATTCACCCAGTCATCACTTCTAACTTTGTACAACGTTGTAGCTGAGTGACAGCAGTATGAAGGTGACATTCCGTTTCAAAGTGTTACAAATAATACTATAGTAGTAATCGTAATGTAGTCTAAGATTGCACCTGGGTGCGTCCAGGTGTCGATTTTCTTTTAAACATGGATGGTATTTAGTAACTATTTACATAAATCAAACCTGTGTTAAGTTATTATGTTGATAATTTTCAAGATCGTTGGAAAGATGGTATGGTGTCTTATGGTATGCATTCTTAGAAAACTGCTTTCCATCATACTGAACATGACACACATGGGCATCATCCTCAAAAGGAGTTATCTCTGTGGCATCGAACCTTTTATTAATGCATTACAACTATCCCCAAACAATCAGAGAGAAGAGGTTCTCTTACCTCGTCTCGGGAATGGTTGTCTTGCATATCTCAATATTTAGCATAATAAAAACATTTCTGCACATTGTACAGTTCATTATTAACTGCATTGTCAAAAATATGTGACTCAACGTAAGGTAATGATGTAACACTGTCCAGATTAAAGAAATGTCGTATATTAACTGTACAATGTGCAGAAATGGTTTTATTATGAAGTAGAGAAACTGACACAGGCTTTCCCCTTGGATGATAGAGGGATATATTTGTCAATCTGAAACGGGGACATGGCATGGACAGTGGCGGAATCATAGTGAGTCATCGCGCAACGAGGCAGTGGTTTGTTGAATGAGAAGAATGTCAGAAGAAATCAACATGCTGTATCATGTGATAACTGTGACCAGTGGACCCTATATATTACTACAAAATCGTTGTTATCGTTATTAAAAATAGAGGTGCCGTTTTCGCCCGACTCATAGTAGCCGTTTTTACCAAATGCGGTGCCGTTTTCGCCAGAGAAATCGGTGACGTTTTGCTGAGGTGCCGTTTTAGCCTGCACCCCTAGTTACCTCCCCTATTTTGTTTCGCCGCAAAATTGAAAATTAGCACATGGGGTGGCAGCTATGTTAGATTCATGATTGAAAGTATGTTTGGAACTAGAATGCAGTCTAGAGTGTCTGAATGCATGGTTAACAACATTTAAAGCACGGAGAAGTGAGCCTCGGAGCTGGAGGATTGTTGGAGGGTATGGTCGGTGTGTTATTGCTAAAGACAACCACGATCACGAAACGCGTTGTCGGGTATTTGTTTCATCATATTTCCACAATTGTAATATTACTCTACAACATAATTTATTCTTTCATGGCCTTATTCAGCCTTATTGGATGGTTTTAGAAGTGGTATGAAAATGGCCTCTGAAAGCCTGACTATTTAAATAGTGTCACATACAGACCCTGACAAAAGAAAATGTGGGTTTCACCGAAGTGGTGAATGGTGGTACACATGTATGGCATATTGGGAAATGAAAATGTAGAGACGTCCACTGTGGGTAAGATAAGAGGTGTAACCACGGTAATCTTATAAGATTACAATTTGTACCAGGAAATACTTTAAAAACAATTGCCTCAACTTCTACACACAAAATTATGATTAAAGGACGTGTTGGATGTGGTGAAAATATTGCGTTGGGAAAGAAAGTCGGACCCTCCTATTAGAATGTTTTTTTCTATGAAGCAGGGTGAAAATGTGTACGATGAAAATAAAATTATTTTATTTTAGTGGTTGTTAATGCTATTGGGAAACATTGTACTTTCTTAAATAAGAATGAAATAACAAACACGTCCTAAATATGAAACTTGACATAAAATTGCGAAACAATATACATACTTCTAGCCTCTATACACATTAAAATTCTCACATAGATATTCCTCACCACAAAAAATGGGAACAAGGAGAATTCCTAGACACTCCAAAATCGAAGACAAAATTCAGGGAACTCGTAGACAAAAGACATATGGTAGGGAAATATACTCATCTATTGATTTATTACATATTATGTGGCAAATGTATTTCAAATAGTAAGTTTTAAATGACAATAATATTATTGCTATCATCTTGTCCCTCTCTGCTTGGATAAACATGTATGTACCTATTTACAAAGGATACTGCTAATGCTCAAAGGATACTGCTAATGCTTTCAAAACAAAAGTACGGTAATCCCCTATTCACCACTTACCGGGTTATTAATTTATTTACAAAGAGGCCTTACCATATCTTTTATTAAACACTTTTGAAATTAAAAAAACAACAACATGCAAACGAAACACTCAGAAACATAAACGAGACCGGTATGCCGATCAGTGATAATAATAATAATGCTAAGATTACTTATCATCATTCAATTCCAATATCTAACTTCACTCCCGGTTTGTCTTCGAGGTGGCGGTGTCTACGAATTCACCGCATCCATGTATTATAACATTTCTTGTTTGCCAGGCGACAGAGCGATAACAGCGCACATGTATCAGCCGAACGCACATAGAATAACAGTCAAACTGAGTTGTACGCGCGATACGAGGAGCTATACCACTCGATAAAAGCGGTACGCTTCCGTGGTCTCGAAAAGTATGTAAAATAGCGACGACCTTATTTACATCACCATCCCTATATAATAACTATATATAACTGTGACTGTGAGGTGATAAGCCACAAAATCATTGTCGAACGCGGAGTTGGAAATCTCAGGTCCGAGTGAAAATGATGGCAACATCCATGAATTGTCAAGAAGATTCTGACAGTTCTGGACATGTAAGTATTAGGGCTGGGACGAGTCCAAATTTAATAAACGTGTACACGATGTCTCAAAATGTCAGATTCGGAACATTTTTAGCATAGACCTGGCAAAACGTATTTAGATACATGTATTAAACAATCTAGTCACTCATACGCTGAAGATGAATTAAGTTATATCTTTATTCAACCATATGAAAAATCAAAAGGAATGGGGGCTTAGTCAGAAAGAAATGCGAACATTAGTGACTTGTAGTGTCAGAAAACACTCGTCTATTCGAAAAGCCACGAAAACTAGATCTATGTCCCGACATCATTGAAGTTGAACTTGATGAAGTTCATTTCAGAACACACACAATTAAGAAAATCATACATGAACCACTATTTCTGGGCCACAAATATCTCATTTTTTTCACACTCTGGCTTTGAATCCGTGAAATCTTGAAAGTGACAGGTGACACCATGCAGATTCCTCATGTCAAAATATCTGGCTGCAGCCTAAAAAACGGCTGTTCAGTCATACTCATTTCCATTGGTAATCATGTACCAGCAGGCTCGATCATTCCCAGTAAGTCTACAGGTTATTGTTGAACCAGATCATAGATTGGGATTGTCATCCTGCTTCATTTAACCCCAAGTGCTGAGGGACGGAGCCAAATAGGGGTAATTTGGCTGTATTGCTTTAAACGACTCCTTCTCTGGAACTAAGAGATAGAAATCAACCATATTTGGTTGGAAGCATCCGTAGGGGGTGGGAATTAAAAAATGTACAAATTGCGTGGATCGATGCTCATGATATTAATCACTGGATTGTCTGGTCCAGACTTGATTAATTAAAGACCGCCGTCATATAGCTGGAATATTGCTGAGTGCGGCGTTAAACAACAAACCAACCAACCATGTTTACGGCTTAAAATAAACTGCAGGCCGTATGGGCCTTATGAAATTTAAATCTATCAATACCAACAAATCTATAGGCTTGGGGGCTATGTGCTGACATCTATAACAAACACTGATCAGTGCACAAGGAAAAAGGCCTCCCTCCCTCCAAGAACAGTTTATTAGCCCCCACCATGAAGTTGGGATATCTGTCCATCCGTTCTCTTCTCAAAGAGGACAAAATTTAAGTAAGAGAAATGAAATTTTACATATTGATTTAAGTGGTCATGTAGCAGTTTAGTGAAGGTATTTTTATAGCGAACAAACACATGCTACGGGGTTGAGGTCTTTATTGCGATGCGTTGAGTGTGATCAAGGATCTATATATCATACACCCTGAAACACATAACACAATAAATACTAAGTAAAACATTATCATTAATGCTAGATACATAGCATAGGCTTATTACAAGTAATTATTTACATATATTAGTCATCCATTAAACACAAGATAGACTGAACCTTAAACGATTATACTAGAACATATGTACAGTAATATACATGATCCACAATACCGACATTCAAGGGAGATAACTCCTTGACTTTCATTTGACTATAATATATACACAATATATATACATAATATAAATGCATACCGCTTCCACATTCGGCATAAACATATACAATACTTTAAGACAGAAATTAATGATATGATCTTACATTAAATGTGGTCATCACAATTAGATTACATTGTAAATCTTAGACAAATATAAATAACACAATGCATACCCTGTGGGTGATACAAGGGTGTGGATCCCAACTGCCACACGTATGGCAACACCATAGATTATCTGAATAAACAATACATAGAATAAAACACTATTTAACATTTAATATATTGAACAAAGTAATACACACATTATATTTACAATGATTTGTATTGTATCACATCTGAATCTCTACATTACAAAGCTTAAAAACACTCTTGAGGTAAAACACTTTCACACATATTTCATTGAAGTGATAGAATACATTTTAGTGATAAAGTATGGGTCTTTAGCTTATCTTATGCAGATTTAAATATTTAGACATAAATCAACATTTATGTTAGATTACATACATTTAGTTTACTTCATATAACACTTTGAACATACTGTATTATTTAAATACAACACAAGATAGAGATTATAACCATTTAACTCACCTGATTTAATATTGTCTCTTTATCCTTTGCTGGTCTGAGCAGTTCTGTCAGTTTATGTGCTGAGAGAGTATGCAGTGTAATCAAAGCATGCAGTTTAACAATAGGTGTTAAATTGGCCAATCAGCAAATGAAGCTTCTGGCCATGGGGCAGTTAGTAGGTAAGACAGGTCAGATACACTTTGTTATAGCTGACTGTAACAGACAACTAGTTATATATGATAAATATACGTAAAAACCTAAAATGAAATTAAAACAAATATATACAAAAACTACATCGGCCACAGTCATGATCGCTAATGTGAACTGGGGACAAGTTTTCTCAGAAACTACGGAAGTTACGTGTTTGAAATTTTGCAAGCTTATCTAAGAGATACTTGTCAAGACTGAGTTCGAAAAATGGTCCTGTCAGTTATTGATTTACAGAGCTATGGCCCTTGTTCCATGCTCTTCAACTCAGTGTACGCTGCGAGGAATGGGGACAAGTTTTCTCAGAACTGCTGAAGTTGCATGAATGACAAGTTTACTTGTCAAGACGGAGTACAAAAATTGGTGCCATAAATTTTTATTTCTTTTGTGAGTTCCGTCCCTTGATCCATTTTATTTCACTTTGTGCATAGTGTCTGCAATGCGGACAAGTTTTCTCATAAACTACTGAAGTTAACTTATCTAAGAGATACTTATCCCAACTGAGTTATATTTCCAGAGAAGGGGCCTTTTGTGTGTATTAATTTCACATTTAATCATTTTTTCTGATGACATAAATCGCCCAAGTGCCTATATCTTCTTAAGGTTTCAAAGGACTCTTTTTTTTATAGTTTCTCTTCTCTATAAACAAAAAAATTCTAATGTGCTCCATGTTGGAGGATAGCGATAACGCTGTTTTCTCCTTATAAAAATATACTAGACTCGGACCAGCGGACCAGTGTTAGTGTTCAGAGTAACCTTCTTTCAATCGTTCTTTAGAGCAGAAGAAGGAGACTTTCCTGTATTTTGACAGACATTTAGGAGATAAACATACTGTGTTTTCAATGTAGAGCTAGGTTACCTGTAGATTTAACCCCGCGAAATTGAATTTTCAAATGTTAAATTTAGCGCGGGTTATATTATTAATTTTGTTGTCCTTACATATACATATATATGCTCTCTGCCTCATGGCATTCATTCATCTCGTCTACGGCAAGCTCAATGTCGACCAGCATGCAGACCTCCACACGTCGCTCCAATACCAAGTATGTCCACCATACAAGCGCCCCCAGGCTTCGGCCCTGCAGGATACCTACAGATGCCTCAGCTACAGACGCCACAGCAACAGACACCTCTCACGGATACCTCTTGGCTCCATTATCTGCTGCTGTTACAGCAGTCTCTCCCAATATTCCCAGCTTTGGTCACAATCACGGCGTTCCTGGCTCCTCAAGTGTCTCTATAAGCGCCTTACCAGCCACAAGCGCCTTTAGAGCCACAAGCGCCTTTGAGTATGCCTTTATTGGGCACAGATGACGCGCCTCGACCTAGGCCTTCTAAATCTCGTGCCTCCTCTCTGGGAACCCTCCGGCTCTTTACCCGTGTGCCATTCGGCCAGCTACTTGTCAGACACCGAGGGCTCCTTTCATCCTTCGTATGAAGGATCTACTTCAGAGGTCAACGTCAACATTGGTCTCAACCAGGTGGCAGATTGGCTAGCCGATCTTGAGGCCATTGCTTCTTCTCCTGGACAGGGTGTGGATAAGAAGGTGGCAGTCTGGTTTGACCCCACAGCCATTTCTCCAAATCCCCTCATCAAAGACATGATCACAGCCTTCAAAATGGATTTTGCTAAGCTGTTTTATCCCCTCCTTCAGGGCACCCAGATACAAGAGGGAAGACTTCCCTATCAACTCTTTACCACTGAGTACCATATTTTCTTGAGTAAAGTGCGCACTTTTTTTTCTCCAAAAAACACAGCTGTGTGGAAGGGGGTGCGCATTATACATGAATTATAAGTTTGGATGTTTTTTCCCCAATGGAAAGACATTATCGTGAGCACGAAACACCGGAAATACCATGTCAACAAATCCATACTGAAGCACGCAAAATAATCATGTAATTACACTGTCTGGCTATAAAAAGTGTTCTTTGTATATCTGGACTTATGTTTGTAACTTATTTCATTAATTTTATTCAAAATTACTTTTAATATTGTTTTTATTAATTTCGGCGAAATCGTGTGTGAAGCGTTCGGAAGATCGCACAACTCACCGTTATTAACAGCAACCACGGTCAGAATACCGCTATTGACGCCTTGAAACGAACCTTAGTTGACAGAGAATGGATATATATATCATAAATGACATACTTTGACTCGTTAAAAGTCATATTTGTATGCTCATATCTTGGACGAGGACCTCCACCGCATGAAGGCTCTAACCGCCCTACCACAATGCGCGTATCGGAAACGAAATTGGTGTACATCGAGACAGAGCTGAGATGCTCCCTCAAGCCACTATCCCTTATGCCGTAGTCTTCCAGGGCCATCCTACAGGGACCTGTGAAGATTCCGGGGTAGGATAGGTCTTCAGCAACCCATGCTTGCCGTAAAAGGCGAGCGAGACAGGTGGAATACATATGCACACCACCTTAGTTGAACTGACTTCCACTCGGCATCTCGGGTACCTCGCCCTCTCAGACTGGGACCTCCTCCATCAACCATGGTCCTCCACCTCACTCTTCAGTCGTCAGGTTGCCAAGACCCACGTCAGAGTCTCCGGCTTCGCGAGAGATGAGACCGCCCTCAAGGTTTTAGCACATGCATCCCAGGCTGCCTCCTTGAAGCCAATAAAGTCCAGCACCTACCAGCCTAGACAGGTGGCCAAGACTCGTCCAATGCGTCTTTTTGGGCAAGTAAAGGGGACAAGGGTAGCCTTATAGGCTCCTACCAGTGCTGTGATCGCTCCAGGGGAGGGAGTGGTTGACCGCAGGGACCGCAAGTGAATCCCTGTAGGTGGGAGACTGCGCAGATATTGGCGGAACTGGGAAATCCTGGGGGACCCATACGTCACCAACATCCACCGCCACTTGTACAGGCTCTCCCTGATAGTCGACCCACCTCTCACATCGTCGCCTTTGTGGACATATACCCCCCAAATCAGTAGCAGCTCCTCTGTGTTAACATCTACACGCTTCTGGCCAAAGAGGCCATTAAGATTGTGCATTCCCCAGCCATAACGCCAGGCTTCTACTCTCAAATCTTCCTTGTCCCCAAGAGGGGCTCGGACCAGTTTCGCATGATACACAATCTCGCCACCTTTAACAAATGCTGCCTGGCTCGTCCACCCTACTTTAGGATGACCACGCTCAGGCTCCTCCAGCACAGGATCCAGACTAACGATGCACTCTTCAGCCAGGACATCATCTTCATGGGAGTCCACTACAAATGGGCGGTCCTCCCGTTTTGTAATTTCTTCAGCCCCGTGGCTATTACACGCATTACCAAGCCGATAGTGTTGTTCCTCCACTTGAGAGGCATCCAGTTGGTGGTGTACATTGAGGACTGGTCCAGGCAGTTCCTTGGATGATGTGAAAACGTCCAGGAGTTTTTTGTTGATTGTGATCAAATCACTAGAAAACTAAGGCCCAGGAGGCCGCAAGAGGCAGAAACGAAACAAATAAAAGCGAGAACTTAACAAAGAGAAAAGAGACAAAGGTCAAGCGTATTCCAAGATAGGGCCACATTGTGTATGTTCTGTGAAATGTTTTGAGGAACTGGGGCCAGAACGTGTGAAAAGGGTATCTGACAGCTTTTGGGCTTTGGGAGACTGAGGCAAACAAAATTGGAGTGGATGTTGGGTTGATGAAACGATATGCGAAGTAAAACTGTTCAATGACTTATTTCATCCAGAGCAATGAGGGTCATGTAAAAATAAGGAAACAATCATTCTTGTTAATGCTTGGGATTACATCATTATAGAGGGAGACTAGACAATATTGACCAAACAGTGAAGGATGGCCACACTTCTCGTGTGTTAAACACAGCAACCATCCCAATGCATATCCCCAGGAAAAAATTGAGCATGTCAAGAAACATATTCCAAGCAATCCGACCAACACAAGGCAATACAGTGATAAAATGAATCCGAACAAGACGTACATGAGTCTTGAATACAATATTGAGGTATGCTACTAAAATTACAGTAAGATGCGACTAACAGGATCGGGTAGTCAGACTTGGTGATTTGGTTGATACATGTCATAGTATCCCAATTGTGTATATTGATGCTCATGATATCCATCACTGGATTGACTGGTCCACACTCGATTATATACAAACCGCTCTCGCTGTTATATAGCTGAGTGTAATGTCAACAAATAAACAAACAAGCAAACAAAATTACAGAGCTGACAGCCTGTGTGTAGTGATAAGTATTGACAGAATTTCATTGATAACTTCAGCATTGGCTTCAAGACTCCCAAAAGTGACACATGTAAAATCTGTGATGAAATGAATATCAACATTACTCAAGCAAAATTTGAGCGAGATGATGCAAAGGTTGCAGCATTGGAGAAGGAAAAAGAGCTTCATCACAGGAAATCAGCAGCCGGCTAGGACAATATGAAACATCAGTCCAAGGAAGCAAAAGTGTCACATGCAGAAGGATACCATGCAATCACATTTGACATCAACAAGCTTTGCCCAAACCAAAACTATCAACATGACCTGCTTTTTATGAATGCAAGGTATGGGCAAACAACTTAAACATCCATGACTGCGGTTCTGACAAGGGGTTCTGTTACGTCTGGGATGAATCTGTGGCTAGCCGTGGATCCGAGAAAATTGGTAGCTACTTGAAGTTGAAGAAACACATTGAGGGCAACAATATCCGAGGTGGCACACTTGTAGCCATTTCAGATAACTGTGCAGGCCAGAACAAAAAGTGGAACATTGAATTTCTTTGGCTCGACTTCATCGCCTGTGGAAGATTTGAAAAGGAAGAACATCACTCTCCTCTCAGTGACCATTTCATCTGACAGGGATTTTGCTTTTATTGAAAATCATGAATGACACAGAACTCAGTATGTTTTCAAACCTGCATCTATTGAACCAGATTCAACACGATTCAACAAACCATGACTGGATTTGAATTACGTTCAATGATGTTATGCAAGATATTGCTGTTTGCATTGTTTTCCCATACTTCAACTTTCTTATTTGAGTGTTCTTTCAACTGCCATGACTACCTGACTTGTTAAATCAGTCTCTTTGTGAACAGTTTCCAGGTCAGGATTGTGTGTTTATACTGCAACTATTTCCTTTTCTCTCTTCATCATGTTCATTTTTAGGAATGGACGATCCTTGCATTATTGTTCGAAAGGAAGAGAAGATAACAGTTATAGTTCATAGTGACCAGTTTGTGATTTTAAAACCAACATCAATGTTTGGCCTTCACTAAAGAAGGGAAATCTTTATGTTGTTGTACGGACCAAGGATGACGAATGAGTGAGATAAGTCCTCTGATTATGTGTTTTCTTTTTTGTGAATTGTTCTAATTGAGTTGGAAGAAAGTTATATTTCTACATTTTATATGTCATTATTTCTTTAGAATGACAAAGTCTTTCATTTCTTTATTACTGTGAATCTGATGTGGGTTAACACTAATATAAACATCGATCATTGGGCAAGAGTATGACAAATTCATTTTGGCAAGAAAATGATAAGCAACAAGACTTTTCTACAGTAGGTATCTTGTGCGCATAAAAACAACATTTTCTGTCGACGAAACATACCGCGTCTTTTTTTGTACACCACTAGAAGTACAAATGAGCAAAAAAGTAATGTTTAGAAAACAAGTCCAACTAATATTTTTCATAATTTATCAAACTTTCCAAACCAATTATCTCCAAAGAAGGTTTGTGTGGATTATCACTATCTTACCCTGTCCCATTCACATAACAGCTGACGAAATCACATTGAAATCAAGTTATGTAAAGGCCAAAATACTACTATGGTTACCCCGTATTATCAGTCCAATCTGAAACTTTTCTGGTAAGTTTTAATAAACCTCAACACCACTTGTGCTCCAATTTAAGGAGCTGATCACTTTCAGTATAAAAATGCTCCAGAATGGTCGATGTCCTGTCCTTTTAAGAACTAATATATACTTATATACTAGATATATGCCTACCCTTATAACCTTGCAAAAATGATCCAATTATTAGCTGGAAACATGCTTACTGACAGTTATGTCACTGTAAATTATGTGATCACAACCAAATGGTAAGTTCATTTGCTTATGAATAAGTATCTTTAAGTTATTTCAATGTACCGACAAAGCCATTCACTCATATTTTATCACATTTCTTATATTTCAGCGTGAAGAAGAAGTACGAGTAGAAGTAGCAGACGAAAACAATGATAGGTCATTGGCTAAGAAAAAAGGAAATGAAGGAAAAGGTATGCATGTAAAGAATTTATGTATGTTTATTTGAAGCTGGAAACATTTTTAACACAGGAAATGGGTTCTAGAATTTATGTTGTTTTTCATATTTTTATGAGGGCTCATCCAAGATGTCACAGAAATCATGATAAGGTATACCCTGAACATGCTGAATATCAAAGACTCATTTCAAGAATGACTGGTTTGAAAAAGCAATGGTGATCAGAATTTGTAGACATCATTCATCAATAATACAATCTAGAGCTTGGACGGGTAATTCAGGTACTCAGGTCAGGTGGGTCCTGATTAACACGTTGACTACACCCAGGACTACCCAGACACGTGGTTAGTAACATGATATATTGTTTAATGATAAAAATTGTCAAGAACTCCATAGTTACACTACAAGTCAGTAATGCTTTTTCCTTTCTGACTATTCACACATTGCTTCTGATGTTTGAGTAAAGATAAAGCTTCAGTCAGCTCCAGTGTATGCATGACCAGATCGTTTTATACCTGCATCTGAATACTTTTTTCCCGGGGTCTCTGAAAACAATTCCCAATCAGACATTAAATATCCACCCCTTGAGATTAGTAGTGGGGCATATGTTCCTTTTTTTTTTATAGTTTAAGTTTTGATGTTGACTTGACCATGGCACTTTGATCATGCTGCTAAGTACTCTCAAAATGCATTTCCTCACACCATCTCCTCAGGAACCACTAGATCAGTGCAGCTGAAACTTCACATGTTTGTGCCCACCAATGACATCTGCATTTTGTCCAAGAGGTTTAAGACAGCCTCTGTGGTCCAGTGGTTGAGCGTCCACCCGGAGAGCTAGAGGTCCGGGGTTCGATCCCCGACCGCGTCATACCAAAAGACGTTAAAAGATGGTACTTGTGGTTACCCTGTCTGGCGCTCGGCATTAAGGGGCTAAAACAAGGACTGGTCGGCTCGAAGTCAGTATACCGTTTCTGAGTGGGGTATTCATGTTAAACACAATAAAAAATATAAATCGCCATCAGTCCTGACTGGTACAAGCAGCCACACAAACACACATACATGCACGTCGCTATATAAGTGCAATAATCTTGGACGCGACGTTAAAACCCCATTTCACCTCACCTCCAAGAGGTTTAGAATCTGATTTTCAATGTAGTTGCCATGGCAGCCATGTTGAAAAAACCTATTCATTGCCATTACTCTGCTATTTTTGTACACAGCTTGGTGTAGTTAGTTGTGAGATTCAACATAGATCTTCTGTCTTTTGTGTAATATTTTTAATATTGACTTTTGTTGATCATGTTCTTAAATTCTGTAACCATATTTTCTCAGAAATTGCAAGACTGAGGGAGCTGAACTTTGGCATACATGTTTCTCCTTATGATGACATCATATTTGTTCATTTTATAAGATTTTAGCATTAGTTTTTAGTATTTATGCAGTAAATATTTGAACATCAATGCTGACAGCAACTTTTGTTCAGTGGCTGTCTTCTTAACATACACATTTTGTACATATCCAGGTGAGCTACATATGGCACTATGTTCCTAAAAAATGACTTGGTCGGTTGTTCCAACGTTTTCATTGTTGTTTTATTGAAAACAAAAGTGATGTGCAGGGATTTACTGGACACAATATCTTACATCCTGAGCGAATTTGACTTAAAAAGAATGCAATACAAATGCAGCACGCATCCACAGACAATTTGTGTGCAAGTTTAGGTATGAATTCTGCTATTTCACAATTTGGTACCATATAAAACTAATTTCTGTATGTAGCCTTTTATGAATATCATCAATCTCATTAAGATCAGACCTCAGTTCTCGCTAAACCGCTAAACAAAGATCTGAGGACATCCCATTACGGGTCACGTCAGAACGACCTTTCATCCGACCAATCAGAGCATCACTTACCAGATTATGAAAGTGACAGTCGGAATGTGATTTCTGATCATGCACCCTGAAAACTTTCACTCCGAACGATATTATGGGTTTAACGACTGTATCCATACAATGTAGACCATCTATTAGCTATTCCAGAATGTTCTTTTGTTCAGGTTTCAAATTTGTAATTGAGAATTTGTCAAAATATAATTCGAAGCGTAGCTGCCAATTTGAAATTAGTGCCGTAAAGCACGAGAAAGCTGCCTTCTGATTGGTCATTCCATTGGTCGGTCAAAGTTCGCGCAAGGTCGGTCTTACGTGACCCTAATGGGATGTCCTCAGATTTTTGTTTAGTGGTAGCGAGAACTAAGATCTGATTTTAATGAGATTGTGAATATCATACACAGTTGAATACTTCACGATCTTTTAGCACTAGCACTTGCAGATGCGTTTCAATTTAGGAATGCCATATCTATTTTTAACTAACAGCCTATGAGCATGCTCAATCTTACATCACTTGGGGTAGAGTGCTGTCTTTGATATTCCTCTAGGACCCCCAATCTTTAACCAGGGACCCCCTTTATTGAAGGCATTGCATCCCCTGTATCCCCAAAATAAATAAACCAGGTAAATTCAAGTGGAAGCCTGAGGAACACTTCTTAGTTTTACACGCCAAGAAAACCAACAATTACAACTGGGCTCACTTTGAACTGAGCTCTTTAATACAATGCCATTCGGGTAACAGTGTCTGTTTCATATTCAGAAAATTTGAAAAATATTCTTTTTCTTTGGCAATAAAAGTGACTGACGGGAAGTAACCAGCTGTTGCCCAGGAAATTATTTCATTTTTGTAGCCCTACCACATTTGGTCAATGAAATTGCAAACCAAAATATCTGTTGACAACAGGGCTACTTAATATGGAACTTTGTAAGAAGGAAATACCATTTGAATATTTTTTGTGCAAATACTTAACTGTTTCATTCTGAAAATACATACCAAGCCACAAATATGTTACATATTGCTCTTGACATTCTTCATGGTCTGTTTCTGACATTATGAATATTGTGGTTTGATGAAATGTGTTTGTTTTAGGAAAACCTGTTGGGCATACGCGAGGACAAGCAGGTGTGCAGAGTGAAGTGGAAAAGCAGCCGGACGAGCATTCATTCCAGCATTTTCATGTCATCAATACACATGATTCTGCATCTGGTAGACATAAGTTTGAGCTAGACTGTACGTCCAGAGGAGTCGTGTCTGATGTCATTAATCAGATTCCTGAGGATCTGAATGAGGCAAGTATTTATATATTTGAGAGATTATTGTACTAATTCACCTTGAAAGAAGTGTAGGAATATATTCCTGTTCTGACTGAAAGTCTATAGAGCTTATATCATGACCTTTTTGAAACCACGGGACCATTGAAGCTGAAACTTCTCACACTTGTTCCCACTAATTTTGACACTCCTTTGTTTTCAAAAGCTTCGAATCTGAGTTATAATACGACAATCACAGGCCTTTGACACTTTGACATGATCTTAAATTTCACTCAAATGCATTTCTTCACACTGTAAACAACATCTCTTCAGAAACCACTAGGCCAAAAATTTGGGAGAGCTAAGAACTTTCATACTATGGTATATTTGTTTTGACATTTTAGGTTCATGATTACAAATTATGTTATTATCAATTGCTGTTGGGGTAGGTGAATTGTAACCAACTCGGGACAAGCCATCTTCCCGAAGCAAGTGAGTTAACTGACTATAAAGGTCCAGTTTCCACCCTGGTTATGAGTTATGTCTTTTCTCTGCCTCTCCTATTGACCAATCAGATTCAAACTCTCGTATCACTTGCATTTGCTTCAAACAAAACGGTGGCGCCCAGTCAAGACGATCTGATTGATAATCAAGATCCATATTGTGATAAAACGAGTCTTACATCGCGAAGTGCATCAAATCATGTGAGCACCTTGATTAAAAACATGAAAAGATTTAGAAAATATCTGTTGACAACGAGTGAGCGGTGCACATGCTTTGCAAATCCTGCAGTCGACCGAAATCTGCATGACACTTTACGAACCGGATTTCGATTTAGGTGCACGATTTTGATTGGACTATGCATAGACTCGTTAATCAAGCCAAAATGTAACTCCATAATACCGGCAAGGGTGGAAACTGGACTTTTATAGTCAGTTAACGCGGGAAGATGCGGACAAGCCAGCAATTTGTGCCCCTCTAGACACATTACAATACATCAGAACTTCTTCAAATATGAACAACAACTCTATTTTTGTTTGAGTCCACTATCAATAATTGTTAAAGTTTACTGCTGTTTCACAAAGTTCTGAACATTTGATATATTAAAACAAAATTAAAATGAACTTCTACTGACTAACCCCCTCTGATCAATCTTACAGTCACATCAAGAATATGCCAGACTGACTGGTGCCTAAAAATATTAAAAAATATTTTAGTTACTGACTAATTACAGTCACACCATTCTCTTTTTAACCCATACTTTCAACAATGAAGTCCCATCTGATATTCTGGCTCACAGTGAGTGAGTGAGTTGGGTTTAACGCCGCTTTTACCAATGTTCCAGTTATATCGCGGCGTGTCAGCTTAATGTGGGAGGAAAGCACAAAGTGATGCAGGTGTCAGACGTTTACCACTTCGGTGAAACCCACGAGCATGGGTATGGGGCTGACAAACCTAGAAACATAATCGGGGCAAACAGGGATTCGAACCCTACAATCATAGGTTTCTGGTGTGCCCTAAGGAAGCAACTCTGCACAGCAAAATGTGGTGCCTTAGACGACTGGGCCACCAATTTCATGAAATGTTTGTATTGAACATGTGTATCCTGTCTGTATTGTATTTTTTTTAAACTGGTGGCTATTTCATTTTCTTAAAAATATCTATCACCTCTTCCTACATATCAAATTTTAGAAAGCAAATGGGCCGTCATTGATAAAACTCATTGGAAAAACATGTTGTGAGTCGTTAACTGAATGTAAACAAATGCACATGTGTGGATTTGAATCTCTCACCATGCATTGCCCTACCTGTATTAACAGCTCCAATTCATACCAAACACAATTCTGTTATCTTTACTTTGTAATGTAAACATTGATCAATAGGGGTATGAGTCTTCTTACAGGTTACAGTATGGGGCGAGTGGTTTCCAGTGGGTGTACAACAACTCAAGTGAATTGTCCAAAACATTCAAGTGATCAACAGAGCTTTGTGGCTGTATTTGTTTTTGTAATCATAGGATAATTTGACCTTTTTCAGGGAAGTTCAACACATGCAGAGAATGAAACCCTCAAGATCTTGCAGGATATTGTGACTTCTCCTGAAAATGTTTTGCCGATATCAAGTGTGACATATGTGTTTGTAAGTATTGAAGCCTGCTGTCACCTTGTGCACATTATGATTCATTACACTGACATTTTTGTTTCTTTTTAAATCTAGAGAAAACTTTTTGTTCTGGAACAGAGTAGGTCACAAGTACCCAATTCCTGTTGCATGACTTGACTAATTGTAAGCTTTGGGTAATTTTTTGTCATCAAGCCCTGACAGCTAGTAGATCCAGAATCCATTATTTAAAAATAGCAATGATACGTATGGTATATGATTTGGTTGGTTGGTTTGTTGTTTAACGTTGCACTCAGCAATATTCCAGCTATATGACGGCGGCCTGTAAATAATCGAGTCTGGACCAGACAATCCAGTGATTGATATCATGAGCATCGATCCACATAATTGGGATCGATGACATGCATCAACCAAGTCAGCGAGCCTGACCACCCGATCCCGTTAGTCGCCTTTTACAACAAGCATAGTCGCCTTTTACGGCAAGCATGGGTTGCTGAAGACCTATTCTACCCCGGATCTTCACGGGTCCGTATGGTATATGAAATATTGCTGACTGTGCTCTTGAATCGAACTGTATCTGTATCATCAACTGAAGTCCACTGAAACCACAGTGTGGAGTAATCGTAACCTCAACAGACATGTTCATGCATATGTGATTACCGTTTCTTTCTTATATTTTAGATACTTGTGGAAAGTTCTACAGATAAAAGTTTTACAGTCACACCAGAACCTAGCCTCAAAAATGTCCTGGCACTCATATATGATGCACGAAACAAAAGATTTGTGTTGGTGCTCCAAGGAAAAATTGAAGGCAAGTAGAAAATGACCTTGTTGAATTCATGTGAAGATTGGGTCCCTATAATAATCATTCTACCTGTATAAATGCATCTTTTGGATCAGTGTTGCAGCTCTATGAAGACTTTGTTAAAATAAGCTCTATTGTTTACCCATGTTAATATGACCCATGCGTTTCATTGCGTGGCATTGTACCCATGTGTAGCATTGTTTCACTGTGTGGCATTGTATCCATGTGTAGCATTGTTTCGCTATGTGCCATTGTATCCATGTGTAGCATTGTTTCACTGTGTGGCATTGTACCCATGTGTAGCATTGTTTCATTGTGTGGCATTGTACCCATGTGTAGCATTGTTTCATTGTGTGGCATTGTACCCATGTGTAGCATTGTTTCACTGTGTGGCATTGTACCCATGTGTAGCATTGTTTCACTGTGTGGCATTGTACCCATGTGTAGCATTGTTTCACTGTGTGGCATTGTACCCATGTGTAGCATTGTTTCACTGTGTGGCATTGTACCCATGTGTAGCATTGTTTCACTGTGTGGCATTGTACCCATGATGTGTAGCATTGTTTCACTGTGTGGCATTGTACCCATGTGTAGGATTGTTTCACTGTGTGGCATTGTAATCATGTGTAGCATTGTTTCACTGTTTGCCATTGTACCCATGTGTAGCATTGTTTCGCTATGTGCCATTGTATCCATGTGTAGCATTGTTTTACTGTGTGGCATTGTACCCATGTGTAGCATTGTTTCACTGTGTGGCATTGTACCCATGTGTAGCATTGTTTCGCTATGTGCCATTGTATCCATGTGTAGCATTGTTTCGCTATGTGCCATTGTATCCATGTGTAGCATTGTTTCACTGTGTGCCATTGTACCCATGTGTAGCATTGTTTCACTGTGTGGCATTGTACCCATGATGTGTAGCATTGTTTCACTGTGTGGCATTGTACCCATGTGTAGCATTGATTCACTGTGTGGCATTGTACCCATGATGTGTAGCATTGTTTCACTGTGTGGCATTGTACCCATGTGTAGCATTGTTTCACTGTGTGGCATTGTACCCATGATGTGTAGCATTGTTTCACTGTGTGGCATTGTACCCATGTGTAGCATTGTTTCATTGTGTGGCATTGTACCCATGTGTAGCATTGTTTCACTGTGTGGCATTGTACCCATGTGTAGCATTGTTTCATTGTGTGGCATTGTACCCATGTGTAGCATTGTTTCACTGTGTGGCATTGTAATCATGTGTAGCATTGTTTCACTGTTTGCCATTGTACCCATGTGTAGCATTGTTTCGCTATGTGCCATTGTATCCATGTGTAGCATTGTTTTACTGTGTGGCATTGTACCCATGTGTAGCATTGTTTCACTGTGTGGCATTGTACCCATGTGTAGCATTGTTTCGCTATGTGCCATTGTATCCATGTGTAGCATTGTTTCACTGTGTGCCATTGTATCCATGTGTAGCATTGTTTCACTGTGTGCCATTGTACCCATGTGTAGCATTGTTTCACTGTGTGGCATTGTACCCATGATGTGTAGCATTGTTTCACTGTGTGGCATTGTACCCATGTGTAGCATTGTTTCACTGTGTGGCATTGTACCCATGATGTGTAGCATTGTTTCACTGTGTGGCATTGTACCCATGTGTAGCATTGTTTCACTGTGTGGCATTGTACCCATGATGTGTAGCATTGTTTTACTGTGTGGCATTGTACCCATGTGTAGCATTGTTTCATTGTGTGGCATTGTACCCATGTGTAGCATTGTTTCACTGTGTGGCATTGTACCCATGTGTAGCATTGTTTCATTGTGTGGCATTGTACCCATGATGTGTAGCATTGTTTCACTTGTGGCACTGTACCCATGTGTGGCATTGTTCCACTTGTGGCATTGTACCCATGTGTAGCATTGTTTCACTTGTGGCATTGTACCCATGATGTGTAGCACTGTTTCACTTGTGGCATTGTACCCATGATGTGTAGCATTGTTTCACTTGTGGCATTGTACCCATGATGTGTAGCACTGTTTCACTGCGTGGCATTGTACCCATGTGTAGCATTGTTTCACTGTGTGGTATTTTAACCCATGATATGTAGCATTGTTTCACTGTGTAGCATTGTACCCATGTGTAGCATTGTTTCATTGTGTGGCATTGTACCCATGATGTGTAGCATTGTTTCACTTATGGCATTGTACCCATGATGTGTAGCATTGTTTCACTGCGTGGCATTGTACCCATGATGTGTAGCATTGTTTCACTGTTTGGCATTGTACCCATGATGTGTAGCATTGTTTCACTGTGTGGCATTGTACCCATGTGTAGCATTGTTTCATTGTGTGGCATTGTACCCATGTGTAGCATTGTTTCATTGTGTGGCATTGTACCCATGATGTGTAGCATTGTTTCACTGTGTGGCATTGTACCCATGTGTAGCATTGTTTCATTGTGTGGCATTGTACCCATGTGTAGCATTGTTTCACTGTATGGCATTGTACCCATGATGTGTAGCATTGTTTCACTTATGGCATTGTACCCATGATGTGTAGCATTGTTTCACTGCGTGGCATTGTACCCATGATGTGTAGCATTGTTTCACTGTTTGGCATTGTACCCATGATGTGTAGCATTGTTTCACTGTGTGGCATTGTACCCATGTGTAGCATTGTTTCATTGTGTGGCATTGTACCCATGTGTAGCATTGTTTCATTGTGTGGCATTGTACCCATGTGTAGCATTGTTTCACTGTGTGGCATTGTACCCATGTGTAGCATTGTTTCATTGTGTGGCATTGTACCCATGTTAAGCATTGTTTCACTGTGTGGCATTGTACCCATGTGTAGCATTGTTTCATTGTGTGGCATTGTACCCATGTGTAGCATTGTTTCACTGTGTGGCATTGTACCCATGTGTAGCATTGTTTCACTGTGTGGCATTGTACCCATGATGTGTAGCATTGTTTCACTGTGTGGCATTGTACCCATGTGTAGCATTGTTTCATTGTGTGGCATTGTACCCATGTGTAGCATTGTTTCACTGTGTGGCACTGTACCCATGTGTAGCATTGTTTCATTGTGTGGCATTGTACCCATGTGTAGCATTGTTTCACTGTGTGGCATTGTACCCATGTGTAGCATCATTTCACTTATGGCATTGTACCCATGATGTGTAGCATTGTTTCACTGTATGGCATTGTACCCATGTGTAGCATTGTTTCATTGTGTGGCATTGTACCCATGATGTGTAGCATTGTTTCACTTATGGCACTGTACCCATGTGTAGCATTGTTTCATTGTGTGGCATTGTACCCATGTGTAGCATTGTTTCACTGTGTGGCATTGTACCCATGTGTAGCATTGTTCATTGTGTGGCATTGTACCCATGATGTGTAGCATTGTTTCACCTTGTGGCATTGTACCCATGATGTGTAGCATTGTTTCACTTGAGCCATTGTACCCATGATGTGTAGCACAGTTTCACTGCGTGGCATTGTACCCATGTGTAGCATTGTTTCACTGTGTAGCATTGTACCCATGATGTGTAGCATTGTTTCACTGTGTAGCATTGTTTCACTGTGTAGCATTGTTTCACTGTGCAGCATTGTTTCACTGTGTAGCATTGTTTCACTGTGTAGCATTGTTTCACTGCGTGGCATTGTACCCATGTGTAGCATTGTTTCACTTGTGGCACTGTACCCATGTGTAACATTGTTTCACTGTGTGGCATTGTAACCATGTGTAGCATTGTTTTACTTGTGGCATTGTAACCGTGTGTAGCATTGTTTCACTTGAGGCAATGTACCCATGATGTGTAGCATTGCTTCACTGTGTGGCATTGTACCATGTGTGATTGTACCATGTGTGTTGTTCTACCAGTGTGTATTGTTGATATGTTTCATGTATAGTCTTCTGATTTGTATTTAAGTAGAAATAGGTTTATACATTGACCTCGGTGTAAATCAATAACATGCAGGTCAGTTTTCAGTGTATAATGATCACCTATTCTCTTACAGAATTGAAAGAGTTGAAATGTGAAATACTGAAAACAGTGTTTGACATGATACTGTTGTTGTATGAAAAAAACACCCAAGCAGTCAAAGGTAAATATCTTCAATCATTTTAAGTTTTTCATATTGTTTCATTTGTCCTGTTTATAAATGCCCCAAAATATTTTAGATATATATCAGTTATACACAAGGACAGGAACCTATTATTTTTAACCGTTGATTATATAATACAATATAATATAATATATATATATACCGTATTCGACGTAATAAGCGCCCGGGGCGCACTCAAAATTAGAAATTGGGGGCTCTTATTAGAATGTTTTTTTGGTGAAAAATACAGTGTTTAAAGATAAATTTCGTGGTTTATGCTGACAGCCTGAAATGTTTATGTACGACAGAAATATTTTTCCAGAATTAAATGCCCATAATTTAGGGTGCATATAACACACGTGTGCGTATAATACGCGAATAAAGAAGTCTTGTGTAAATTGATCAATCGGAAGGGGTGCTAATTGGGATTGTTCACTAGCCAATATCTTAGAAAATGGCGCCGTGGGCGCTTATTAGAGCGGGGCGCTTATTACGTCGAATACGGTAGTAATAATTAAATAAGTGGAGTAAGATTGAACACAGTTTTAATAGGCTAGCGCTTTCAACTCGAGTCTCATCAGGCCATAACTGAATAACGGACATGAAGTAGTAACATATAGTTACGTGACGTCATAACATTTAGGAAGCTATGACGTCACAATACCAAGGTGACAATGGACAAATAACTTACGCCTTTACATTTAACTTAGGCGCGTTTTTATGAATGAAATGTTGCTCTTTTTGAAACAATGTAGGTTCATGATCAAAATTTAGCTTATATAGCGGGAAAACTAAAAAGTTGCCGTTTCCACATGCTTCTAAATGTTCACTGAGTGGAATCGTGCGGTTGTGTGGCTGCTTTATTTGTGAACGGTGAGAATTCATTCTTCTTTTTAATTTAAGTTCTGTCTTTCCGATATACTTTTCATTGCATCCACTACAAACAATCAAGTAAATAACATTTCTAGTATCACAAGTCATATTTTGTTTTACAGTAAATTTAGTGTCCTTTGTAATTTGGACTGAACAGCCTTCAATTATATTGCTGCAAGTATGCAACGTTTGTCACCGCACTTAGAAACCTGTGGAGTGATACCTGCCTATTTTGAATCAAAGTATTAAAATGGAGAAGATATTAAGCAAATACAATATTATCAACAGCCAAAGACAACCCAAAAACTTAGAAAGATTTTGACAAGTTCTAAATTTGATTCTGTTGTCATCACTCCACAGGTTTCTAAGTGCGGTGACAAATGTTGCCTAACTTGCAGCAATATAATTGAAGGCTGTTCAGTCCAAATTACAACTTTTTAGTTTTCCCGCTATATAAACTAAATTTTGATCATGAACCTACATTGTTTCAAAAAGAGCAACATTTCATTCATAAATACGCGCCTAAGTTAAATGTAAAGGCTTAAGTTATTTGTCCATTGTCACCTTGTTATTGTGACGTCATAGTTTCCTAAATGTTATGACGTCACGTAACTATATGTTACAACTTCATGTCCGTTATTCAGTTATGGCCTGATGAGACTCGTACGTGGTACGAGTTGAAAGCGCTAGCCTATTAAAACTGTGTTCAATCTTACTCCAATTATTTAATTTTTACTATATCATGCCTAAGAGTTAGAACTTTACTGTGCTTGTGTGTATATATATATATATATATATATATATATATACATACACACACACACACACACACACACACACACACACACACATACAAGTAAGCAACAATGCTGAGTAGGGCTGGGACAGGTAACTCGGGTACCTGGGTCGGTGGGTACTGGGTAGGGCCCGGGTACCCACAGGACTACCCTGACCTGTAGTTAGTCACGTGATATATTGTTTGAGGACAAAAATTATCTGGAACTCTATGGTTACACTTCAAGTCACTAATGTTCGCATTTCTTTCTGACTATGCACCCATTCCTTCTGATTTTTCATATGGTTGAATAAAGATATAATTTAATTCAACTTCAGTGTATGGATGACCAGGTTGTTTAATACATGTATCTAAATACGTTCTGCCAGGGATATGCAAAAAATGTTCCCACTCGAACATTTTGACACATCTCCTGAGACCTACAGTAGGTACCCGGGTAGGGCCGGGTAATAGGGGGTTGTGTACCCGGGTAGTAAATTTGGAATTGTCCCAGCCCTAGTGGTGAGACAAGTTTCAATTTTTGACATTTTGAAGTGATTGTATTATTCTATATCACCTTTGGGCCACAGATATTCAGGAAATCATCTCAAAATATTGATGTAATATCCCGAAAACTTTAACATGACCTGCTCTGTTATTCATAATGTCACAGGATCGGGTTTGACATGGCTTTGAACACTATTTCTGTGATGTGGTCAGTGTGGGAGAGGAGACCAAGGTTCTAAATGTTTACCACTTTGGTTAAACCCACAAGCAAGGTTATAGTGCTGACAAACCAAGAATCATAATTGTCAGTATTTTTTTACACAATTACTGCCCTTGATCCATGTTGTTTTACTCAGTGCAGTGTCTACAATGAGAACAAGGCAGAGACCATATGGTCTCTGGGACAAAGTTTCTCCGTTATTTCTTCCTGAGAAGGGGCCTTTTGTGTGTATTAATTTCACATTTAATCATTTTTTCTGATGACATAAAGCGACCCTTGTGCCTATCTCTTCTAAAGGCTTATGGGACTCTTTTTTCATAGTTTTTATTCACTACAGTTAATTTAGATTATTTATTTTCAGATACATCTATTCCATGCAACATTCCAAATTGTTTGCAGGTAAGAAAACATATTATAGTCTACAAAATTTCTAGGATAACAGCTTTTATTATCTGCCTCATGTCAAGGTCACTGTTAAGGTCATTAACATATTCAAATGTAGGAAGTATTATTTGCACTGTTGTCATAATTGAAGACTTTTGTATAGTGTTACTGGTACCAGTGATAGGCTATGACATCATTACTATTGGTGTCCTTGGTGTCTGTATTCTGTCAGCAATGAAATAGAGCGTGTGAAAGCATGCGTGCTTTGTAGGGAGCTAAAAAGAATTTCTTTCAAAATTCCAGCTCCTTTAGTACTAATTGATAGATTGAACTGTAACTTGTAGTCTCTGATCAAAAGGTCAGGTTGGTTTAAAACACCAACATTCAACTTCAGTGTGCTAGGCTGCCATGTTGTTTTCTCAAGCTCACTGGCTTACACTTTACTGAGATGGTTGCAGAATGTCTTTCTTCATAAATATTCAAGCAAAATATATCATAAAAGAAATGTCCTTGTAGTTATCGTCAATCATGTTAACTCAGGAAGAAATCTGTCAAAACCATGCATCATAACTATCAACATTTGACTTGACTAAATAACATGAAGACATGTCCATTCCTCTTTTGTACTGGCTGGCAAAGTTCCATAGAAGTCCATAGAAAGAGTGGTCCAACAATATACCACCAAATTCCACTCTCAAACATAAATTGGGTACAATGTGTGAAGCCCATTTCTGGTGTCCCCCGCCGTGATATTGCTAGAATATTGCTAAAAGCAGCGTAAAACCAAACTCACTCACTCACTCACTCACTCACTCACTCAAACATAAATGATATTCCTAATTAGTGGGTACAATTAGGAAAGGATTTTTCTTTAAATTCACAGAAAATATTTGAGACAAGTGGAATTAATACTATGTGGAGTCTCAAAAACTCTAAGGCTGTGCTTGTTTTAAAATCTCAGATAAGATTCAACGTTCATTTATGTCAGGACTTATTTTTTATATTTTTCAACTTTGTACACCACTATCCCACATGAAAAACTTAAGAAAAAACTTCATTCTTTGAACCATTGAGCATTTGTCACTAAATGTCATGACCATAGATATAGCTACGTCTCTATCTTCAAAGGATCTGGACAATGTATCAAGAATGAAAGCAAATGTCATCTGATGCTTACTCAAAAAATGATATGTGAAATACTGCACTTCCTCATTGACATCGGCTCTCAGATTTGACAAATTGAGAAAAAAAGTTTATTTCATAAATTCCTTAGTTATAGAGAATTCTAACCGACAATTTCTCCAGTGTGGAAGATTCTTATGAAGAATGTAACCAATGCTTAGATATTCAGAGGGAACTCTTTTGAAATATCTTGTTCATGATGTTTCAGATATTGAAAGCTTTGTGTCCAGCTGCATTTGATACAGTGCTCAGTGACAGCGAAATAAGAGAAAATATTTCCAAGGGGGCAGATAAGGTGTGTATTTGCATTATCAAGCATGACACTGATTAGCTCACCTGACCATGCTGACTGAAAGTCAAGTGAGCTCATGTCATGGTGCGTTGTTCATTGTCTGTACGTTCATCTGTTTTTTTGGATTGTCCATGGTATATCGGTTTTCCTCCCGGTGTTAACTTTTGTGTTTTCCACATCTCCCTGGAAACTACACATATTTTAACAGAATCATGTAATACCTTTTGGGGGCATATTTTGATTTTTGATCCAGCTGTGGCATTTGACTTTTGCATACTCACATTTTTCCTGTGTTACTGGGGGGCACGGGTGGCCCAGTCATCTTTGGTGCCGCGATTCGCTGTGCAGGGTTCATCCCTTGGGCACGCCAGAAACCTATGATTGTGGGTTCGAATCCCGGTTCGCCCCGTTTATGTTTCTAGGTTTGTCAGCACCATACCCCTGCTCGTGGTTTCACTGAAGTGGTAAACGTCTGAGACCTGCATCAGTTTGGGCTTTCCTCCCACATTAATTATAAGCTGACATGCTATGATTTAACTGGAATAGTGTTAAAAGCAGCGTTAAACCCAACTCACTCACTCCCTCCGGTGTTACTGTATTTTCAAGTTCTGTGGAGATGAAACTTTGTGTGAATCATCCCAGCTAAGATGTCTCTGAAACTGCTCACAGAATTTATGTGATGTGAGTTTGAATCCCATCAATGGTAATGAAACGGACATCTTATTTCAAAATGTATTGAAACTGGCCATATATGTAGTTAGTAGTAGGGTCTGATATACATGTTTCATTTTTGATGATGACATAAATTTTGACCTTGATTCAACCTTTACAGCATTATAGTTGTGGTATCATCAAAGTGATACTGCTCTCATTGGCAATAAAAATCAAGGAGGTTCCAAATTGGAAAGCCATATCTTAGACCCGCTGCACACTAGCCTGCCACCATGTTTCATCTGATTATCAGTAACATTGGAGAACAATAGTAAAAAAATTACAAAAAGTTTTAAAATCTTATTCTTAAGAAGCACAGGGCTTCATCTTTGTTTGAATGAAATGGCTACAAAGAGATTTAAGTTTTTTATGTCATCACTGTTTGCATCGTCCTAAATGCAAAAAATATTCTTTTTGCACCAGTTTTATTTTAACTCAATATAGATGTTTTAAAAAAAATAATCATTACTTCCTAAGTGAGGTGAGCTACTGAACCTTAAATTTTAACCCAATTTTCTTCAACTATATATTCTTCTTTTTCCTATAACTATTTAATCGGTGAATATCTTTGATTATCCAGTGCATTAAATCTCCATTTTATTATGATAAACACCCAAAACCCACTGACCACCATACCTTTTTTTAAAGTCTAGTTCAAATGACACAGTACTTAAAACAGATGTTCAATTAAATTACATTCCTTCACTATGACTGAAATTAGCAGCAATATTACCAGCTAGCACCGGAACATTTTGCAGTATGATGACCTCCTTGCCCCGTTCAGGAAAACATATATCCAATCTTCTGATTTGTTTAAGTGTATAGAAAGCCTGCTTGAACAAGGCAGTAATTTTGAATGTGTATCTGTGCAACTTCCCGGAGTTATGTAACCATTCATGCATACATCATCTTGTATTTACTGTGCTGTAAAACAAAGCAAAACAGTTCTTGTAAACTTTTTTCAGTATAAGCAGAATATGAGTCCTCCTGTTCAAGCAATGGAAAAGATGTCTATTACAAAGGGTAAATATGTTTTGTCTTTGTCTCTTCCTTTATACATATGCATGATTATGCAATGAGAAGCGTTATGTGCAAATGAACAACGAACAACAATACAATCACGGCTGTGTAAAACTCTCAGTATTAAAAGTGTACATAAATTTTGGGAGCCATGCGATACCGCGCGTAGTAACCGAGGTAGCGCTTTATCGAAGAGCCCAATAGCGAGGGATCACTGTACCTTAAGTATTCTAATACCCACTGTTGATTCCTCTATATAGCTGAAATATTGCTGACTTGGCAAACAAGATGATTCTGGCTTTACCATGGAGTTATTTACAGGCTGTCATGCTATACTGGTAGTTTTAATGTTCCTGATTGCTGCTTGAAACATTCACTGATTGAAGAGAATATTCACTTGTGTTATTAAAAAGAACATTTTAACAACCTTGAATACTTATGCAGCATGGTCAAGTGAGACTGAGGCAGGTGTAGATGGTTCACTGCACACAAGTTTGTGTGCTGGAGCTTCACATCAGTGTAACTCTTCCATACCCCATGGGACGTTTTCAGTCAAATAATTGTTCCTATTGACCTCTTTATAAGGTCAAGGTCACTGAAGGCCCCATTAAACATGGTTCATGAAATTCATGTTTCATTTGTAAGAAAACAAGGAACGTTACAATCAGTGAAGATACAATATAAAAAACTTACCATATTCGACGTAATAAGTGCCCTGCTCTTATAAGCGTCCGTGGTGATATTTGCTAATATATTGGCTAGTGAACAATCCCAATTAGCACCTCTTCCGATTAATCAATGTACACAAAACCTATTATTCGTGTATAATACGCACTCGTGTGTTATATGCACCCTTAATTATGGGCAATTAAATTCTGGAAAAATATTGCACAGACTTTTCTTTTGTATCATTTTAGGTACATAAACCTAGTATTTTACGATCTTTCAACTCTGTTTAGTTTTAATCAAAATTATATTCTGATAGGAGCCCACTATTTCTAATTTTGAGAGCACCCTGGGCGCTTATTACGGTCGAATACGGTAATCAAATGTGGAGATCCCTTTTCCCTTCACTCAGGGAGTAGTTGTAAAGAGTTGTAAAGAAGTGAAGTATTCCTGAGGTTGGGTCTCGATCAGATTAGATATTTGGTTGACCTTTATTGCAAGTCAATGTCCCCAGAGGTCACATTGCGACATTTCTCTTTCGGAATATTTACTTTTGTTAAAGACAATACCAAGCATTTTTCAATCAGTGTATATTTACCATAAACCACAAACATCAATTTTGAAAAATCTTTAATATCCTTTTTTATCAAACACAAGTTCTAGGTATTTAAAACAGTGATGTCATATATGCCGATACAATGGGATTCAGATTTGTTCAAGCCATGTCCAGTCACAAAATATTTTTATTTAGAATTAGTCAAATTAATTTAGGCACATAGATCTAAAACCTTTATGAGGATTAGTAGGTTTGAATTGAAGAATCTTCTATTGTGGATGATGCTTTTAGCATCATCTTCTAAGGAACTAAAAAGCTCAGAGAACTGACAATTTTGTATAATATTTAGCACAACATTGGGGCTCAGAATTAATGTGGAATTTTGAAAAAGATTTTTTTTGTTGAATTTCATTTATCAGGCAGCAGCTTTGTGCCAAAGATAAGTAATAACTTCAAGTTTCTTTAAGGCGCCATCATCTGCACTAAACTTTGGCCACTGTTGTTGATGTTGCCAAAATTAAATGTCATTCACCTCAGAAGGTGCTAATGCTCTGATAATTCCATGAATTTTTGTTACCATGACAATGAAATAATAATACTGCTACATTGATAATATACTGTACTTCAGCATCAAACAGACCACATTACAAAGCCAATTAAAAGCTGCACTATCCTTACTTTAATTGTTAAGATTTCCCTAGTACTGCATATAACATTCAGCTGAGAATGTGGTCAGCAGCCTTGCATGTTCTATCTTTTATATGCTTAAAGTTTGTACTTGTAAAACGCAGTATGCCAAAATACTGTGTCCTTTAGATTCCTAATTTGTGTTGTTGTTGTTGTTTTTTGTTAGGTGAGCAGCAGCAGCAGCAGCAGCAGCAGCAGCAGCAGCAGCAGCAACAACCACAGCAACAAGACAAACATGATCAACAAACTCTCCGGCAAACTGGTGTACAACTGATACCAAGTGGTAATTTCATTATGATGACTGCACAAGTGTTCAATCCCATTGTTATAACATACCATATGCAGACTCCCGCAATTTGATGAAATCTCCCAGTCTCCCGTATGAGAGACTATTTCTCTTGCAAAACAGCATTTTTCATTAAATTAAAATGTGGCTCCATTGTCCCGCGAGTAAAAACAAAAAAACAGTGTGATATGATGCCTTTATCTGAGCCATAATTAAACTTGTAAATTATCTTCTTCAAGTGTTATTGTCACTTTATTAAAATCTCCCCCTTTGGAGACAAATCTCCCACATTTTGAAAGCAAATCTCCATTGTCGTGACGAGGGGTTGACAGGGCTGCATATGCCTGGGTAGTTACAGGTTTCTAGGGGCCGACATAGTAATGATGGTAAAAGCATACGGTATCTAGGGAACATGTCTGTTGACAATTTGCAGATTTTAATTTTGACTCATACCTTTGCTGATATGATTTTTATTTGATTTAGCAAAAGGGTCCAAACAGCAACAGCAGGCCCCAGAATCTGTTGAAGTACCCCTGGGACAGAATCGAGGTAATTGTGGTGTATTTTTCAAAGACATATGCATGTATGCTGATTCATATAATCACCGCTATTAAAAGAAATTCTGCTGTGTTTTAAATTAGAGCTGATATCATAGAATTGAGAACTCAGTTAATTCAAAATCAAATGTTTCGAGGTAATGTTTCCAATATGTAAGACTTGACATCTTCTGATTAACAAAGTTTGTTTTTTAATTTTTTGTTATTATTAAAAAAATGTTATTATTTATTATTAAAAAAACAAAAAAACTTTGTAATCAGAAGATGTCAAGTCTACAATCAAATACATGTAGGTCAATGTACAAAATCTTAACCTGTCAAGACAGCACAAGTGTTTTCCTGATGTTTCCACATCATCATTATCACCCAACACGACAGACACATGTTCCTCTTGAAAATCATTTACATACATTGGCATATTTGTTTTTTTACTTGATTTAAGCCAAATTCCAGAAGGGGAATAAGTTTCAAATTAACTTTTTTGTGCTCATTTTCCCCTCTGAATCTACATGATCTATTGGCACATTTCAATAATAATGAAAGCCTCAGAGTACATCGATATGGAAAGGGAGGTAACTCTTTAACCTGTGATATTCTAAGAAACATTTCAATGTTACGCTGAACCAGATCTTTTCCCATAGACTTCAGTAGTAATGTTATATTTTTTAAAAAGAATTAAGTGTTCAACAACCAATCCATGTACATGTAGCCATAAAGCTGAAATAAAATCACATTTGACATTGACATTTTGATTTCCAAGCACTAGGAGCTAAACACACCAACCCAAGACATAGGCATCAAATGTCACTTGCTTGAAAATATAGTGGGCACATTCAGCATAGATAATGATAAAAACAGGACTAAAACAGGTCAGGTTAGGGTGGATGTTGATCTTTAGAAACATCAAAATCTTACACAATGCCATCCAATCATCGCTGCTTGTTTCTTTACTGCACATTTCATCTTCCCTACCAAAGCTATGTTATAGGGGATGGCTGCACAATTGCCTTTGGAGGCAAACCTCCCACTTTTTGAAAGCAAATCTCCTCCATTGTATTGATGAGAGGTTGACAGGTCTGCATATGCCTGGGTAGTTACAGGTTTCTAGGGGCCGACATAGTAATGATGGTAAAAGCATACGGTATCTAGGGAACATGTCTGTTGACAATTTGCAGATGTTAATTTTGACTCATACCTTTGCTGATATGATTTTTATTTGATTTAGCAAAAGGGTCCAAACAGCAACAGCAGGCCCCAGAATCTGTTGAAGTACCCCTGGGACAGAATCGAGGTAATTGTGGTGTATTTTTCAAAGACATATGCATGTATGCTGATTCATATAATCACCGCTATTAAAAGAAATTCTGCTGTGTTTTAAATTAGAGCTGATATCATAGAATTGAGAACTCAGTTAATTCAAAATCAAATGTTTCGAGGTAATGTTTCCAATATGTAAGACTTGACATCTTCTGATTAACAAAGTTTGTTTTTTAATTTTTTGTTATTATTAAAAAAATGTTATTATTTATTATTAAAAAAACAAAAAAACTTTGTAATCAGAAGATGTCAAGTCTACAATCAAATACATGTAGGTCAATGTACAAAATCTTAACCTGTCAAGACAGCATAAGTGTTTTCCTGATGTTTCCACATCATCATTATCACCCAACACGACAGACACATGTTCCTCTTGAAAATCATTTACATACATTGGCATATTTGTTTTTTTACTTGATTTAAGCCAAATTCCAGAAGGGGAATAAGTTTCAAATTAACTTTTTTGTGCTCATTTTCCCCTCTGAATCTACATGATCTATTGGCACATTTCAATAATAATGAAAGCCTCAGAGTACATCGATATGGAAAGGGAGGTAACTCTTTAACCTGTGATATTCTAAGAAACATTTCAATGTTACGCTGAACCAGATCTTTTCCCATAGACTTCAGTAGTAATGTTATATTTTTTAAAAAGAATTAAGTGTTCAACAACCAATCCATGTACATGTAGCCATAAAGCTGAAATAAAATCACATTTGACATTGACATTTTGATTTCCAAGCACTAGGAGCTAAACACACCAACCCAAGACATAGGCATCAAATGTCACTTGCTTGAAAATATAGTGGGCACATTCAGCATAGATAATGATAAAAACAGGACTAAAACAGGTCAGGTTAGGGTGGATGTTGATCTTTAGAAACATCAAAATCTTACACAATGCCATCCAATCATCGCTGCTTGTTTCTTTACTGCACATTTCATCTTCCCTACCAAAGCTATGTTATAGGGGATGGCTGCACAATTGCCTTTGGAGGCAAACCTCCCACTTTTTGAAAGCAAATCTCCTCCATTGTATTGATGAGAGGTTGACAGGTCTGCATATGCCTGGGTAGTTACAGGTTTCTAGGGGCCGACATAGTAATGATGGTAAAAGCATACGGTATCTAGGGAACATGTCTGTTGACAATTTGCAGATGTTAATTTTGACTCATACCTTTGCTGATATGATTTTTATTTGATTTAGCAAAAGGGTCCAAACAGCAACAGCAGGCCCCAGAATCTGTTGAAGTACCCCTGGGACAGAATCGAGGTAATTGTGGTGTATTTTTCAAAGACATATGCATGTATGCTGATTCATATAATCACCGCTATTAAAAGAAATTCTGCTGTGTTTTAAATTAGAGCTGATATCATAGAATTGAGAACTCAGTTAATTCAAAATCAAATGTTTCGAGGTAATGTTTCCAATATGTAAGACTTGACATCTTCTGATTAACAAAGTTTGTTTTTTAATTTTTTGTTATTATTAAAAAAATGTTATTATTTATTATTAAAAAAACAAAAAAACTTTGTAATCAGAAGATGTCAAGTCTACAATCAAATACATGTAGGTCAATGTACAAAATCTTAACCTGTCAAGACAGCATAAGTGTTTTCCTGATGTTTCCACATCATCATTATCACCCAACACGACAGACACATGTTCCTCTTGAAAATCATTTACATACATTGGCATATTTGTTTTTTTACTTGATTTAAGCCAAATTCCAGAAGGGGAATAAGTTTCAAATTAACTTTTTTGTGCTCATTTTCCCCTCTGAATCTACATGATCTATTGGCACATTTCAATAATAATGAAAGCCTCAGAGTACATCGATATGGAAAGGGAGGTAACTCTTTAACCTGTGATATTCTAAGAAACATTTCAATGTTACGCTGAACCAGATCTTTTCCCATAGACTTCAGTAGTAATGTTATATTTTTTAAAAAGAATTAAGTGTTCAACAACCAATCCATGTACATGTAGCCATAAAGCTGAAATAAAATCACATTTGACATTGACATTTTGATTTCCAAGCACTAGGAGCTAAACACACCAACCCAAGACATAGGCATCAAATGTCACTTGCTTGAAAATATAGTGGGCACATTCAGCATAGATAATGATAAAAACAGGACTAAAACAGGTCAGGTTAGGGTGGATGTTGATCTTTAGAAACATCAAAATCTTACACAATGCCATCCAATCATCGCTGCTTGTTTCTTTACTGCACATTTCATCTTCCCTACCAAAGCTATGTTATAGGGGATGGCTGCACAATTGCCTTTGGAGGCAAACCTCCCACTTTTTGAAAGCAAATCTCCTCCATTGTATTGATGAGAGGTTGACAGGTCTGCATATGCCTGGGTAGTTACAGGTTTCTAGGGGCCGACATAGTAATGATGGTAAAAGCATACGGTATCTAGGGAACATGTCTGTTGACAATTTGCAGATGTTAATTTTGACTCATACCTTTGCTGATATGATTTTTATTTGATTTAGCAAAAGGGTCCAAACAGCAACAGCAGGCCCCAAAATCTGTTGAAGTACCCCTGGGACAGAATCGAGGTAATTGTGGTGTATTTTTCAAAGACATATGCATGTATGCTGATTCATATAATCACCGCTATTAAAAGAAATTCTGCTGTGTTTTAAATTAGAGCTGATATCATAGAATTGAGAACTCAGTTAATTCAAAATCAAATGTTTCGAGGTAATGTTTCCAATATGTAAGACTTGACATCTTCTGATTAACAAAGTTTGTTTTTTAATTTTTTGTTATTATTAAAAAAATGTTATTATTTATTATTAAAAAAACAAAAAAACTTTGTAATCAGAAGATGTCAAGTCTACAATCAAATACATGTAGGTCAATGTACAAAATCTTAACCTGTCAAGACAGCATAAGTGTTTTCCTGATGTTTCCTCATCATCATTATCACCCAACACGACAGACACATGTTCCTCTTGAAAATCATTTACATACATTGGCATATTTGTTTTTTTACTTGATTTAAGCCAAATTCCAGAAGGGGAATAAGTTTCAAATTAACTTTTTTGTGCTCATTTTCCCCTCTGAATCTACATGATCTATTGGCACATTTCAATAATAATGAAAGCCTCAGAGTACATCGATATGGAAAGGGAGGTAACTCTTTAACCTGTGATATTCTAAGAAACATTTCAATGTTACGCTGAACCAGATCTTTTCCCATAGACTTCAGTAGTAATGTTATATTTTTTAAAAAGAATTAAGTGTTCAACAACCAATCCATGTACATGTAGCCATAAAGCTGAAATAAAATCACATTTGACATTGACATTTTGATTTCCAAGCACTAGGAGCTAAACACACCAACCCAAGACATAGGCATCAAATGTCACTTGCTTGAAAATATAGTGGGCACATTCAGCATAGATAATGATAAAAACAGGACTAAAACAGGTCAGGTTAGGGTGGATGTTGATCTTTAGAAACATCAAAATCTTACACAATGCCATCCAATCATCGCTGCTTGTTTCTTTACTGCACATTTCATCTTCCCTACCAAAGCTATGTTATAGGGGATGGCTGCACAATTGCCTTTGGAGGCAAACCTCCCACTTTTTGAAAGCAAATCTCCTCCATTGTATTGATGAGAGGTTGACAGGTCTGCATATGCCTGGGTAGTTACAGGTTTCTAGGGGCCGACATAGTAATGATGGTAAAAGCATACGGTATCTAGGGAACATGTCTGTTGACAATTTGCAGATGTTAATTTTGACTCATACCTTTGCTGATATGATTTTTATTTGATTTAGCAAAAGGGTCCAAACAGCAACAGCAGGCCCCAGAATCTGTTGAAGTACCCCTGGGACAGAATCGAGGTAATTGTGGTGTATTTTTCAAAGACATATGCATGTATGCTGATTCATATAATCACCGCTATTAAAAGAAATTCTGCTGTGTTTTAAATTAGAGCTGATATCATAGAATTGAGAACTCAGTTAATTCAAAATCAAATGTTTCGAGGTAATGTTTCCAATATGTAAGACTTGACATCTTCTGATTAACAAAGTTTGTTTTTTAATTTTTTGTTATTATTAAAAAAATGTTATTATTTATTATTAAAAAAACAAAAAAACTTTGTAATCAGAAGATGTCAAGTCTACAATCAAATACATGTAGGTCAATGTACAAAATCTTAACCTGTCAAGACAGCATAAGTGTTTTCCTGATGTTTCCACATCATCATTATCACCCAACACGACAGACACATGTTCCTCTTGAAAATCATTTACATACATTGGCATATTTGTTTTTTTACTTGATTTAAGCCAAATTCCAGAAGGGGAATAAGTTTCAAATTAACTTTTTTGTGCTCATTTTCCCCTCTGAATCTACATGATCTATTGGCACATTTCAATAATAATGAAAGCCTCAGAGTACATCGATATGGAAAGGGAGGTAACTCTTTAACCTGTGATATTCTAAGAAACATTTCAATGTTACGCTGAACCAGATCTTTTCCCATAGACTTCAGTAGTAATGTTATATTTTTTAAAAAGAATTAAGTGTTCAACAACCAATCCATGTACATGTAGCCATAAAGCTGAAATAAAATCACATTTGACATTGACATTTTGATTTCCAAGCACTAGGAGCTAAACACACCAACCCAAGACATAGGCATCAAATGTCACTTGCTTGAAAATATAGTGGGCACATTCAGCATAGATAATGATAAAAACAGGACTAAAACAGGTCAGGTTAGGGTGGATGTTGATCTTTAGAAACATCAAAATCTTACACAATGCCATCCAATCATCGCTGCTTGTTTCTTTACTGCACATTTCATCTTCCCTACCAAAGCTATGTTATAGGGGATGGCTGCACAATTGCCTTTGGAGGCAAACCTCCCACTTTTTGAAAGCAAATCTCCTCCATTGTATTGATGAGAGGTTGACAGGTCTGCATATGCCTGGGTAGTTACAGGTTTCTAGGGGCCGACATAGTAATGATGGTAAAAGCATACGGTATCTAGGGAACATGTCTGTTGACAATTTGCAGATGTTAATTTTGACTCATACCTTTGCTGATATGATTTTTATTTGATTTAGCAAAAGGGTCCAAACAGCAACAGCAGGCCCCAGAATCTGTTGAAGTACCCCTGGGACAGAATCGAGGTAATTGTGGTGTATTTTTCAAAGACATATGCATGTATGCTGATTCATATAATCACCGCTATTAAAAGAAATTCTGCTGTGTTTTAAATTAGAGCTGATATCATAGAATTGAGAACTCAGTTAATTCAAAATCAAATGTTTCGAGGTAATGTTTCCAATATGTAAGACTTGACATCTTCTGATTAACAAAGTTTGTTTTTTAATTTTTTGTTATTATTAAAAAAATGTTATTATTTATTATTAAAAAAACAAAAAAACTTTGTAATCAGAAGATGTCAAGTCTACAATCAAATACATGTAGGTCAATGTACAAAATCTTAACCTGTCAAGACAGCATAAGTGTTTTCCTGATGTTTCCTCATCATCATTATCACCCAACACGACAGACACATGTTCCTCTTGAAAATCATTTACATACATTGGCATATTTGTTTTTTTACTTGATTTAAGCCAAATTCCAGAAGGGGAATAAGTTTCAAATTAACTTTTTTGTGCTCATTTTCCCCTCTGAATCTACATGATCTATTGGCACATTTCAATAATAATGAAAGCCTCAGAGTACATCGATATGGAAAGGGAGGTAACTCTTTAACCTGTGATATTCTAAGAAACATTTCAATGTTACGCTGAACCAGATCTTTTCCCATAGACTTCAGTAGTAATGTTATATTTTTTAAAAAGAATTAAGTGTTCAACAACCAATCCATGTACATGTAGCCATAAAGCTGAAATAAAATCACATTTGACATTGACATTTTGATTTCCAAGCACTAGGAGCTAAACACACCAACCCAAGACATAGGCATCAAATGTCACTTGCTTGAAAATATAGTGGGCACATTCAGCATAGATAATGATAAAAACAGGACTAAAACAGGTCAGGTTAGGGTGGATGTTGATCTTTAGAAACATCAAAATCTTACACAATGCCATCCAATCATCGCTGCTTGTTTCTTTACTGCACATTTCATCTTCCCTACCAAAGCTATGTTATAGGGGATGGCTGCACAATTGCCTTTGGAGGCAAACCTCCCACTTTTTGAAAGCAAATCTCCTCCATTGTATTGATGAGAGGTTGACAGGTCTGCATATGCCTGGGTAGTTACAGGTTTCTAGGGGCCGACATAGTAATGATGGTAAAAGCATACGGTATCTAGGGAACATGTCTGTTGACAATTTGCAGATGTTAATTTTGACTCATACCTTTGCTGATATGATTTTTATTTGATTTAGCAAAAGGGTCCAAACAGCAACAGCAGGCCCCAGAATCTGTTGAAGTACCCCTGGGACAGAATCGAGGTAATTGTGGTGTATTTTTCAAAGACATATGCATGTATGCTGATTCATATAATCACCGCTATTAAAAGAAATTCTGCTGTGTTTTAAATTAGAGCTGATATCATAGAATTGAGAACTCAGTTAATTCAAAATCAAATGTTTCGAGGTAATGTTTCCAATATGTAAGACTTGACATCTTCTGATTAACAAAGTTTGTTTTTTAATTTTTTGTTATTATTAAAAAAATGTTATTATTTATTATTAAAAAAACAAAAAAACTTTGTAATCAGAAGATGTCAAGTCTACAATCAAATACATGTAGGTCAATGTACAAAATCTTAACCTGTCAAGACAGCATAAGTGTTTTCCTGATGTTTCCTCATCATCATTATCACCCAACACGACAGACACATGTTCCTCTTGAAAATCATTTACATACATTGGCATATTTGTTTTTTTACTTGATTTAAGCCAAATTCCAGAAGGGGAATAAGTTTCAAATTAACTTTTTTGTGCTCATTTTCCCCTCTGAATCTACATGATCTATTGGCACATTTCAATAATAATGAAAGCCTCAGAGTACATCGATATGGAAAGGGAGGTAACTCTTTAACCTGTGATATTCTAAGAAACATTTCAATGTTACGCTGAACCAGATCTTTTCCCATAGACTTCAGTAGTAATGTTATATTTTTTAAAAAGAATTAAGTGTTCAACAACCAATCCATGTACATGTAGCCATAAAGCTGAAATAAAATCACATTTGACATTGACATTTTGATTTCCAAGCACTAGGAGCTAAACACACCAACCCAAGACATAGGCATCAAATGTCACTTGCTTGAAAATATAGTGGGCACATTCAGCATAGATAATGATAAAAACAGGACTAAAACAGGTCAGGTTAGGGTGGATGTTGATCTTTAGAAACATCAAAATCTTACACAATGCCATCCAATCATCGCTGCTTGTTTCTTTACTGCACATTTCATCTTCCCTACCAAAGCTATGTTATAGGGGATGGCTGCACAATTGATACGGTTTGCACATCTGTTATTCAATTCATACATCAGTGAACCAAAAAAAACCACAATGTCAATTCACAATAAGCATGTTAATACATGGCGCAAAATTTGGATTATTATGTGTTTGTTGGGAGCGTGATACTCACACACGTTTCTTTTTAATGTGAACAGCACACAGTGATTTAGTTATCAGGTGCTCACAAAAACACTTTTGTTTAACCGTAAATACCCCTTACACAATGCCATCCAATCATTGCTGCTCGTTTCTTCACTGCACATTTCATCTTCCCTACAAAACTTATGTCTAAGGGGATGGCTGCACAACTAATACTGTTTGCACATCAGTTTTTCATAATAAGAAGGCTTTGATAATTACATACTTACAGGTTAAGATTACAAACAGTTTATTTCTATGATTAAATCTACTTCATTAGCAAAGGTCAAGGTTAACTTTCTTGTTTATAGTTCTTCAGCGTCATAAATAATAACATTAGCCCTCTAGACCATTGAAAATATTTTGAGAATAAAGGAATGCAGAAAATAGACTATAGTGCCAATATGAATTCTTCTTGGCCCTGAAATTGACATCATTTTCTGTGATATATATAGTTAAAAAGGTTGCACTTTTTTATTAAGTATGTCAAAGTTCTATCACAAATGCCTTGTGTTTTGTTAAAAAAAGGTTCAACCATGTGTACTTTTGTCTTATCATTTTCTAACACAATGTTGCAAGACAAGATCTCAAATATCTAGGGTAGCGACAAAGCCTTATTCATGTTAAAACTGCATGGTTATATTTGTTTCCATTTCAGGAGAACCAGACAAGCCTCCGAAAGATACCGGCATTTCCGGAAAATTTCAGAACTCAAAGATCATCAGTGACAAGTAGATAGCCAGGGCTATGCTGGGAGGCCTCAACTCTACTTAAGTCATATCATTCCTGTAGTTCCTTAGTGCTCACCATTATCAGTGCTGTACAATTTAAATGGAATTAAATTTTGTTGAGGCTGATCATATTGTTCAATGTGTTTATACATTCTCGAATTGAGTCAGAGGTGTGGAGATGTTGTCCTTGGACTTTCCACCTGTCAAAATCTGCTTTTCCCAAATTGGAGGCTGCTTGTCCTGAAGTTTATGTGCACAATGTTTGCAGCTGGTTTGTGCAAACTAGAGTCCATCTTTTCAAAGCCACTGTATTATTGTACAAAGGACATGTGTGTCCAAAATCAATGTCACACGATACCTGACATGCATGAGTGACATATCAAGATACATGTTGACCACATTGACTGTTCCATCACAGGATGTAGAGATTATGGTATCATGTTAAGATATATTTTCTATATCTTTTATATATCCATATCTTGTGATGTTTTGTGTTAGGCTCTGGAACAACAATCAGATTCAGGTACGAGCCCATCCTACATTGTCAGGAACACGCTCACCAACCCCGATACAGACTGTATGTTTGTTTGTTGTTAGGCGACTATGCTTGTCGTAAAAAGTGACTAACGGGATTGGGTGGTCAGACTCGCTGACTTGGTTGATGCAAAGCCACTGTATTATTGTACAAAGGACATGTGTGTCCAAAATCAATGTCACAGGATACCTTACATGCATGAGTGACATATCAAGATACATGTTGACCGCATTGACTGTTCCATCACGGGATGTAGAGATTATGGTATCATGTTAAGATATATTTTCTATATCTTTTATATATCCATATCTTGTGATGTTTTGTGTTAGGCTCTGGAACAACAATCAGATTGAGGTATGAGCCCATCCTACATTGTCAGAAACACGCTCACCAACCCCGATACAGACTATTATGTATGTTTGTTTGTTGTTAGGCGACTATGCTTGTCGTAAAAAGTGACTAACGGGATCGGGTGGTCACTCGCTGACTTGGTTGATGCAAAGCCACTGTATTATTGTACAAAGGACATGTGTGTCCAAAATCAATGTCACAGGATACCTGACATGCATGAGTGACATATCAAGATACATGTTGACCGCATTGACTGTTCCATCACGGGATGTAGAGATTATGGTATCATGTTAAGATATATTTTCTATATCTTTTATATATCCATATCATGTGATGTTTTGTGTTAGGCTCTGGAACAACAATCAGATTGAGGTACGAGCCCATCCTACATTGCCAGGAACACGCTCAAGTAGTATAGTTTCTAAGTCCATTTTATCAGTTTTCCAGTGTGATCTCTTTCTCTTTCCATGAAGAGAAAGCATCTTTCCAGTATGGGTTAGTAATAGTGGAACATTCTTCAATGAGGGCTGCACATGAGGCCAGATCATTCATGGGAACATGACACAGGTTACTGAAGTTGTGTTTACAGAAGTATCATTTAATTGTTGCAATCTTCAGTGAGTCAATAATGGCTTTTAGATCAGTCATTCTTAATCCCACTTTGTCAAAATCCTTTTTCAGGTATACTGTTTTTATTTTGTGAAACCAGATGAAACCAAAAAGCTTCTCTCTTGATTATCAATGAAGGACTTTGGAGGATGAGCCGGCCCCAGGAACATATGCACCAGAGTAGATCATTTTATACTTTTTATCACTATCATCTTACCAATAATTTCCTTTTTTCGGTTTTCCTAAATATTTAAAATTATTTGTATTCTTGTTCTGGTATTAATTGCCCACAAATCATCTACTTGGACATTGAGAATTATACCAATCCATATTGCCTTGGTTTTATCAATGTTAATTTTTGAAACCTGACATTCTGTATAAAATGGAAAGGGTGTCCTTGAGACTTATCATTTGAGCCCTCCTGAAACATTGAGTACCATGGGCGTATTGTCCTAGCTTGTGTTCTTGGTCATTCAATACTATTCCTTTAATATTAATCTTAATTAGGATCATTGTACCTAAAATTTAGGCAACAAACAAAAATATGTACGGCAAAATAAGATCTCCTTGTCTACATCCTCTAGAGTAAGAAAACATGTGGCAATTTGGGATAACAAATGATGTGGTATCTTTAGGTAAGATTAATATCTATTTTTTCATGATTGGGCCGAATCCAAATTTTCTGAACATTACACCAATAAATTGTTTTGGAACTGTATCAAACACATTCTTAATATCTATCAACAGCAGTTTTTAAGAGACAAAGATGAAAAGTGTTTGTGGCAACATAAGGGAAGATAGGCTTGTGTCTGTATCAGAACAGTGCAGAGTGGCGTATATGGATATATTAATAGCTACGTGATAAATCGCAAAGAACAATGAAGAACAAAGCATGGTTTATTTCATGATAAAACGTCATTTCTGGCGATTCGAATATGCGTTCGCAGCCTGATGACGTCACATATTGGACGACGTTAGTTTTGAGATGAGAGGGAAGTGTCTGGTAAGTTGTTCCCCATCGATGTAGACGGCCTACACAGAACGATCGTGGGAGAGATATGACAATCGTTAGGAGAAAAGGTGCAGATGGTTTGAGGTGAGGATTGTGAGAATACGCGGGAAATACCAAACTTAATCCAGCTGTTCGTAAAATTGGTTCTCCGACATTTCCTTAAAGAGGATGTACATGATGTTGATATCTCAACAGAAAAGATAATAATAAGAAAATATGTAAACAACTCGTGGTCATTGTTTATCGTACAATAAAACAGTGCAGGGATAATAAACCATTCGGGGCTCACCTCATGGTTTTGTCTCCATTCAGTGTTTGTATGCGTAATTCGCAGTAATGACTAGACGTATTTCTGACAACTGCCGTGCAGTACCCAAAGCTCCAAACGTATATAGCTGCAGAATATTCAGGAAGCAGCACCTAGGAAACCGAGCGGTTACCTGGTTAATTTTGGGCATAATCATGTGGAGGTTATAAAGACTACTTTGCCGAATCTGTTCTGATGAGCCACCGTACCACCATGTCATGTAGGATACACGAGCTGTCAGATACCCGTATTTCACAAGTGATTCTGGATGCAATCTGACTATCGGGGAAAGGGGGCTCAACCGAACACTGACGGTTCCATTTGAGCTATATATATACATATATATATATAGTCTGTGAAGTCAAAAGCCTGTTAGACGAGTACTTTGCACACCAATGTATGTACGCGCCCGTGTACCACAATTAACCGCTGCAGGGAGAATAAACAACTGCGCCCCTTTTGGTTTATTCCCCCTGCAGTGGTTTGTTGTAAGATAAACAACAACCACTCGTCGTTTATTTCTTAAATAATGACATCTCATGATCTTTATTACCGGGTCCAACTGTGTTGAATAAAGGAATGAAGTCTGGGGTGTTCATAAACTTTATTATGCACATTGTCTGTTCCTTACCATCAGGATGCTACAGAGGCCATCGTTGATAGGCATCTCAACGTTTTTAACCATTGAGCACCGGTGACTTCATGATACTGTCCATCTCCAACACACCTCCACATGTCAAGTCATGTATATTATTTCCTGATTCGTGCCTGATTTTACATCAAGTTCTTGTTCAACGTGCGTTGCTTCACCGCCTGTAGTCGCCCTGTGATGACTGGCGATGTATCAATGCTTGCCTGGTCAAACGCTTTAGCCATCTCTAAAACTGCCCCTTTCTTCACTTGTATGTTTCTTTTCTCCCTTTTCTTAAAAATCTGAAAATGACACACTTTAACTCTACTTCCTCATATCACTGTGATCTTTACAGTTCTTTTATTGTATCCGAGCTTCAATTTAGTAAATTAATATAAAATATGTTGGTAATGATCAGAACAGCCGAAAAACACATACCATGTACGACGTAATAAGCGCCCAGAGCGCTATCAAAATTAGAAATAAGGGGCTCTTATTAGACTATTATATTGCTGGAAAAAACAGAGTTGAAAGTTAAATTTCGTGGTTTATGTTGACAGCCTGAAATGTTATATACGACAGATATATTTTTCCAGAATTTAATTGCCCATAATTAAGGGTGCATATAACACACGAGTGCGTATTATACGCGAATAAATAAGTCTTGTATACATTGATCAATCGGATGGGGTGCTAATTGGAATTGTTCAATAGCCAATATATTAGCAATTATTGCAGTGAGTGCTTATTAGAGCCGGGCGCTTATTTCGTCGAATCACGGTAACACATATTTTAAGATACAAACAAATATACCAAAGTTAGTTACAGAACATTACACCAGAAATCACAAGAAACTATTATCCTACTTTGCGAACTATTTGTTTCAATAAATCATAACTGTTTGCTTTAATGTGTGCTGGTGATTAGGTGCCTCACTCTGGCAGTGTGGGTTCGAATTCCGGATGGGACTCAACCCAACAAAGTACTAGAATCTGAACTTCACTTAGATGGTGTTATCTCAAATATAACATTGTTACAAATTCATGTATTGATATAGTTTTCGTATACTGCCTTGGTGTGAATTAGGTGTGAATCAAGATCCGGTGTTCGTTATCAAATATAATTTGGTCATCTTAAGCACGTGTACAAAGGAAGATTCTGTTCTTACCCATGCACGTGTTTTCCTGACTACAAACACAAGCAAAGTGACGGCAATCACAATGGTGAATACACCAATAGGCACAGCATACTGATGAATTATCTCCTCCATGGGCGAAGCTGAAAATATATTTATATTCTTGACCTTTAAATACCAGTACCATCTATTTAAGAAATATAATATATAGCTTTAATATTTGTATCTTAATATATCTCCTGTACTGTCTATTAGATCGTGGTTATGCCCCGAATTATTATAGGTAGATCACGAGACGCTAAAGAATGTTTAATTCTGATTGGTCAAAATACCATTAAAATCAGGATTCGCATTCGGTATTGGTTAGTTGGTTTGTGGTTTAACGCCGCACTCAGCAATATTCCAGTTATATGACGGCGGCCTGTAAATAATCGAGTCTGGATCAGACAATCAAGTGATTGATATCATGAGCATCGATCAAAACAATTGGGATCGATGACATGCATCAAGCAAGTCTGCAAGCCTGACCACCCGATCCCGTTAGTCGCCTCTTACGAGAAGCATAGTCGCCTTTTACGACAAGCATGGGTTGCTGAAGACCTATTCTACCCCGGATCTTCACGGGTCCATTCGGTATTGAATGAATTGGACAGATATATAATCTTTACGTTCGAAACCTCCACACTGAAAACACAGTATGAATATCTCCTCATTAGATGATGGGAGGAACCTTTTATACCCATTTTCACCTCTCCTCGCCTCAGATCATTATGAGATTGAGAAAACGAACTGATTTCATCCATTGTTCATTGCGTCACCAGCAAATATTGACACTGAAAACAGGGTGAGGTGAGGTATTATAATGGGGTATAATGTGGCGTTCCAGATTATTGCATTTATATAACGACTTGCATGTAATTAACTCTTGTAATTATGCATCATGTTAGGATCAAATGGTATCATCACAAGACACTGCATCAGGAAATTACCAGCGCCATACTTACGAGTCAAAACACGGCCTTGAACTTAATGGTGCAAATGAGAGTAACCTCCCTTTGCTCCTCTCTCGCCCAAGCTCCTTCCCAGCGCGTGACACCTTCGTTACACTCTCGGTAACATAGTATAGAGAGCTCCGGGAACGTACTATCGCTGTGAGGAGCTTGCTCTCTCGCCCTCAAATAGGGATACATAGACATATATTATGTATGAGTGGGTACTCCGATTTTATGAAACCTCAAGAAGCCATCTTCTTAATTGACGTACCTGGTCATTCTACCAAATGTGGCATATTGACACTGAAACAGGGTTAAATAAATTTATTTGTTTTGGCATGAATCTTTTAACCTATGTCACTTACTGTTTATATTAAATATACTTTGCAGCGAAGTTTGCACGACATTCATTAATAAAGAAATGTGAAAAACACCAGAAATCTACATCAAATGTCATTACAACAACATATTATTGATACCATAAATGGAGTGATTTCTAATATTAGTTACAATCGGGTTATTTAAAGTTTACTGAAATAGCGCATGATTATATACTCAATACCAAAGGGCCCACCGATGTGAATAAATCACAAATGATATGGTGTACAGATTTCTGAAATGTTGTATCTTATAGATCAAATATAATAAAATCAAATAGATAACTAAAATGTTTTTGACGCAAAATTAACTTTGAACTAATAACATTCAAAATGAGGTGCAGAATAAACACGAACGTTAAGTTATAGGTACGGAAGCCTTTTAGGGCCATTTGTTTTTTTAAATTTTTTCGATACTATCTTGAAATTTCAAGATACTAAGTTGAAATTTTAAGATAGTATCGAAAAAAATAAAAAAACAAATGGCCCTAAAAGGCTTCCGTATATAGGTGCATTATCATGTTCTTTATAGATACATTAGTGAGGCTGGAAGCAGAAACACATTGTTGTAATGACAACGCTGTTGTGGGAATGTTGTGGTCATGACGTCTGTTGTGTTGATGACTGCATACAAAATACCTCCAGGCAACTAAAAATGGTTTGGCAAAGACGTTAAAATGCATATGATGTTATTCCTCAGAAAAAGTATAACAGATTTGAATTATATACCATTTAGACACAAATTCATGCTGAAGTCATCACCACAACAGCAAATCATGTTGTGGTGATGACTGTTCTGGTAATGACAGTTCAATAGAAAATGACCCAAATAACCGTCAATGTACATTAAAGTTTGTGAAACAATCAGAAAAAAACCTTCTCCTCTTCATAAAAGTAACTCTTAACGGGAAGTATTATGTTTTAATAAGAAATATGCAAATAAGGACACCCAATCATCGTTCAACTGTCATTACTGGTCAAATATACACTCAGACACAATACATTTATGTTTGGATATATCCTATTGATAGTGTTGAAATACAGAAGTGAAAAATGTTTTCATAAAAACAAAATGAGAATAACATGTGTTAGTCAGGGCCATCATTTTGCCATTTTGTCGAGAATGACACAATGGTATCACACGATCGATATATTGTGTATATCCTTATAACGTGGCAATTTATTAAACACACAGTGTTTTGACTAAACAATTATTGTACTGTTGTATATATACAGGCCCGCAGAAACTTGAACTTGGGGTCGGTGGTTCACGGAAGGAAATATTAAGTGTGGCGTATTGATCGGAACACGTGATCAAATGATCGACAGATGATTGACTGGTCGGTATAATGAATAGTGTATGTTTTTAGTCTATGACCTTTATTAATAATTTCCAATATTTCTCAATCTTCTGGATTGCATGAGATTAAACGATAACAACCATTGGTTGATTGATACAAGCGTTAGCTTGAGGTGTAAATGTTCAAATCTAATATAAGCTGCTCTAATTTCAAGATGATCTCAAAAGTCAACATTCGTACGTTGTTTGTACTTAATGATTGCGAGGGGGCACGGGTGGCCCAGTCGTCTAAGGCGCCGCAATTCGCTGTGCAGAGTTACGTCCCTTGGGCACGCCAGAAACCTATGATTGTGGGTTCGAATCCCGGTTCGCCCCGATTATGTTTCTAGGTTTGTCAGCACCATACCCGTGCTCGTGGGTAAACGTCTTAGACCTGCATCACTTCGGGCTTTCCTCCCACATTAAGCTGACACGTTGTGATATAACTGGAATAATGTTAAAAGCGGCGTTAAACCCAACTCACTCACTCACTATTCATTGCGAATGATATTGAAAATAATAAAATCACCTTCGTGTCTGCTGATATCATATATACTGCAACACTTTTGGAATGAAAATTGTATTGTTGTAATTTTTGGCACCATAGCCACAAAAGTCAAATAAAGTATTTAGGGTTTTTAGGCACGAGATAATAAATCACAACAATGTTGTCGTACGGGTTCGAATCTCATTCAGTGTGTCTGGAGATTGACTTGAGCACAAAATCACATCTTTTCTGATTTCGAGTTAATGTTGATTATGCGTTTTCAAAGTGTTCCAGTAAAAATAACACTCGTCAATAAAAAAAACAAAATATTTTTTAGCTATTTCAACCGGCTTGTGTTGATACATGTATCGGTCTTCAGGTACATCGATGAAAGACATCCGTCTTCATTACCAGGGAGTAAACGTCTTAGACCTGCATCACTTCGAGATTTCCTCCCACATTAAGCTGACACGTCGTGATATAACTGGAATAATGTTAAAAGCGGCGTTAAACCCAACTCACTCACTCACACTCATTACCAGGGAAGGTTATCACTCACACGATATGGCAGGGTTGATATAGACAACCTAAAACAAAACAGGTAAAGACTTTCAACTTTTGTCATCGTTGATTTCATATATACTACTCAAAAGAAGTTAAGGATCACCTGATTCTTTCATATTACAATAGTTAATCTTTCATGCCATGACAGATTAACATTACTAATATGAAATAATCGGGTGATCCTTAACTTATTTTGAGTAGTATATTCTAAAACAGCCTTCGTGGTTTAGTGGATTGGATACCGGACCGGAGAGCGGAAGGCTGGTGGTTCGATCCCCGGCCGCGTCGTACCCGAAGACGTTAAAAGATGGCACTTGGTGTTACCCTGCCCTACTCGGTAATAACGTGGACTGGTGGGTGCGGTTCAGGTACACAGGTAGACTGTGTCTGAGTGGGGTATCCATGTTTATCTGAGACATAGTAGGCTAGCGCTATACAACCGCCATAAATCCGGACTAGTACAAGCAGGCACAAACCTCAACCAATAACCAAAACTGAATGGAATAAATACAAAATATACATTTATTCAAGCTAAGGCATTTGTACACGTTGTGATTGGTTGCTAAATGTTGCATATTCATTCAAAGACCTCGTCGTTCTTAATTCGCTGCTTGACCTGTTGTCGGCCTGTGATGACAGGAGAGCTGCCTCCACTGGCCTGGTCAAAGGCTTTAGCCATCTCCGAAACTGACCCTTTCTTCACCTTGACGGAGCCCTCTCTCTTTAACGATTTATTTTCCTGGAACAAAGGTTTAGGCTTATTTGCTTACTACGTGTAAAATCGGAAGGAAATATTAATATTGAAACATATCTTATTGCGAAACAACATGTGAAAATTAATAGACAACGTATGTGTCCACTTCTGAAATATTGAACAGTTAAAGAAACCATTACTCTGTGTGTAATCGGAAGGAAAAATGATTGAAACATATTTTACTGCGAACCGACATGTGAAAATGAATAGAGAATGTATGTGTCCACTTCTGAAATATGTACAGTTAATGTAACCATGACCATAAGTTGACAGTAAATTAAATGATAAGGACTAGTAATTTAGGAAACTTGTAAGTCGCGTTCGATAATGTTCAATCATCCAACGATCAGGATGGTCATCTATCTTTAAATTGCAAAACAGCAACAGAGTGAGTGAGTTAGGTTTAACGCCGCTTTTAACAGTATTCCAGTTATATCGCGGCGTGTCAGCTTAATGTGGGAGGAAAGCCCGAAGTGATGCAGGTCTCAGACGTTTACCACTTTCGTGAAACCCACGAGCGTGGGTATGGTGCTGACAAAACTAGAAACATAATCAGGGCGAAACGGGATTCGAACCTACAATCATAGGTTTCTAGCGTGCCCAAGGGACGCAACTCTGCACATCGAATCGCGGCGCCTTAGACGACTGGGCCACCCGTGCCCCCAACAGCAAAAGAGGTAAACTTTTCGTACCCATTCAGGTTGCTGTAGATAGCTGATAAAATAACCAAGACGGACGAGGTATAATTGAGTTGTTTTGCCCCCTTGCAGGCCAAGGACTTGCACTTCTCTTTCATGTCAACTCATCTGTTGGTTTTCATAACGATTTAAAAAGTCTTAGTCATTTTACATAACAAGGGAACCAAAAGAAAAACATATTATTCATGAACTTGATTAAATTAAATTTTATTGATGTGTTGAGAAAGTCTAGAGTTACTGAGTTAATCTCATATCCGTAAAATGTTTTGACTCGGGCAGTTTAAACAGTTTAAACATGAAAACGGTTCAAAAGAATGTCATGACTAAGTTTTCAGAAGATGAAAGAGGAAAGTTCGGAACATTAATCAAAAGCCCAGTATCCATTGTAACCATAAATGACTTTGAGAGGAAGCCAACAAGACATATCTTTGTGAAAATACCGAAAAACCCAAAAGGAATCAAACTAGAAATAGACCAAGAAATATGACGTAAACACAGTTAGCGGCCAATGCATATCCAGAGGTTGAACTGACACTCCATATACACACGACTAGCCATTCGTGTCACCAAACGGTCAGAGTATTGTTTGGGTTTAGATTATCTACTGAAGCCACAGCTAAAAATGTTAAAGTAAGTCTGTTATCAAACTCTGTTCCCAGATATACCCTTCAATAAGACGATTAGAGTACTGACATTATTGCCCTCCAGTGAACTGTAAACACACTACAGGGCGTCTTACCTGGTCCTTTGGCTGTGCGCTTGACCTGCTGCTCAAGAATACAATGAGCGTCACGGCAACCACACCGAGGAGTATACCAAGCACAAGCAGATCCATAGATT